AGGCCTGTTTTAAATTCCCTTTAAAAAGGTAGCTAGTTTAGAGTTAAGTTAATGCCAGAAAAAGCGGATATCTCAATTGAGATGTTTTTTACATACTAATAAAAACCACGACGAATCGAATAATTAAGTAGACACAAAAGAGAAGTGGATGGATTACATTTTCATAAATATATGCAACAAGGGAAAATGTACGCGACCGGGAGATACAGAAAAACGGAATGGATAAATATTTTAAATTTATCAATGTGAAAGTGTTAAAGATTAGAATTCAAATATATTAGAGGATAAGAGGAAGTCGTAAAATAATGAGTCCGTTTTTATTATCACTACAATGTTATTAAATTACAAAAACCTTAAGATAGAAACCGCCGCTACTTAAACTCGATTAAGCTTACAAGCATAACATTTACAGGCGATTGCAGGTGCTTCGTAGTCATTATGTCCTCATTTTGTATTTGACATTTATACATACCAAACTAATATGCGATGTGGTATGGCCTCGTTTCTTCTTCGTTGTAGGTAAAGATGTACCTACTACGTCTGACGGAGTCATAAATTTCGCAAGCCGTAAAAATGCTCAAACGGTAAGGCTAGTTAATGTGCAAGAACCCGTAATTTTCTTATCCCTCGATGTATATTATTAAGCGTCCGCTTCACCGAAATAAATACAATAACTATTATGTTAGTGCTGCACTTGGGCTAAAAGCTTTCTATTATTTCCACAAACTGTGATTATACTTAAACACATATATTAATAGAAAGATTTTCTGCTAGTAAGTATTACCACAAATTCCATGTGATATGCGCACAACACCCACACGTTCCATAAATTCGCTCAGATTTTTTCTCAGTGCCAAAAAAAACTATTCATGGAAATCTTTTTCACTGGATACTCTCAAAAAAATATATTATATTTTTTTTTATCACTGAAAAAAAATTAGAAAACAATTAAATGGAGCACGCGCGAATTCATTCAACGATAACGGACAACGTTATACATCTGTTGTTTACTTAAGTACTTTATAAAATATTATATATTAATTATTATATATAACAACACACAGATCTGCACCGTGAAAATTTGTTCCAGACACGTTTTACTTGGTGTACTCACATACCATGTGTATTGAAATAAAAACCTTGAACACATATCTTTTGTAAACATTTTTGATGATTTATCAGTGTTTAATTAGAATTCTATACTAGGAGAAATGTATAGAGGAACTCGTGAGAACAAAATTATATTATAGTATACTACGACACCGTGTACGGTGTAGACCTACTGGCTCGGTGCTATACCCCTGTACTGTGCATTTGCTACATAATCAGTCTGTACAGTGATTTATAAGCTAGCCATATCTAACCCACTCAATGACATAATAAAATGTTTTGAAAATATTATCAGAATATTTTTAACGTTTTTAAAATATTTTAAAATAACGTTTTAGTCAGAAATGTAATGTTCTACAATTATAATTTACAACATGTTATAATATACGAGTAGTTTAATATTTATCAATATTTTAATTATATTAAAGCAACATTTTATAAATAATACTTCCGGAACAATAATTTATAGCCAAATAGACATGGAAAATATATTTTCTAAAAACATGTTAAACAACTTTTTTATTACATTATGAAAATATTTTATTGTACTGCAGACAGGAAAAGTTTAAATTGAATGTTTCCTAACATTTCCTATTTATAGTAACTTTAGTCATAACGCAAAGAATCGCAATGTATTATGACTTCTAAACGACAAATAAGCGAAAATGAAAATAGACTAAATTATATTGTTAGAATAAGAATTTTTGTTAAGTGCAAATTTGGGTATAGGAAAATCAGTATCAAATTCGATTGATAACCATATTTGTTAGGTAAAAAAAAGTACCAATTCGTGTGCTCATTTCTAATTACAAGTAATTACAATTCCTGGATAATTAAAGGGTTTCAATTATTATTTTTAGATTCGATCGATATCTATGACTAATGAGTATGAAAGAAGTAAATCAACTAGATAGGATAAGATTAAAATGAACCGACAAGAACGACTCGAAAATATGATTTGCAGAAGTGGTCAAAAAGAAGTTTTCTTAAATTTTAAGCATTTGCAGGTTTTTTTTATGAGCATTAATAGAATTTACATTGTAACGCTAATATATATTTTTTCGTTTGCACAATTAATCTACATTACGTTGTCTTTATGTATACTAAAATACTTTTAGTTTAAAAAACCTTTAGTTAGGTGTATATTAAAAACTGGTTACGCGTCAACTGGTTATTATTTTTATTGGACGATTCTGGTTTTATACTTCCTAAACACGCAGACTACTATACTTGGAATATCATAAGTAATATTACTGTTATGACTTGAATTGGGGTTGTTCAGTGTTCATGCTAAAAACATTTGTACCGTTTTGCAATTAACAAAAAAAAAAAACGAAAGTTATTAAAATCTTAACATAAGTATATACTGTATTTAATAGCTAACAACACAGTGAGATGAATCATGTGTGTTTGTATTTTTTTTTTTTTTCTTACCTTCTGGTCAGTAGGTCAGCCACGACAACTGGAGCCGTCATACGACGGTCACATTTTTATTTCCATTGTATGCACCAACAAAGAACGAGGCTAGTGACCCTCCAGACCCGACCGGCTAGACGCGGCGCGCAGTAGAAAGTAAGTTATTGATACTGCAGTAACGCATTCGCGCGTCAGGCTCTCGGTCTCGGTAAAATATGGGTGAATCGTAAGGCGGCAGACGAGGACGTCCGATTGTCGTCTGCCCGCAAGGAGCATTCTTAAACAAAAAAACATAATATACGATACACACCTTTATGGCGATATCTATACATATATATATATATATATATATATATATATATATATATATATATGTTATATTCATGTAGACAAAACGATCGTGGTCTTCGAGACTGTCCGATGTACATTGGGTATTTGCGGAACATAAAGTGTAAGGAATTCGAACACACTTCTATGGGTTAAGAAAACGACACCGAGTCTTGTCAGCGGTGGATTGTTTTGCCACGCAGAATGTTTGTTATGAGAACACGAAAAAACTTCCGTGACTACATAGTTGAAACATACCAAATGATCACAAGTCAAAAGAACGTTTTACTCCCAATTTTTTAGAGTAAAAATCTGCCTACGCAGAATTTGTTTTATTCGGGTCATTAGAACTTTACATTAGACGACGAACTTAACCCCAAAAATTGCGATTTTGAGGTTATTACAATTTTTTTATGTAGTATCTGATTTTGCACCCAAGCTCAAGCCATACCAACTGAATTCCGTTAAAAATGCTACTTTTATCATGTACTCGGACTATAAGATTGCAAGTCTTAGCCTATGGATGATCCTTCTTTTCAGTTTTTATGCTTTCTTGAAAAGTTGGCATGATGTGACTGATGTTCGTCTGGTTCTAAAGTAGTTACCTACAAATATTTACTAGAAAAAAGTTATCACCGTTTAAAAAAGTAAAAATTGCGTTTTTTCGACACTAAGTATTGAGCTAAGTAAAATATAATGAATATTTTGATAATATTATAATAATATAAGTGTGTAAGTATGTTTGCTCTAAATTCGTCTTAAAGAAAGCTGTCAAAGGTGCTGTGTTGTTCTGATAAAATAAGTAATTACCTATAAAAACAACTGTTTAAATAAGATTATTTTTCATTATCACAGGCAAAATGTTTACTAATTTTTTTTTTCTCGCTGCTGAAAAAAGCAAAATTGTTGAGTAAGATGTCAACTCTCAAAATGACTAACATTTTGGTCGGATAAAACTCAATAAGCGGACTAGGGGCTACTGTCGCTTGTACTGATCTACGAAAAGGCCTTTCCCTGTGACTATTACACGATTAAGTTCTTAATACAACTATTAACTGTTAACAATAGCGCTCACGTGATGTATTTTGATATGAAATAAGTAGAAAGTAAAATGACTTCCTTCCTATGTATGTATTATAATGATTATCGTGTTATCGATTGCCGGTAAGGTTAAGTCATGTTACATTCAACCAGTATGTAATATAAAATCTTTATGACAGCGGGCGTTGTTGGGACAAGACCAATTAGGTATTGATTGGAAAGGATAACAAAAGAAATAAGACAATAGAACTCTTTATGGATTGAAACATGGTCGTCGTCCGTGACGTTCGCCTCGGTCAAAAACATAAAAAGACAGATGATCTCAATTTACTCGTCAATAGATATAAACGTTTAAATGGCGTGTACTCGATTACACTGTCTGATTAAAACGTCAATGACCAGTTCTTAGTAATCTGTACGGTGCAAAATATGATTGTGGTGCAAAATATGTTTGGTCTTGACTCTGAGGCGAAACTATTCTCACACCCACGCGATGTGAAAGTGTTCCGGTGTATATTCAAAGAGAAACTAAATAGTAAGGAAAAAAACACTAATTAAAAACGAAAAAAAGTTGTTTTCTAAGTGCTATATTAAACCGAAAACTAGAGTTTAAAAACAGACATACACCGCAGTTCTAAACGTGTCGAAAGGGTGCCAACAATCAAGTTGTTTACATTATGTATAACGTTGTTAATTAATGAGCTAAGAAACTTGCATCAACTAGGAGTAGGAGTGGCCGAGTGGGTAAGGTGGCAGTGTGTTAGCGCTCACTGTCGCCGGTTCGACACTCGGTCACAGGCGCTCCGTTTGCTGGGCGAGCAATCGTCCGGTGAAAAGGAACCGCCATCCCCCTCTCCGGCGACGGATTGACGACCCGTCCCGGAAGCGAATTCGTCAAGAAACTATCTCATGATGGCAGCGTTGGGTGGGCCCTCATGGTCCTTTAAGCTGCATGAATAATGATGAAGAAACTAGCATACATTTTACATGGTTTTCCTATAAACTCGGCATTTTGGTCTCTGACTAGAATTATATAACAGAGAACTGAGATACCAGGCAGTAATACACCTTAACTAAAGTAATAATCGTCAGCATTATTTTCACAGGAGTTTTGGCAGTCAGGGATTCTGCGTGTCCAAGAATATGTCCGCAAAGTAGTTCGGAAGAGCCAGTGTGTGGTTCTGACGGAATTATATACTCAAATAGTTGCGAGCTGAAAAAGAAGACTTGTGGCAAAGGTACAAAATGATTTTTTTAATACGATAAATACCAAAGAAATATAGAAACGTATAAGAAATATTAAAAAGAACATTTTTCCCAAATAATTAAGACATTTATAAAAAAAATAGATTATTGCTGTTTATATTAAACAGTGGAATAAAAATACTCAACATAATAATTATGTTGATTTTATTAGTTATTTTTATATCTGCTCGTTTACAAAAAATATTAACAATATACAAACATAAGCTACAAAACTAATTGTATTATCGGCTATCGCAGACAATTTTAAAATATTCCCACATTTTCAATTATACTTTTTTAATGACAATGTAATAATGGGAATATCCTGATTTTAGAAATCCGGAAACATTTTTATTTAAGTTTAATAGTACAATTTTTGTTATAACTAAACGTTATAAGCATAGGTAAACAACAATTGTATTATTTAATGTGGATAGAACAATAATAATGATAAATCTCTAAAACCGTATAATCCATAAAATATAAATTTGAATAACCATCCGGATATTTAAATATGTACTTAAGAAGTCCCACCCATATTTAATAGTGGTTTGGAAATAGTGGATAATTATAATTATTTTCAGCTATAAAACAATATTGATGTTTATTACTGAAATCTAAAAAGAATATTCCAAACGCTGCTAAAATATCTTTGTGTGCCTAAATAATATCGTACACCATAATTTTTGAACAAGAACCAAAATTCGTCTATTTTTGTTTCTGAATTCGAATCTGGACTCGGAACCATTTAATATAATCTAGTTTTTTTTTTGTAAAAAAACACTATTTCGAAGATATTTTTAACTTCAATTATAGATTTTTAGTCTGCTTTTTTTTGCTGAATTCAGAATAAGATTTATTATTAATGTAGAATTTTCAATATTTTAATCATTTTTTTTGTATATTGTTTAAAACTTTGGAAGCAATTTAGTAATGCGGATTCCTTTTCAAATAATTTTTTTTTTTTTTTAAATATGTATTTAAGTTTTTGTTTCAAAAACATCAGATTTTGTTGTACTGTGTAACCATTGTACCTACTATTATATTTTTTTAGACACACTATTATTATTACACTCTAAAAGTTCAACTATATTAAAATATTGACAAACCTACATACTTTTTAGGATAACAAGTCAGTAGAAAATTAATAAGCACGTCCCTGTTGTGTTTTTGTTTCTATTATTTCTCAGCGAATTAAATTTAAAATGTCGTTTTAAATTGTCCTTGCCCCATTTAATTAAAGGTGTGACGGAAGCGGAAAGCCCCACGCAATGCCTACGAGCTTACGGCTCGAATTGCGAGCACCGATGTGGCAAAGAACAGGACCCTGTTTGCGGTACGGACGGTCGAACTTATCTGAACCGGTGCATGATGCAAGTGGAAATATGTAGGTCAGTACAAGTCAATAACAAAAAAGAAATTATATTGGAGACGGAACTGAAAATCGCAATAAAATAGCGTTGGCTGGCTCTAAAGTAGAATATGTATTTAACGGCTATATTAAGTACCGTGTATTTTTCTCTTCTAGAGTCGGCACATCCATGTCGCACCTCGGCCCTTGCAATAACATTTCAGCCCACCGAGAGAACTGCCCGGTTAGCTGCGAACAGGCGCCATTGGACGGCCCCGTGTGTGGATCCGATGGTAACGTTTACAAGAACACTTGTCAAATGAAATTGTTCACTTGCGGGTAAATACATAGATTTATTATACTTATTATTCGCTTCACACTTGACACTGCCATTCATAGAAATGCAAAAACCTAAGATGACAATAAGAAAATACAGAACATTATCTACAGTTAACTTGCTCAGACAATATCAATTGATTCTGTTTATCACCTTCTATAAGCTCATTATCTCGCTACTTATACTCTTTATATTCTGTTCAGACCTATATTTCGAAGCTATTTTACTCCAACGCTTCCGTCCATATCGCTCTAATTTAACTCCTAACACTTTTATCGTCCTCTACAACAATTTGCAAACATCAGTCAGCCAAACAAGTAGGAGTCAAATTCGTACCTTCGATGAACATCTACTCTCACCACTCGTTCTTGCTCTCCCATTTATATTATATAACATTTTGTACGTGGAATTTTTGCAGTCAAGGTGTAGTGAGGACGTCAAAGAAACACTGTCAGACCACAAGGCATTGTCGCGAGTCTTGCTGGCGTGTATCTAAGCCTACTTGTGGCTCGGACGGCAACATCTACAGCAACGCATGTCGAATGAAATCCAAAAACTGCGGTAAGCACGTATTCGAGGTGCCTATGGCATTCTGCTTGACCCAAGAACGAAACCGGGTGGGCTCCTCGAACGCTTGTCCGGTGAGTTGCGACAAAGAAAAGGAACGATTGACTTGTGCATCCGACGGCAACGTATACCGCAACGAGTGCGAAATGAAAATGTTGAACTGCGGGTGAGTACAAAATACAGGCCAGGCCTCCTAGTATATTGTATTATGGTAGCTTACTTGTATACAGCCCCAATGATATTACACATGTGTATGCAATAGGGAGTGAATAGGCAATATTCCCGGTTAGACAAAAACCGTTAGTTACATAAACTATGTATTACGTGTTACTTGAGGAAGAAACACGTACAGTATGTTAATGTAGCGATTTTCGAGGCAAAATCAAGACACAATTAGTTGATCATAGCAACATTGCGTATATTTTGGCTTTTATTAGATTATAACTTTATTATTTTCCGTTTGTGTCAGTCTACATTCCACCTAACATTTCTGGATTCCTCGCCATATCCAAAGGTAGTGCGCTTATTATTTGACTGTTTCGAGAGTAGAATTAACTTAGAAAATTACGGCCACCATTTTACTCTTCGGGTGGGTGTATACACTTTTAGCCTTCAGGGAAGATACAGGGTAGCTCCCTGTTCCTTCGAGGGTCTCTAGTTCACACCAGCGAAAGGCAGAAATACTGTCATGTGAAATCTGCTCGCCGAATTGTATACCGACAAATCAAATTTCAGACAACAAAACAAAAGGAAAGTGACCAAGGTGGACTTTGACAAGTGCAAGTCCAAAATCAACAAGTGCAACAAACTACAATGTTCGGATGAAGTCGATCCAATTTGCGGTAACGACGCTCAAACGTATAAGAATCAATGCCACCTGGGAGTGGCCACGTGTCTGTGAGTATATAAATATGCATCCACGCTAGTATGTCTGTACCTATAGTTATTAATGTATAATAATTAAACGCGATGCTGTTCACAGGAGAGGAATACAAAAGTCGCACGTGGGTGAATGTGCGTCGCTACTCAGCGAAACGTGTCCAGTGGAGTGCGACAATGTACGCGAAGAACCAGTGTGCGGGTCCGACGGTAACGTTTACAGGTAAAGCAAAATATGTTTTAGATATCTTACACGAGAATCATTTCCTACATAAGTATCGCGTTTGCTAAAATCAAACTAAATCAAATGTCTAGGTTAATATAGGTTGGAATACATACATATTGTTGTAGTGTTACAATTTTCCTTGAGTTGCAAAACCTTCTTAGGTCTTAACCGTATTTTTAAAATTAAATAATTAAATTCATTAGCTAAAAAGCAAAGAACAAAAACAACCTTAGCACTAATAGTAATTTAGTTCAGGCGGTTCGTGTACGAGATACCTATGCTTTATAAATCGCATTGTACATTAATGGCTTTTACAACTGGTTGTTTCGTTTTGTAGATCAGAGTGCGATTTAAAGATGAATACTTGCGGTCAAAAAGTCGTTATCGTACCGCCACATCATTGTCCCACGACCGCCCAGTGCAATCAACAGTGCGATAAAGTCAAACAGTTCGTATGCGGTTCTGACAACAAATTTTACAGAAACGAATGCGAAATGAAACGAGAAAACTGCGGGTGAGTCCTAGACTAAGTTATGAAGTTTAAAAAACAATTTTGGTGGAACATGCGGCCATAAGCGTATCATCATTCAGTGCACACTAAAATTACTATAATTTATAATATAAACCACTACAGATCTACTACATTTTTTAAATTATACTTATAGAGTAATTTGAACAAATTGATTGTTATAAAAGTTGGGTAGCAAAATTCTATCTAATGAGGTTGTTAAAGTTACCATTTTGAGTCATTTTCAGTGTTATAAGTAAATATTATTAATTTTCTAATTTATCTACCTATTTTCTTTGCTCAATTCAAAATTCATGTTGTATTTATAGCTTTTATTAAGCGAAAATACATTTTTGATGTATAGTATTTCTTAATAAATTATGTTTTAAAAATTCTTTGTAAAACAAAAATTCACATTATGTTTGGGAAAAAAACCAAAATAGACAAAATTTATAATTTTTTTTCTAGCACTTCTGTTTTTTTCAATTGCCTCAAAAGTTTTTTGGAGTATTTGTAAGTTTTTTACAAAATAAAAATCGTAATTTTTAAATTATCTTTTTTGTTAAAGATTTAAGAAAAATGTAATTTATAAATTCTTGTAAATTTAATTCAAATACATAATTTGTAATTTGTTATATTGCATAATATTTATGAATGAATGTATTACAATACTTAAGTTATGAAAAGGACCAATCATAATTTTGAAATTATATTTAGAGAAATATGTGTATCTTACCTTTAATAGTCTGAAAAATATGACTGTCATTTATTTTACTATATTTTCCTTTCAGGAAACACGTTTACGTAGTGCCAATGAAGAGGTGTCTGTCGGGTTTCCAGTTCAAAGGATGCCAGCGAGTTTGCCCACCATTGTATGATCCGATTTGTGGCACTGACCTGAAGACGTACAGTAATGACTGTTTCTTAGAAATGGAAAATTGTCGGTCCAGGTCGCTAGTCAGCAAACAGTACCACGGCGTGTGCGGGCAGCCGGTCGAGGAGCCCAAAAACTATCTCTACTGATCTTACTATACGTATCAGACGACTTATGCATCAACGTCAAAATATAATATAATTACATAAATATTTTAATGTCGCCATTAGAGCTATACTTGTAATATTTTATAAACTAATATTTTAATTTTGTTTAACTCAGACAAAAAAAATCATTGTAAGAAATGTAATACTTGGCAGGAGCAACGCACACTCCAATGGTACATACGCCGTACTCTAAACAACCGTTATTATATTCGGCTAATAAAACGCGCAAAAATCAAACAAACTTTAATATATTACCTGAATTATTAGGTTATTAGGAGTTTTGAATATTATTTTTTAAGTCTTATTTATTTATAATTTATATTTATAAATGTATCACTACAGTCTACAACTGTGCTGTTTAACAGACTATTTAAGCACTAGTCTAACAGCTTTATAGGTAGTCTATAGTCATGAGATATTGAAATGTGTGTCACATCTGACACCATATAAGTGCCAATATGATAATGTATAAAAATAAATTATTATTTGTTTATCTAGTAATAATAATAATATTAAATAAATACATGAGTTGTAGATACATTGATTTATTATTTTTTCATTTATATCCATATTCCAAGTATTTTTATTTTAATTGTAGATTACAACTGAACAGTAGTATAACTTGTTATGAATTTCTTTTCAATGTAGTCGAACAGTTACCCGATGGATATGCCTTTTTAAATTTATCAATTAGATCTTGATCCGTTAACCTGATGCCTTCAACTTGATTTCCAAGAGTTATCCTAAAGCAATGTATGCATTAAAAAAAAAAAAGTAATACTCGGTTTGGAATATCAAAGAACAAAAATTACCAGTTTGGCTGAATATTGTGAGCCCTGCCAAAAAGTTCAATTTTTCTTGTACCAGGTGACAGACGCTCGATAATACCATATATTTCATCTGGTTTATGGCTAGTGTCTCTCACTTCTGCAACAATTACGTCACAATCTAGACCACAATTTAAATTTGGAGGATTTCCCTTCATTCCCACCTAAAAAATACAATAATAAAAAAAAAAATATTAAATTTCAGAATCTCGTATACAATGTGAGAGGATGTTATTTTTAAGGAATTCCTAAAAACCTAAACCCTTCTCACCCTTATCTGTTTTGGCGCTTTTTTTTATTATTTAAAATTAATGTTTTACTCAATAAAACTTATTTTATTTAATAAAAAAAATGTGTTTTGTTAGAGTAATATGAATTTTGCTAGTAACTGTATATATCAAGGACCTCTAATAGAACCAATATACTTACCAAACAGTGTTCTTTACCATGGTTGAGCCAGTGGCCAGTTCTACCTGTCCTTATAATCCTCTGTAATTGGTTGGTTTTTACCCAAATAATTTCATCTACTCGTTTATATCCCCACAATTTAAGGCATTCTCTTCCTAGTTCCATTGCGCTAATAAAAATAAAAGATAAAAATTAAAAAGTATTTAAAATTTATTTTTTTATTTTTGCTTACCGCCCTGTAACCCATAGAAATATAAGTCCATCGTCTTGTAGTTGAGGAATACCTAAACGTCTCATTTCATCATCGGATAATGTTCCATAAGGAAGTTCCATATGAATGTCCCACGGAGGATCAGCCATAATCACAGCAAATTTTCCTAATCATTTTTTAAAATTTTATAAACATCTATATTACTTTTAAATACAGGCACTTACCTAAAAACGTAAAATCCATATATCTTAGATCGCACTGGATCCATTGACAAGGAAACAGTTCATTTTTATCGGACGATATTTCTTTCTTAGCTGGAAAACTATTCAGCGCATTCACTAAATTTACTTTACTAGTAACACCATCTACTTCATAATGGACGTACCTAACAGGATAAAAAATTTTATAAATGTTACAGGTTACTATATATTTTATATTATAAAATAATATAGAAGCTAATAATTTATTGTATGTACAATAAAAAAGTTGAGTAAAATATAATAGGTATTTTTTATGATACAGTATTATTATTAAGTAATAATAAGGTTAGGTTAGGTTAAGGCAAACCCCATTACAAAATATTACTAAAAGCCACACAACCCAACCCTAAGCGCTGGTATTTGCACAACACATTTCAATCATGACCAATACACATATTTGTTTCAAATCATTGTGCATTACTTAATCCATGCCATGTTTGCATAAACACTCTATGCCTGAAATTTAATCTTTTGTTTATTTGAATAAGTTGTATTGCTGCCATTTTTTTATTCTGCAATACAGTTTTGGCCATCTTTGTACAACATATCTTTGGCAAGCATAAAAAAACTGGTTATTTTTTGGATTTAAAAATTATTTTTTATTATATAAAAAAAAATTTTAACTCCAAAATTCCAAAATGCATATTTTTTTTTTGTACCTTTGTTTAGTGTCTATCGAAAAAACATTTTTTTTTATGCAATTTCTCAATTAATACAGAGGAATGATATAAACCTACTTGCATGTATCCATGTGAAAACATGTATTGAGAAATGAACAGTCGCCTAAGGATTCATCTGTGTGTAGTTGAATGATTTTTTTGAAATGTAGTTTTTTACACACGTGGCCTTCCATACAATCGGACCGAGTGCCGTGTGGGCAGAACTCCATAACATGAGTACCTATAATATAGCAATTTAATTTTATGTAATACAAGTTTAAAATAAGATAAAATATTTTTACCTCCTTTCGACCGGAAACTTTCAGCCAATGATCTTTCCTTCACAGTTGGTTTATTAAGAAGTTCCATAATTTCTTCACTAATTTTTTTAATTTCTTTTTCTCTAATGGATGGCATAGATATAAGCGACTAAAATCATAAAAGTCAAAATTTTAAATAAAACAATTAATTCTAACCCGGATTTTCATAACAACAATAAATTCACCATTATATCATCGTCAGATTCTTCAGATTTTCGTATTTCACAAGACAGTTTAGGAATTTTTACTTTTTTCTGGCACTCGTTGATATCTTCATCTAAAATATTTTTCTAAAATCGATTTATACTAAAAAAAAAAAATGCGAAATTACCTTCAAGTTGTTTAATTTTGTTTTCCAGTAACAAACGGGACTTTTCAAACTGTGTGACTGTGTCAATTTCTGATGATAAATCGTTAATCATAGCAAGACATTTAGCGTGTTCTGTTGTTAATATTTTTAAACTCCTTTGACCATCGGCGATAATATTTTCAATACTAAATTAAACGTAATTAATATATAAAAATTGAATAGTATGAATAATTTTATTTGAATTTTAACACAAATAATACCTGATTAGGTTTTGAGCAGAAAATTTATTGAGAAGATCTATAACAGATGAATGAGATACGTAAGTAGACTGTTTTTTTGAAAGTGCAGCTACTAATTGATTAGACGTCATAGGAAAATTAAGAGAAACGTCAATAAGTGTTTCCAACAATACGCGTTCGCCGCCGACTTTACTCCAATCGAAGTTTGACTCATTTTCACCGCTGCCAGCAAAAGTTGTTAAAGAATGTCCTAAAAATATGATAGCCAGTAAAGCTAATTGTGTTGTAAAAACATCATAACTCACTAGGGATACTCACTAGAAACAATACTATCAACGGACTCGTTAAGAATAACCTGACGTTCAATTTTTCTTTTTTTCAGTTTTTCACGTAAGGAATTCCGTTTACTTTTAACCGCTTGGATTTCTTGCCAAGCATCTGACATAGTGAATCACAATATTATATTTAACTACTTAACTATGAAGTACAGTAAAGAAAAATACCATTATGCCGCTTGTTTTTTTTTTTTTTTATTTGTATACATTTTAGTCATTTAACCTAAATTAAAAACATAATTAATACTTTAAAAACATATTATTAAAAAAATAATAGTTCAATGAAATCAGTTTTCAAAAAGGATTTAAAAATAAAATATCCATATTTTATAGCCGAACTTCCAAAACATGGGCAAATAAATGTTATTATAATATTATGTTGATAATAATACGAGTGATAATGTGTGATAAAACAACACATTTTGTTAGCTAAATAGCGGTAGCCGGTATACCATAATTTTAATACACCAAAGTACTAATTAAATAGTGGTTATAGTATAAAAATTTCGTCGTTGTAACGAAAAAAAACTCCCGTGTGCTAAAGCCTACTAGTGTGCAACTGCTTTTGAACGCTTCTGTTTACTGCTTTCCAGCCATTACTTTCATTCTTTTTCTGTTTCCGGCGTTAGCTAGGCGTCGAATGCGCGTTGACCTAATCCTGTGTACCTTTTCTAAACGCGCGTAGGCTCTTCATGTGAACTAACCCAATTATTTAGGAGACATGTTTAAAAGGTGTAAAACGATTAATAGTAGGTAACACATAGGTTTTTTTTAATTTATTCTACAATAAAAATAGCACGTTGGAGATTTTTTCATATGATAGCTTATTTTTTTCTGTATCCCGGGCATATTGAAACCTCAAAATCGTTAAATTGGCATATAGGTTTTATCGAGACAACCACGATTTTATGTAAAAATAAATAAATAGGTATAAAAATTTAAATAAATTGTTTATTACAATAATTAAAATAAATAAATGAATAGAGAAAATTAGCACAAAATACAAAAGGCATAAAAAAATAGAAATGAAAGGGAAAAAAATCAAGACTAACGATGGTAATTTATAAGGCATCTGTTAACACTATTAAACATAATTTGACCAAGTTCACCAAGCTTTGTTTATGTTTCTTAAAAAATTAATTTGGAACCAAATCCCGTGACATCCCACCTATAAATTTGTTTAATACCGTACGTTTGTGTCAAGTGTTTTTTTTTTATTTCTAGTAATTTTTATTTCGACATATTTTAGGATGTCAAAAAAGGATTCGCAAAGCTGATAGTTTAAAATACCGGCTGATCTGATTGGCTCTTTGGTGATTTTTGTATAAAATTCGTTCCGTTCCGTTTTCTTTATGGATTTCGTTTCATAAGTCTCTTAATCTGAGTGTCTATCAGGATGCACTTAAGCATTTCTTTGTATTCATAAGCTCAACTAATTATTTGTGGTAACCGTATAGTTTATAAATGTTTAGAAGTGTTGTGTACAAATAATTATTCTTATAAAATTTTAAGTTTTTATAAATATCATTCAACTATATTTTGTATTACCCCGTTTCGCATATAAATAAATAAAAAGGTATAACCAACTATAAATAGAGTAATGAAATTTAAAATTATACTAGTCTAGTAATTTAAATTTAACTAGTTTGAATTTCTAAATATTAAAAAAAACCATAGCCAAGTCAAAACACTCATTGAACAGTTATTATTGTAGACAATATAGTTATTACTATTTATTTTATCATTTTCATGTATAACAATGACTTACATTATTTCAAGTGGTAGCATTTATAAGCAAAAAAAATGTTAAAAATCAGTCTTTACATATACATATAATTACAATTTATATGATACATATTTGTTTAAATTATAAGTTTTAAATAACTTATAAATTAGGTATTTACAAAAAATTTAGAAAAATGAATAATAAAATGGAAATAATAATTTTAGATTAGTAATCATACATTATATACAAAAGTTTATTTTTAAGAAATTAATAATATATTAATTGCTATTTTTAATCCAGGAAAACAGTCATCATTTTCTTTTATCAGTTCTATGCGTATGGTAAAAACATTAAGGAATATATTTTTATTAATTGTATATGCTTAAAAATATGAGATAGTTTATCAAGTAAATATTATTAGTGAAATATAAAGTATTTTGTATGTGTACACACACTGGAAAAAAAAACATTAATATACATAATATATAATGAAATACAACAGCAGCTAAGGTTTATTAAAATTATTCAACCACTTTTTTTTTTTTAATTATATAAATTTTATATTTTTGTCTAAAAAGGATATTTTTTAGTGTGCCGAGAATCATTTCGTTCTGTCCACTCTTTTAAATGTGGAGATTTTTCCTTGATAAAAAAAAAAAAATTAATTACAGGTTATATATTAGGTTTGAATATAAATATTTATAATATATTATGTATAATATTATGCTTACTCGTTCTGATCTGTGTTTGTCATTTGTATTATCTTCATGACGAGTATCTACAGGTTTAGTATTATCTAAAATAAAAATATACAATTAAGATTGGGCACAACAATTATAACTTTATAGATCAACTTACGTTTTTCATCTTCCTTACGTCGCTTTAACTCTGGTGTGGTTTCTTCTCTACGTTCTGTCTATTAAAAAAAAACATTAAGTTTACAAAAAGGCTATTGGCTATTACCAGGTGGTATATTCATAATATTAAATGGTCGGGTATCAAAAGCTCTAGTAAAAACTATATTAGTGTTGTTAATATACATAATATACAATAATAACATACCCGCTTTCTACTAATTTTACGTTCTTTGCGAGCTTCTTTTGATGACGCTGAATCAGATGATTGAGATTTTTTAAGTTTCTTATCCTTTTTCTCTGCCAATGTCGATCCATTTGTTTCAGTTTTTACTTCTGAGTTATATTTCACAGGTTGCTGTCGAGTTAAAAGTATACAGAAAATTGCAAATAAAAAAAGAACACACTGTATAAAAACAATAACTATTCTATAAAACCAACAGTTTTACATAGCTAATGGTAATTTTCTTGTTTCCTTTCTTTTAGATGTTTTGTAAAAACGAAAATAACCAAAGTGTAATTTTTATGGAACGGAAATAATAAAAACAACATTTACTAACACATATTAGGGTATAAATAAATACATTATTAAAAAACCAGCAAGGTCTTCTCTTCAATACTCGTTGAGGAAGGTGTTCAGCTACAACAGCACAATTCATCGTTTCCATCGTGTTTTGCAACAGATCCGATTTCGACATTTGGAAAATTTCAGTAATTGTAGAACACTATTGTAGTACAAATTATTGAGGGAACGTCATTTCAGGTGACACACACATACTTTAGGCTGCTCGAGCACTTTGGTTGAGAGATGAGACTATATTTATTATTGTGTTTTAGCGAATAACAGGAAGAATGTAGTAACTGTGATTTTTTTTTGATAAGAAGGCTCCAGCTTCAATTCTTACCTTCGTAACTGGACTGGTGTCCAATCGTTTTCGTTTGATATCTGAAATGTATAAACACAAATAGAAATACTATAAACTCTGAATTCCTTGATTTAAAAAAATTCTCAGAATATAAACTACTGTATTATGATATTAACAGTTCACAACTTTTTTTTTTTGTTTACCTTTGTCAGCTGCTGCATAAGAACTATTATTTATTTCGACCTCATTATTGGCTAATTTCTCTCCCGATATTGTTTGAGTCTGGACTTTGTTATTATGATTCACTATAGAACTGCTATTAACTGAATCCTTTACGATGTGATTTTTGGAAATTTCAAACTAAAAATAAAAATAAAACAATTGTAGAAGCAAAAAAAAATATATACATATATCATATATATATGGCAATCAAAAAGTAAGCTGAATTGGGCCATATATTTTTTCCAAGTAAATATTTTTTGATAAAATTTGATGGCAACACCTTTGAATGGTTCTCTCAAAGTATTAATAGCAAAATTGAAATCAGTTAAAAAGCTTATCAGTTATTAGTTAACCATCACATCATGACTTTACTACTGCAGTTACATAGTCCAAAATTAAAATATAAATATATATTATAAACAGCAAACATATTTATCACAATAAGCTGTGTCAACATCGCAATGATAATAACGCTACGACTACAATTGTAATGTATATCTTAAGCAGGACAGTCATTATATCCCAACAAAAATACTTCAGTGGTCAAGTACATTTTTTTTTTTTAGTGACCGTTTGGTTTTCTTACTTAATATTGTTTGTAAGCAAAATATTTATCGGGAACTAAGGAAAAAAAAATTTTAATGCAGTAAATTTTTAATGTGAGTATATGTTCTTAATTTTAGCTAAAAAAGTAACTCGCTTCACTGATTTTTGGTATTTTGTTCTCGATACATTGATCGTCGTGAATTTTGGTATACTTTATTGACCGGTTATCATTTTTATCTACCAGAAAAAACTTACATAAGTATCATTTTCTTTATCAAAATTCTCATCTCTACTTCGTTTTTCTTTTTTTTTAGCATTTGGATCTTCCATTTGTTCCCCTTTTTCTGGTTCTATGGTAGTCTCGTGTGTTTTTTCACTAAAATAAAATTAGTTATTCATTTTTGGAGTTTAAATACTTTATTTAAATTTAAAAAAAAAAACTATAACTACTTACTTTGGCTGTGCTGAAGACATTTTAATTGGCCGCTTATCTGCTTTCACCTTGTCTACAATTTTTTTTTCCGCTTCAACCCATTCTTAAAAATAAATTAAAAATTAAAAAATTATCTGGAGTTAAAAAAAAAAAAAATTACCTGATGCTGACGTTCCATTGATAGCAGTTTTAATAACAGGTAATGGCGGTGTTTTAGCTTCAGGAATTTTTTCATCTTCTTTCTTCTTTACATCCTGAGCATTCTTTATTACATCAGATTTACCATCACTTACACTATTTGTTGATTGACTTACCTAGTATAATAATAAACATAAATTACATTAAATTGTATACAGTTACAGAGTTACAGAAAAATTACCTTTTCACTGACTAGATGGAAATCCGCCTCCTTGAGGAACTGACTTGACCTGCCTTTTAGAAGACCACAATATGATGTTGCCAAAGTATATAGATCTTGTCGTTTTTCTTTTTCATCTTCTCTTACTTTTTCTACTTTTTTATCAATTAAAGTTGCCAATTTAGTTAATACCGGAAAATGGTTTACAATTTTGATCAAGATTATCAATGAATTACGAATTTGCACATAATCCTTAGACTCCAAGCAAACCATCATGGCCTTAGAAATAATAATTTATATTAATACAGTATACTTCAGATTATTGATATAATTATATACCATCCATTATGTTTCAAAATGTTTGCTAAAAAGAATATTTATTTTAAGTTCTCAACTTTAATGATTGGGATGTTCAAGACAAGAAAAAAATCCAACTTCTATTTAATAGTTTTGCTGATTTGTAAAAATGAATGTTAACTTATTAAGTTATCAAAACAATAATAAAGGAGGCAGTTTTCATCCCTTTTTATTAGCTCATAACCACTTCAGTGTCAACATAAATCCATCATAAAAAAAGTGAAACATTCATGAAAAACAAATTTTGGCAAAAAAATACAAATGAGACTGAACATTTGAAGTTTATATCCATAACAATAGTCTTATAAAAAAAAAGAAGACATGAAAAATGTTCATTTCTTTATTTATTTAATCTAAGCTTTGGCAACTATTGGCCTTTTGCTATCGATTAATTGTTTTTTTGGGTTAGTTTCGAGTTTGGTTGGGTTTGTGTAGATGTGGAACACATGAGGTGGGAACATGGAATGAATCGCCGCTAAAAATCAAAGCAGCAACATACATAGCTTATTTCTTTAATGTACTATTCATTATTGAATAAATTGGCTATATTATTTAATTATCAGTGTTCAATCATTCTACATAATATGTTAATTATTAGTAGTGATAAGTGTACTGTGCATAGGTCATATGACTGTTTTTCATCCATTATGTTTAAATGGATGCTTAAAACGAATAGTAGCTAGGGTTAAAACTGAGTCGAGTGGATTTTATTTTGGAAATTTTTTTCATAATTAATTTGTACATCCATTTACATTTAATTTTTTTATAGAATAAAATGGACGACTCCTGCGAGCAAACATTTTTGAAAAAGTCATAAATAATAAACACTTCAACCATAGTGAACACATAATATATAATTTAAAAGAACAGTTCATTACTTTTGTTATTTTATAATGCCATTTGTGACATACGTGTCTGAAATTTTCATAACCAACGTGATCGTTACTCGATTGAACAAACTGATCACTATTTTTACATTTAGTCACAAATCCAGGATATGTGGCACATTCTTTCTCAAAAATCTCGTGACTTGAATGCCAGCGACTTACATTTTTTAACATTTCGTTTAAGAAAATACCATACCGATGAGCTTCATTTTCTGTACAGAGTGTTACAGAATAAGTGATATCACAAAACAACTAAATATAAAAAATCAGATCAATATTTCATATTAAAGCTTTAAAAATTATAAAAGAATTTTACATACTCGGTCATAACAGAGTAAAGTTGAAAAATTTGCAGTTTTTAATGAATGTAATGTTTGAACAAACTTAGCACAATACATAGCATCTGTGTGTGTAAAAATACATCGTGGAAACAAGCACAATTGTAAAAACTGTGTTACAGTTTCGTTTTTAGCTGATTTAGCCGAACGGGATAAAAACCACGTATCTTTTTCCTAAAATTGAATTTTTATTATTTTAAACATTTAATCACTTATGGAAAACATTGTTATTTACTTGATTTAACATGTAGTTAATTTTTTCAATATGTTCTTGTTGCTTTTTTTTCTCGTCGTTGAGCTTTGTTATTATTGTCGATAATCGTTCTTGTTCTTTCTTTACTTTAGTATTCTAAAAATACAATCAACTGAAAACCAAGATAACAAAGTAAAAAGGTGAACGTTTAAATTCTTACAGCTTGTTTTGAATCCCCTAGTGCAGCGGATTGTGCTTTGAGTTTATTAATTTCTCTTTTATAAGCTTCGACGGGAACACTTAAGTCATACAAAGTCAATGACCAAAATGTTACTAAAAATCCTGGAGATACATCTTCCCACACTTTTTCAAGATGTAACGGTACGACAGAATCAACAATAGATGACATTACTTCTTTATATGCCTCTGCATACATGGTTTGTCGAATCGGCAATGATTTTTTAGAATTTGGATCAGCTTTACGCAATGTATCAAAACGAGTCTATAAAATTATTATTATTAGTAAAATCATTTGCAAGTTTTCATAAAGTATAAAAACACTTACATTAATAAAATGGTTAAACATCGGTCTGGCCAGAAAAAAGGCCACGTCCATATGAACATGATGTTGATCAAGTAAATCATGAACAGATGGCAAGTGATTAATATATTCCTCCATGGAAAACGTAGATCCCATAAAAGTGCCATATTGAACTAAAGTATCCTGACACTGTGACATAAGAAATTTAAATAAACTAAAATAAAACTGTATGTTTATTATTACTTTAGTTTACCTGATCATAGAGCTGTCCTGCCAGTTTGATGTGTATTGATTCGTGTTCTTTGTAAATTACGCTATGTCTTTGCTGAGCAATTAATAAACATAGAGCTACAGCTAAATTATTATCCAACAAAGACTCCTTTAATCGAATTGAAGATTTTTTTGTATTCCTTATTTGATTATAATAACCAGCCTTAAATAAACCATTGTAGTACGATTAATACGGGGAAACTATTATATTAATTATTATTTAAAAAAATGATCGATATACTTCTGTTTTAAGATAATCACCTCCCGACATAGCTTCAATTTGATCGGGAGTTATTTGTTCCATAAGTTCAACACCAGCCATCTTTAACACTATTTCTTTAAGTATCAAAAGATCCAAGCTGCAAAATTTTTAAAAATGCAATATTAATAATGAAATTAAGTCAACATTTTCCTTTTAAATTACCTGTTTTCAGTCTTAAGTTGATTTGCTACATACTGTAAGATACCAGTAAGTTCTATAGGATGTTTTTTGAAAATAGCTCCACAAAATGAAGCTGTGCTCTGAAGCCATACAGATATAGATGTTCCATCGTGTTTTACTCTATCTTGACCACTTTTACCTAATGTTTCCACAATACAATATCCGAGCACATCAAATGACAAGCTAGTCATGAATTTCAAACATTCAACAACGATACTGCTCAGATTGTCAAACACTTGAATTTGTCCTAATATCTAAAATTATCATTATAATTTTAAATATTAATTAACATCTCGATTGTCATAAATTCAAAAGTAAAATATTGATTATTACATAATCAAACAAGTAACCCGGGGCATAATGTGATATTTTGCCGATTACTCTACTTGAAGGTTTAGTATTATCTTTGCAAAGGCGTTTCATAACAGATTTGGCTTTTTTCTGAACGTCAACCTTCTTAGTCAACAACTTAGGATGGTATTTATGGGTTTCATTCTTCCAACTGTTGTATAATGCGTACCTAAATATTTTTCATAATTTATAATAAATTAACTTTGTTTGGTTTAAATTTATTAAAAAAATACTCATACCTGCAGTGATATGGGTATAACTGTAATAACGACCATAAATGTTCAGAAAAACTACTTCCTTCTGATAAAGATAATGACGGTAACAGTACACGATCTAACAAAGACAGTGTGTCAAAATAATATCCATCTTTATTTGGGGAAAAATCTTTGTTTTTAATTCCTTCCTATATTATAAAAAAAAAGTTAATTATTACTATGTTATTATTTATTAACTATTATGCATACCTTAATTAAAGCTTCTCTGATGATTCTCACTACTTTAAACATCAGAACAGGATCACGATGCAAGCCAGGTCCTAGGGTGATTAACATTGGTATAACAACATTGTGAAAATCCTCAAATGTCAGTACAGGTTTCAGAGAGTAAGAATTTTCTTGAAGAGGCTCATTTTTTTTCTCAGATTTCGAATGTAGGTTAAATACTCTATAATATTTTCAATACAATAAGCAAAATTTGTATGTTTACAAAATGCATTATTATACAAGTCATAAGATACAATAGGATATTAACTCACTGCACATAAACTGGATCAATTATTTGACTGATAAGATTACAGAGGGCATCTCCAATAGGAGAATACTCAACAGCATAATACTCAGGAAATCTCTTCAACAATACTTGAGCTGTTTTCCAGTCGCCTATTTCTAACATAGCTTCACACAAAAGAAACTTCTGATTTTCTTCTAGCTATATAAATATAATTATACTGTCATTTTAAAAATATCACTTTTTTTTTTTAATACTACTACCTTAGCTTCATCAATATTGTCGACCGATTCAGTTTCAGGAGCTTTTGACAAAAATATACTTGATGCTTTCTTCATGTAGTCTTGACCACTTTTCATATCTTTTTCCCAATTTTTTTGTATGACTTTATCATCCGGCGTCAACTACAATGTAAAAGAGTAACAAAAAGATTACGCATAAAACAAGAATTATTTATATAAGCAATTAAATTCTTACCCATGGATATATATTGTCTAGCTCAATTAAATTATGTTGAATTAATAAAGCAATCAACCTATATGAAGAATGGTTCAAGTCGTTTACTTGTCGTAATTTAAATGCTAATACTTCAGTAAGTCTCTGGGATTCAGGCATATAATCACGTAACAAAGGTATGAAGAAATGTTCAGCCTTGTTATCAGTGTGATGTTCAAATGAATCCAATATAATATCCAAAACCCGATTTGGGTCTAAATTAAAGCAACCAATCAATGATTTGATAATTTCTAACATAAGTTTTGGATCCATATTATCAGAGTTTAATTCAGTTACTAATTTGGAGTAACCTTCAGATTCTTCACGAAACAGATTGTATTTTCGCTGTTTATAACTTTAAACAAAATATTTATTTTTACCATTTATAAATCAAACTTATTAATTTTATAAAATCCTATTAACTTACAAGAGTTTAGTTTTAATTTTGATAAATTTAGTGGAAAAAACGTTATTTAACATCTTAATATCTTTTAGCGATTCAATTTCCAATCTTTCTTTAAGAAGTTTATCTGTAAATAACTAAAATAAATAACATTATTTTAGTTTGATTTTTTCGTGATAACTTAATCTAGTTAATAATTGTGGATCAGTTGATTTTTGGATTTTCAATATTAGTCCAAATAATCTGTTATCAGTATATTCCGCCACTACCAGGTGGCTAGACGGTAAGTAAGGAAATGAATACTGACAACTGACTCATGAGGTCCACACGAGGATAAAGTGATATAAACATTTGTAATAATAAACTAATAACCAAAGTATACTAACCTTTTGAGAATCTTTAACTAGGCTGCTAAAATTATCCCTTTCATGTCCGACATTATCTGAAAGAGCCGTTTCAGTATCCAAAAAGTTAAACACATCCATTACCACAGAAGCTATTTCTACATTTGAACACTAAAAAAATTATCCACAGGTATAATTAAAAAAAACATTTTACCTTAATTAAGTTTCTAAGTTATGAAATTATTATTATCTAATGGAAACCCCTTTAATACCAATTAAGATAATAATACTTATAATTTATAGTATTATTATAAAGTTCTAAACACGTTAATTAATTTAAGGTAAAAGCTTTACATAATAAGTCACTAACAAACTATTAACTTTTCAACTTTACCCGTCACTCACCAAATCGTTTAATACGGACAGTCCCATACCAACTTTCATCTTCCCTTTAATGCATGCTATCATCAATGACAGTATGGCTTTTGCCAAGTCTAAAACCAAATGTAAATGAAACAGGTGAAACATAATATATCTTAAATAAACGCATTCAGTAAGCTTACCAGTAGGATTTCCATTACTTGTAATTGTCAAAGATGACTCAGACTTAAAAGTATTCACAAACTCGTGACATTTAGCCAAACTGAAATAAATAAAAAATTAGGGTTACGACAAATCAAAACTACATTATACAAGTTAAGGCTAATAGATATGAGTGAAATATAAATAAATTAAAAACTTATACAATTCAGTTTTTTCAGTGGCTCCCCAATTTTCAAAATTCAATTTGTCCATTTTTTCGAACGATTTAAGTACGAAAACAATTGTTCTAGTTCATCAGTTTGAAACCAAAATAATAAACATACTGACAGAAAACAAATAAGCGATAAAATTTGTATTTTGTTGTGACAATAAACAATTTACAATTTTTACTTTATCAGAAACAATTTATACCGACGCTTTCTTCTTATACTGGCATTTTATTAGATAAAGCCTTAAGCCACAAACAATATTTTTCAAGGAAACGAAAATTCCGTGAATCGTGGGAGAAAACAATATGTACGATGGCAACAACAGCGGTAACACCATGTTCAATAAAACACGCCGTATGACAACCAAACCAAAGAGGTTACACTACCTTAGGTTTAGATCATTTACATTTTACAATCATGAATTGGGCATACTGTATATACCTTTGTGTCCAACATATTTGAGGTTAATAGCCAAACAAACATACATATTTTGTTCTATTGCGTATGCGGTATAGTGTGTGAAAGAGTACCACGCCTGCGCAGTAGCTATCGAGCATGCGCTGTAGTACGTGTATGTTTGCTTGGTTATTCACCTCGGTTTGATGTTGGACTCAACTAACAAGTAACTACCGTCTAAGCTTGCTGCTTGGTAGCTGTGGGCCATTGATTACGCCGGGTCTCCAACTACCAAGTAACTAATAACTATTAAACAGCAAAATAGTGCCAATATTTGACAAAAAAAAGGTTTCATGTATGCAATTATTTATAATATGCACAGTGCATAATATAAGGTAATCTTAAAACGTTTTTACTTTTTGAGGTGAAAATAATCAAACGAAAAAAAATACTTCGTTTAATGATCGAATTCTGATCATTTTTTTTTTGTGTGTTATAAAAGTGGAAGACTTTTTTTATCACCTATTTTTGATCTGTTTCGAATCCTGAGAATAATAATATATATTTTACCAACAATGCTTTACATTCCCAAATAGAGCCGAAAGTGTTACCGTGTTTTGTTTTACGCATGAAGTATTAAACTATGTCAATCGTTTATTTAGCACGGTTTTACGTTTGCAAAACTCCTATTATTTTGGCAAGTAAAGTATATTGTATTTATGTATATTATAATAAAATAAAATATTAATTTATAAACATTTAAATTAGAAGTTGTAGGATTATATTTTTATAAAAAAATTGTTATATTTAAATTTTAATATTATTATATTTTATCAATCCATGATAACTGATAAAAAGATAAAAACATATGATTATTTTGTTTTTATATAAGTACAAATGTACAATAATAATTCAATAGTCAATATTAAATTACCCAATAGACAATAGTGCGAATACCTACAAAGTTAGTAGTTTAACCTTAGAAAAGAGTTTAAGAGATTAAGTTTAGCTTTTTGGATTCATAATTCATTTCACTTCTTATTTAATAAGAAGATAACTAAAGTTTAAAATCAAGTTTGTGCTTTGCAATGGTAATAATATTGCCTATTATAAGCTCGTATTTGCTCTAGACTTAGGTACTACAGTTTAAAACATAGAATAAATCAATTTTATTATTGTTCAAATTTGTCTGTACATGTTTTTATTTTAATAGTTTTATTCAAGTAATACATTTTACCATTTTAAACCCACTTGTTATATTTAATATTATTTGAATGTTACTACAGGACAATGAGCAAATTTGATTCAGTCGGTCCACCCGATCCTGTGTCAAATTTAAGACCAATTAAATTTCATGTGCCAAAAAATGAATCGTCAATAGAACGTGAACTACGACTAAAGAGAATAAAAGTAGCTAAATGGAATAATGACTTTTGGACTAATCACAACCTTAGGTTTATCAATGAAAGAGAAACGTATAAAAAAAAGTTAGCTGACAAAGGAATATCAAGTGCCACAGCCGACCAAATGTCTGAATTTTATAAAGATTTTCTTGACAGGAATTGGAAATCTCATTTTACATACAATTTTGAATGGTACAAACAAAATATTTCTATTGTCAGATTAATGCTAAACAAGAATATCTACAAAGCTATTCAATGGACCAAAAAACTTAAGTTTTGAATTGTCATATATTAAAAAGAATGTCTTCGTTTAAACATTTTGTAAGTTACTGAATAAACTATTTATCCAACTTGATTTTTTATTTATTTAGTTTTATGCAATTCTAGAGGTGGTTTCAATGTTACATCATACGATACTTTGTGTTTTTATTATTGGCTTACAATATATATATCATACTTAAGCTACTAAATTCTAAAACTGATACTAAACAAACTTTTGCAAATGAAGAACCAATGAATAAATCGTATTTCCATTTCTTAATAACAAATGGTCGTTGGGACAGCAAGCGTATGATTAAAACATTTGATAATGTGTTGTTAGCAGAACACAAACAAGATGGAATGATATGCTTAGCTACACAAAGTTCTTTTGACAGATTATTTAATATTGTAGAGTTGGCAGGAAATTGGAATGGCCCAATATCCATGGCTGTTTATGCAGCTGGTGATGAACTGTTCTATTTGCAAGGTATTTGAGTTGGTTTAGTACCTAGTTGATGTTACAATTTTTGTTTTTTATTATTGCAGACTATGTAAAATTTCTACGCCGTTGTTATAAAACAATCCTTCACACAGTAACATTTCATCTGGCTTTACCAGCTAATAAATTACCTGAATATTCATTGTCAGGTCATTCGACTGATACATTTTCATGCCACCAGAATCCTAAAGAAGTATTGTTGGCTTTAATAGAGAACCTGCCAGAAAATTTAAAACGTTGGAGAACTCGCATGCCTTATCCTCAAAATCACTTGAGAAATCTTGCACGATTCAATTGTCAAACACATTATTCATTTGTCACTGATATTGACATTATACCTAGTTTTAATTCGGCAAGAGTGCTCAATGAATTCCTATATGCACGACCGAAATGCTTGAAATGTGTATATATCTTGCCTACTTATGAAGTCCATCAATCGGCTAAATCCCCAAATGATTTTACACAATTAATGAAACTAAAAAATATTGGATTAGCTAGGTACTTCCACAAAGAAGTGTTCGAGTTGAATCAGTTGCCCACAAACTTTGATCGGTACAAATACATATTATTTAATGTTTAAGTTGAATATTTATTTTAACAACATTTGATGTTAAACTTGTACAACTTGTAGTCAAATTTTAATAGTCTATATTATTACGAAAGCTATTTTATGCAAAAGTAGTAAGACACATAGAAATTAGTCGCTTGACGCCCATTACGAAATACAATATGTTTTATTTGCCTGACAAAAACTAATTTTTAAATTTTTGTCACATAATAAATAATACTATTCACCATGTTAAAATTCATGTGGAGCCGATAGTATTACTTTTTGTGTTTGAATGAAACATGTTTGTTTTGTTTCAAAAGCACAAATTTATAAGTATTTGACAGTCTTAGACTACTGTTTAAGATGTACTTTTGTAATCTAATGAAAATACTTGTTACATTATTATCGGTAATATTTCTTTTTCATTGATTAAAAGCAATGTTCACTTACTTTACTTTCTTTAAAAAAGGTTATGGAATTACTAGAGTTATTTGAAAAAGTGCATAAAATACACTATAGACCATTTTCAGCACATAAATACTTGCATATTTTAATCAAAGCCTTATAATGGTAATTTTAGTTCTGGCTTTCATCAATGTTTATACACAATTTGTAAAGGCTATTAAATATCATTTTTTTAAACTACAAAAAACTTTAACACTTGTGGTTATATATTATAAAATATTTAAATAAATCCCCTTAACCAGAAATAATACTAGCCTTTATGTATTTCGGCAGCATTGTTACCATCTTCAGGGCATGCATAGACTAAATGGTTTATTTAAATACTTTGTTATACACTATTATATTTATTTATTTTTTCACAAATATTTATTATTTGTTGTAGATTTGAAAAAATGTCTTTGATAAATCACAATGTTCGTGTGAGCCATACAGTGTCTAAATACCAGTTATATTATGAACCATTTTATGTATCACTTAATAATGTTCCTAGCTACGAAGAAAGGTTTATTGGCTATGGATATACAAGAAATTCCCAAGTCCGTTATTAATAATTATTATAGTTAACATTTGATTAAAGTATTTTTCCTCTGTACTCAGGTTTATGAAATGTTTGCGGCAAAATATCAGTTTGATGTCCTTACGAACATTTTTACATACCAACACTCCTTTGCATCACTCAAAAAAAGGTCTTACTACCGTCAATTTCAATATGCAGAAAATTTAGCTCTCTTCTCAAAGTTCAAAAAAGAAATTTCAACAAGATATTCATAAATTCTTGGCTTATACAATTACTTAACAATTTTTTTTAATACATGAGTTTAATAATTACAAGTACCATTTTTTAACCATTTTAAGTTGTATCAAAAACGTTTTACTAATTTAAAGTAATCATAATAGTGGACAATACACATAAATGTGTTCATTTAATTTCTTGCCCCGTTTCTATTTTGTATTTGATTTGTTATAATATAATATAATTAACATAAAAGCATATTCTAAATTTAATAATAAGATGAATGTGTATTTAGAAAATATATTACTTTTCATAAATTATTAAGCAATTGAATCAAATTTATAAATAAAACATTTGTAAATAAGTTATCAGAGATTTTATTATGCCATTTCGGAGTAGTTGATAACAATACTAGTTATAATTATTATTTTTTTTATTCCAGTATTGCACAAACAATTTTTTAATATGTAACAAAATAATGGATACTTAAATAAATTATAAAAAAACTGCTATGATTAAATGTGCATAAATTGTGTATAAAACAATAAATGTAAGAGTTAAAACTAAATCTTTATACATTTTTTTATTATTATTTGAAAAATCGTATAAAACTCAGGTAACGTCTAAGTATTTATGTACAAAATTCACGCAACTGGTTTGCCACTATATACATACATAATGTTATAATAAAAATAATAATAATATAATAATAATAAAATTTAAAAAAAAATCTAGGAAAACAAAAATTGTTCGCTTACAAGTTACACTATTAAATGCATACGGATTTTATTATTTAATATAAATATTTTTTTATTTATCTTAACTTAATTCACTCTAAAAACAAATAGTTATTTACATTTTACAAATATATACAGTTCTTTAAGACCAATAAATATTACTTAAACTATGTGGTTTGAAACAATTGTGTAGCAGTTTAAGTAGAAGAATACAATCATTCTGAATAAATAAACTTATGTCAGATTTTAAGTACCGTAATGCTTGTATTACTGGAAGACTTGAAAGTCAATAGTCAAGTATTTATTACTACTATTTTTTTTTTAAGATAGATATAAATTTAAAAAAAAACATGTTTAATGTTCGTTCAAATGTAATTCACAAGATTTGCGTTTTTAATATTTAGGCAACATTGGCATTTGTGATATGTATGCACAAAATACAATGTAAATATCCTATTTTAATTTTGTGATTGTGGTCAGCTGGAATGACAAAGATCAAACAAAAGCTGTGCGATTGTCCTTGATGATTCGACATTGCTCAGAGCTATATTGGATAGATGTGCTTCATAACGTCTTATATGCCTAGTATCAAAAATTAACAATAACATTTAATAAATCTGACTAGTTAGAACTAACTATTTCAATACGTACCATCTTCCTGTTGAGGAATATATGACTAGGTTGCGTAAAATAAGTGCAGAAGTAAGACGTATGCTCTTGGTGACTGGACCCTCATTGTCATCCTGTAAATGGTAATTATCATTAATTATCAATGGACAGCATTTTGTTAGTTTTTAATAAATACAATTAAGTAGACAGCCAAAGTAAATTTAAATCTAAAAACGTTAAAGATATCCATTAAACTCTAAACTTTTGAGGTATGATCCCCTACTACAAATTAAAATCAACAATAAAATAAGCAATGTATAATAAATAAACGAAAAATTTAATGAATTTCAATCAGTGGTTCAAGAACTAATGCCTACTTGACAACCATTTGAATTAGTTCCAGAACAAATAAAATCTTTTTACTTGTTTTGTTACTACTCCTGGAGCAAATTAAATATTTACTTAATATTATGATTTAACAGAGGAGGAGTGGCTGAGTGTGTTAGTATACACTGTCGCTAGTTCGACACTTGGTTACAGGCGCTTTGTTTGCTGGGCGAGCAATCGTCCGGTGTAAAGGAGACGCCGTCAAGAAACCACCTCATAAAGGCAGCGTTGGGCCTTCATGCGTGCCATGATTAAGCTACATGATGATGATTATGATTTAATACTTTATTTTCTTCAGAACATTGAACGGAAGGAATGATAGATTTAACTTGCTCTAGTGTATTACTAGGGTAGAAGTTAAATAGACATTAATTCCAGACCCTTGATTGAACAATATGTAGTATTGTTAAAAACGTATCATCTTTGTTTAAATTTTAGGTAGCAACTATGTTATTTTATGTTTGTTTTAGATTATATTCATGCTATAACCAAAAATTATTATCATCTTGATTCTAAATTCAATAAATACTTTTAATGTAGTTACAAAATATAATATTGAAAATATTATGGATTTAAATATTTTTCAAATGTGAAAATATTTTTATAATTGTTAAAAAACAAATAAAATTTGAATATCATATAAAAATAAAGTTGTCATACAGGCACAAATTATATCATTTAAAACATAGAGCATGCAAAATTGTACCGTTAGAAAAGTTCATTGCTCTTAAGAATACAAGTACTATGAAGTAACATAATGTATAAAAATTAATTTAAGAGTCAAACTCAACAAAATAAACTATACATAACACTATTGGTTGTGTAAGAAAAATAGCAAAAAGTTACAAAGTTGAATTTCAAATATTATGTTATAATTTTAAATTGACAGTTTTGAGTAGTTCATATAGGAACCTAAGTAGTAATTGAATCCTATTAAAATTATTTTTTCTTTACCTTTTTTTATTCACCACCTTCGTTTACATCTAAATTTAATTTAATTTTGACAAATTTTACAATTATTTAAAACAAATATTTATTAATAAATATAAAAGAATTTGTTTTCTAAATATTTGTATTTAGATATAAATGATTTAACAATCAATAGATGTAATACTAGTAACTACTCAATCAAATTTTAAAAATCGCTGTTTACTATTTAGTATAAATAAAATTAAAGTTTAACAAGCGATAACAACAAAACGACGACATGCAATAAAATAATGTGATAAAAATAAAATAAATGTGTGAACAAAAAACTACTAAAAAAAATGCCTATTAATTTACGGACAAATTCTGCACACACGCAAACACACTCGAAACTGTTTATTACCTGATCGACATTGCTAGTCGATTGTTGATTTCCAGCTGCACTCACTAGTTTTTGCTATTTATGAAGAATACAAATAAATTATTATTGTTTTATCATCAAACATAGTATTTTCTTACTAATGTAAATGTTAAAAAATGTTTTGATTCAGATATTAGTAGGGTGGACACTAACAGTTTTATTTTTGTTTTTTTTAAAACTTATATTTATGAATAACTTACAACTAGATATTTTAAAAGTGACTTTAAAGTTATAATATTAAATAATCTAATTATATATTACACAGGCTGTCTCACACTATTTTGAGGAATTTACATATTATTTTTAGTGTAAAATGGCCAAAACAAGCTTGGACACATTTTATGAATGTTAAGTTTTTACCTGAAGTTCCTTGGGGTTTACAAATTCTAAAGCATGCCTCTTGATGGCATTGAAGGCAGCGTTTGGTGCATAACCCGGATGAGGAGTAGGTGGAGAAGGTGCTGGTATTTCACTACGACCACTCTGTGATAGTTGCCTTCGTCGAACTGCCATCATTCTTAAAACCTGCATAACATACCAAGTAACATAACTCCATGTAAATACAATCATATTTAGTAGTATAAAGCATCTTTTTACACATTATACCTATGGTAAGCATGTTTATTCATATGCTGCGAATAAATTAAAGGGAGACTAATTGTGTATATGTAACAAAATGAATAAGCATTTCAAAAACTACATGAGAATTATAAATCTAGCATGTGAAATATTGTTTTCGAGTAGAGTATATTTTTATACATCACATATAAAACGTGCCTTACACATGAAATACTTACATCAGGATTGCAGTGACGATCGTATAAATGTGTCATTAATGAAAAACGCTTTCGCTTCATAGAATCACAACGTTCCCATAAACATTGCATTTCTTGGACACCGTTGAATGGACAATGGGATTCACAAGCATGCATGTAAACTTCATTGGCAGACTTGAAATTTCGCATGCATCCTCTCCACTCACATAAAAATTGACCTTGGTTAGTTGGTGTCTGCACTTCCCCGGTTACCTTCATTGGCGTAGTAGACCGCAATCTCGCCTGAACGGGCGGTGAAGGCATTGATGCAGAAACTATATGAGGTACAGTTTTGATAACTTTTACTTGCTGTTTAGTGGCAATAGAAGTAACAGGTGTAATAGGCCTTGTTACCACATTTTGAACTTGTTGTTTGATTTGAGGAGGTGTTGGTATTCTTTGTACAATTACTTTTGACTGATTAGCTGCAGATGAAGTTTGAACAAAGTTGGTCTGACTCAACGTTACAGTGTTGGAAGATTGGTTATTATTTCCAGGCTGCTGTTGTAGAATTATAATTGTCTTAGCTCCTGAACCTTGAGGCGTAGTCTGAGCAACTAATACGGTTTGTGCTTGACCTTGAACGAGTGCAGACTGAGGTTGCGCCAACACGTACTGAGGTCCGCCAGAATTACCTTGATGTACCATTGTTACAATGCCTCTTTGATTGTTCGACGACCATTGTGTGTTGGCTGATGAAACAATAATTTGACCAGGAGCTTGAAAAATCTGTTGGTTTGTTGCTTGACTAACTTGAATTTGTTGTGGCACCTGAGCAGGAGTTTTTGGCGATTCGTCTTCTAGGCCATCAATGTCTTCCAATACATCTGCTGCTAGTGCGGCATACAGGTTAGCTGCAGTCGAAGAAGCTTTCACGTTACTTTCATCGATTTCCATATTCTCATCATCATTACTACTGCTGTTACCGTTGAGATGAGGTTTTTTAGGAGCTTTATCATACGGGACTTCTTCTTCAGCCAGCCTTTTATTTCCAATTATTACTTTTACTGATTGCATCCCAGACTTCTCTTCCATTTGTTCCTGCTTGATTTTCGAACAATTTAACAAATTCTCATCACTATTTTTCTTTTGATTACATGCCCCATTTAATTCTAGTCCATTATCTCCAACTTGAATAGAACCGTACAAAAACGGAGCATCTTTCTTTTCAATTTCTTTATCCAACAGTCCTGATAGCATAATACTCTTCGACGCCACATCATTAATTTCTGGAATCTCTGGAGTTCCATTTGGTAGGCTTTCTTTTTTAGACTCTAATAAAACCGCTTCATTATTATCTATAAAAATAATAAAAATGTACAGTAATTTATTTATATACATTTTAGATATTCTAAACAAAATGTATTATACCGTTATCCATTAGTTTTACAAGACTATTGTTGACTGCATTTTTAATACTAGACGCAACAGTAGTTATTACAGTAGGTTGAAAATCTGATTTTATGACAGATGTATTAGAATCATTTTTAAACCCCTCCTACAAAATTTAGTATTTAATTAGTATACATTAATAACAATACTTGTAAGTTGTAATGATAGCTTACTTCTGATGGAATCCTCAGTCCATTTATTTTAGGTATCTGTTTTGGTACAGCTGAGGATAGCGAAGGTGATGAAGAAGTCGCAGAGTTCTGTTGTTGCAATATTTTCTGCTGCTGTTGTCGTTGTGTTACCTACATTTTCAAATAATATGATTAACAATAAAGTAAATTAATATTGCTGAATTTTAAGAGTACATAGTGTTAGTTACAAAAATATTGAATCGGATTTTTCAACATTAAAAGAAGATAATTTGAATGGATGTTATTGCCAACTAAATATTGTACAGCCAAATAGGAAATAGGTAATTTGAATCAAATAAGGCTGTTCGGTTGACCGGTGTTTTGTTTTCGTGCTATACTCCGCGCCACGAGAGAAGTAACCCGTCTCCCGACCGAAATGCGATTCCGCGCATCCCCACAGATAGGCCACACCCACGGTTGACGGGGCTGCATATATAGGGTGTATCATAACGTATACTCAATATAAGGAAGGGTAAGAATTTTTTAATTATTTTATATTTATTGAATTTATACTTATATATAATATATAATATTTATATTTTTAATAATATACAATATATAATTAAATAAGACAACATAATTAATAAATTAATTATGTTATACTATCATATGTGTTTTAAGTAAATAAATAGTTATATATATATATTTATAATTTATAAATGACAATATAATATAATCATTCACAATTATAATAAATAATATACTCTATATACAATCACTCTGTATATCGCTTGTTTCGCGCTGTATGCACGCCTCAGCGTGATACTGAATGGCACAAAGTGGGGGAAATGGGTTACTTCTCTCGTGGCACGGAGTATAGTTGACCTGTTTTTATTGGTATAACTGGCATCATAATTCATAATCACTCGATTTTGATTGTAATCGTTCAACTGATTATTTGACTGAAATTGGTCAGAGACCAGTTCAAACCACCGATTTAGACCAACTAACCCAATTTAACATCTCAGTTATTGGTTAACCACAAAAAATAATTAACCAATCAGCCATGGAATTTAAACCAATAATAGGACTAGAAGAAAAAACAGGAAATTATACTAATACCTGAAACTGAAATTTTTTTTTGGTAATAATTGAATTATTTAGTTTCAAAGCGAAGTGACGAGAATTATTATAATAAAATTTATGTTATTATGAAATTGTTAATAAGACACAAGCTTAAAAATATTTACTATTATATAACTTTAGTAAAAATAAAGAAAAGCTTAACATCTGTTATTTTATACTATTGTAGCTAATTAACTATATACTGAACTTGTTAAGAAAAATACTAGAGTTAGTTCCATAATTATTAGACACACCATGCCTACAAACCTTTACTTTCACCTTCTGGTTCACGTTATGAAATAATTTGTAAATTGTTTTGTAATCTAACACTGTATAAAATTAACCATGGTAAAAGTTCAAAAACAAAACCCAGAAATTTTATTTTAACAATAATAATGGTCCTATTATATTATGTTTAATACAAATTTAGGTGAACGAGTATTTCACAGTAACTTGTATTGACCATAGGTCATTTATAAATATAATTAACACTTACCTCGGTGATAACTGTAGAGTGGCAGTTTTGGGAAGAAGCGTACAACGTGCAAGACTCATTATTGCTAAGTTTAATTGTCGCAGAAGGCACAGTTGATTTGGGGTCGCATACCTTGCTAGCTAACAGAGTTTTTATTAAAGAAGTATTGCAATTAGACAACATGGTTCCTTCGGGCTGAGACACGGTTGTAGTGGCTAAAGTAGTAGTAATGACAGAAGTCTCTGTTCCACTGCTGGTCGATAACGTTAAATTTTGCACAGTCTAATCAAACAAAATTTAATTATAAACAACAACGAAGACATAATTTTTATTTAGAAGAAAAGTGTTAATTTTTTCAAAAAGGATTTTTTTTAATTGGGTTTTAAATACTTAAGTTTTGAAGTGTTTAAAACTATATACATGTTAAAATTACCTTTCCTAGGAGTTCACGTTTGATTAATGTATTATTTTGTTGGGCATTAGTAGCTGGTGCACTAAGTTGTGCTTTAAGGATAGGAGAGGTAGGGATGGACGGGGCCGTAACAGATGTTGATTGAGTTACAACCATCGACGTGCTGATTGGAAATGGCAATGGTTTTGATCGAACCTGAATTCCTTCATAAGCAATAATTTGAGTTGGCGGATCCATGGCTAAACCGCCATGACTTTGCGCTAATTTTACACTTTTTGGTCCTACACTTGGTCCAAACACAGATCTAAAATTATATTAGGTTTTATGAATGATCAATCAAGTTCATAATTCGTATTTAATTATCAATTACTTGACACAACGAGGAAAATGAAGAGGAGCAATTACTCCTCGTCTGCCAGCACGAGCACACGCAGTCATATATAACTTATACAATTCAGCTTGATCGATTCCGCGTCCTGGCGTAGGACATACTTCGAGAGTTGCTCGAATCCAATTCAAAGCAAACTGTTCGTTTTCTTGCTGAATCAAATTGGCAGGTTGAGAAACAGTTGTAGCTGTTTGGCTAGTTGCTATTAAAGTAGTGTTTGTCGTAACAGTCATTGTTGTAGCTAAACATTAGATAATTAATTTATAAATAATTTGATTTCATTACAATTTATTTGATTATATACCTGGAACTATTATTTTAGGATTGGCCACTGATTGTACAGGATGTGCCCCGGTTGGAGCCACTGAAGTGAACGTATTAAGAGATGTTGACATAACTGGCACAGCGCATGGAGCGTTTGGTAGAATGACAGGATTAGCAACAGCTGGTGTTGGTAAAGGTAAGACATTTGGAGATGAGAAAGTCGAAAGAAGATGTTGAGATGCATTTGAAGGAGGTGGTGCACTAGGAGCTGCCATGATATGACTTTTAGGTGCTGGATCCGGTGTATATGGTGTTGATATCGATGGACCCGTGACAGTCTCGATAACTCTCATCAATATACAGGCTTTAGGCCCATAAGCTTGCGCCTAAAATACAAAAATTAAATTATTAGATTTAAGCACAACGAACAATAGGTTGATTAACTAAACTGTTCATCTTTTATATAGTAACAATTGTTTTTTTAAACAATTTTAGGTATTCATTATTTTTCTAACCCGAAATCTAAAATTGTTAAACAGGTTATACAGCAAACACCTTAACAGTTTACACCTATTTACATGACTTGAGGTTACTCCCACTTGGATGTCTTGAGAAGTCTGCAGGAAAACACGGTACGAGCAACATCAAACCACAGACCTGAAGATGGAACGTGCAAGTGTTCCGAAACGTTGGCGAACTAGTCAAGACATCCAAGTGGCAGTAACCTCAAAGTCATGTAAATAGTGTAAATATAATACTCCACTCAAGTTTCAATAATTTTTTAACCTTTACAGTTTTTTTTTTTTTTATTAAGAAGAGATATTTAGAAAGAAAAAATTAGAGCACACACACAAACGATTATATCTGTATTAAAAATTTAAATGACTCCTTCAACATACATTTTATAATTAGAAACTTCCCTTATCTACATAAAATTAAATAAAAAGTGTGTAATCTCTCAATTAGAAATTGATTTCTTTCATGTTAATTATAACTTTTATACACAACTCACTTACCTCAACAGTGATTAATGAAACCAGTGTATCAATAACTCCATGGACATGGACGATTGCATTGCAAGCACGTTCACCAAGAGAACTTAAAGAATACAGACATTCTAATGTTTGTATTAATAACATAATATCATGCAAAGATAACATGTTGCAGATTTTATCATATACCTGCAAAAAAAAAAAATAATTAGGTTAGATTATTAATTGAATAATTAAATATAAAGATTCTTACGTTTTGATTAATATTTTTTAGCAAAAATTCTTCATTAGACTCCTTTGTGCCCATTTTATTTAAAGCTTCAACAGCACTCAATATGACAGCGCGATCGTTAGATTCAGTGATATTTTTACATACAATATTCAATGTGGCATGTTGTAAGGAACCAACATCCAAAGGCACAACTGGTCCAATGTTTCCCAACATCTCAAATCCAATCTGATGTAAGCAGTTCCAACGTGTTGCGCAACACAACAATACAAACCTCAAAAATGTTAAATCTTGACCCATCATTTTCATATTCTCATCGAAAAAAGTCAAATTTCTGAGTATAAGTGCCACCTGGTAGACTCTTTGGCCATAGGGATCATCTGTTCCAAGAGGCCTTTTAAGGCCGAAAATTTCATCATCAGATGAATCAAAGTTCAATTTAACTTTATTTCTACAATCATCATCATCATCACTACACGTGCTTGATTCGTCATCTTTTCGTTGTGGAGTTTCTGGTGTTCGTGCACAAAAGCGACTTTCGTCTGTCAAGTATGCAAGTTCCTTTTCGTCCATAACTTCTTTCCAAAAAGTTTTTATGGACCATTTTCGAACTTTATGATAATAATCTTCCCAAAACTTTCGTGAAGCAGCTATAATTAAAAAAACAATTGTAAAACACATAATTTACAAAAATAATAAATGTATGTATTTTAAGTATACATAATGTATATTAACTTACGATGAGTAAATACTCCAGCATGAGCCAGAAGATGATGAAGGATTTTTGGACACTTAGATAATTTAATAGCATGTTTGTTTTCATTAGACAATAATATGCACACGTTGATTGCTAAGTCTTGTTCGTTGGGCAATGGTGACAGCAACGACAACGATAACTTGTCATAATCGCTTGGCTTATAAAGATTAGTAGATAAACCATGGAATGATCGAGCTTGTTCTGTTAACAAAAAAATAACATTAAACATAATTATGTTAATAACATTAATGAAATTAAAAAATGTTAAGACTTACCAGTTACTGTGTGTTGGTGATGATTATAAACTAAAGGAACAGAATGTAATGCCCTAGCAGACCATTTCTTGTGCCTGCTATCCTCGTCGTCATCACCAGCAATTGATCCGGTCTCCCCCAAAAAGTTAATTTTCTCATAACGATCTAAATACCTAGAGAAAAATCAATGAAAGATATTATAGTTACAACATATACAATAGTTACAAAGTTATAAAAATTATTACCTTAAATATATTTGTTTCAGGGAGACTTCAGAGTTCACACAAAATGAAACTAATCCAAAATTCTCTAAAAGATTCTTCCAATCATTTCGCTGGTTCACCTGAAACAACAAATATTGTTTAAGTTAAAGCATTTTTTTTATAACAGTATATAAGTTATTTTTTTTTTTTTATTAACTTGTTGAAAAATATGGCATACCTAGAAAGTTTAATTTTTCAACATTTTACCGCAAAAGTAAATAATTAAAACTAATTCAAATTAAATTAAAATTAAAAAGTAATTTTAGAAACATTTCGAACTTTACATTTAGTTTCTTTGAAAGAATTTTTACCATCCAAGTTGTCAATTACATAAAATCTAAATGATTTCTTATTTTATTAAACAGAAAAGTATTGATCATTTTTAGCAAATTCTTAATTCAAAGCTTAAACTAGTTTAACTAGCTTATACTTAGAAATACAATAATAAGGATTTTAAATCGGTGTAGAAAAATAACAATTTTTTCGATCAAAATAAATTTTGTGTATCAAAACCACCAATGTGTCTTAGTTTTAAAACCACAGACCACCAAATTTTCATAGTAAATTAGAGGAGACTCTCACTTAAACGTTTTTTAATTTTCGATAACTCAATAATTTATTGAACCAAACTGACAAATTGAATACTAAAAAACCTAAGCTATAAAAATATAGAGTAAAAAAAAATTCATTCTTTAAAAAAAATTACACATTCTAGCATACTCTCTTCTTTTTCTCTATTAAAATTTGGTGCATACTATCACAGCCTTTACAGTATTCATTCACGAATATGTGAACTCAATATGTATTCACGACTCAATGACCACGACAGGCAAAATGGGACAGAATAACTGACCAAATATAATTAAGGAAAAAAGTGAAAAACTTTGGAAACAAGCACCAGACTTTATTAAACATTTTTTTTTTTATTAAGATTTTGACAAAATTGTGTATAAACCTAATCGCCAAATCGACAAAATTGATAGGTGTGGCTTATGTTGGGACTTGATATATTGCCGCGCAATAGAAAAAAAGTTATACGCCACGCTGGACCATGGACATCGTCGATGTTGGCGCGTGCGGTGGACACTGCACGTTAACAGCTACGCGTGTAAACTACTCTTAAATGTAGCTAAGGCGAAAAAGAATGGAGTATCCGACAGCGGCGGCGGCGTTTGAAAAAGAGGAGGAAGAGTTACGGTGGCTGTGGGGAGGTAGCGGCATTATGCCGCGTAACGTAACGAGTACAAGAGCGGAGATGCCTAAACGCACGAGACCACGTGTCGTCTGCTGGGCGCTGGGGGTATCCATAATCCAGCTGATCACGGGCAACGGTGACGTCACACTGCGGAGAGGCGAACAGCCCCACCATCGAAGCCGTTTTTATCAATGACCCCTTGCGTCAAGATCAAGTGCATGTTCGTGAAAATGTTCTAATGCACCAAAGTGTATTAAATGTATCACGGCGCCACGCAGCTAGGCACTATGCTTCGGCTCGTCACCTGCGCTCTACTTAGCAATCGGATATGATAACGCATATCACATAACATTAACAATCACAATTAAGACTATCTCTATAGGAAGCATAGGTTTAGAAAAAATGAGAAAATGGCGAAGAATTAAAGAAACGCAATTGAAGAAACAAGTCTCATTAACTACCAACAGAACATATTTTATTATCTTTACTATCCTAGTATTATCCTTTTTTATTTTTAGGTGTATATAATATTATATATTGTATATAATATTATAAACTGTTAATGAATAATAATAGTATATATACTTTAAATAACAAATCTTATTTACTCTTATAAAATGTTATTATAAAATATAGCTTTACTTGGGAAAAAGACACTCAACAGAATAAAAAACTAGCAAAAAATGTATTAGTTTAACAGCAATTTAATGATTAAGTGAAGTTAGGTAAGGTCAACAAAAAGTTAGTTTTGGTAAAATTAAACAAATATACAAATTTAAATAATATGTAATTTAAATTATATAACATCTATAATTTAAAAATAACAGAAACCATCCAAATAACATCTTACAAATTCTAATCAAAATGACAAATCTTTGTTTATCAGTAAAAAAAAAAACATTACCATACTTTAATCTACTTGTTTACAATTATTCCACCTCCTAAGCAGCCAATGCATAATAAATCGACAGATTACTTGGAACAATAATAATAGACATAAAAGAAAATATTTTCAGACTTGACATACATTATTTAGTTTTGTTTTATTTTATAATACTTTTCACAACTGTTACAATACTTTATAAAACATTACAAGACAAAATTCAATTTGTTTTTAATTTTAGAAAACAATTTTTTTTCTTTCTGTTTGAAACCTATAAAACAATTCAGGTTACAGGTTTAATATCTATGCAAATAGAGAACATAACAACTTGAAAAATGTATCCTCCTCATTTTTAGTAATCAGAACCTTTAATTGTAATTGTGATAAATCCTAAAGAAAATAGCAATGACCTTTGATAGAATAGTGTATTGAATATACTGTATTCCATTCGGATTTATTTAGAGATAATGATAATGGTTATTGGTTTTATAACTGTTGCACTTGATAAAGTTATTTAACACACCGATTGCGCCATAATAATAGTCTCAATTTAACTATTTTAATGCGTGGTTTTTCCATAACCTATTTTCAAGTGACAATAGGTTTTACGGATATCATATACGCATGTAAGACAAGTCCATGAAAGTCCTTATCAAAAAAATTATTTTAACACAATGTTAATAAATGTTTTAGAGTAATGTTTTATAGAATAATAAATAATTTTTGTTTAGTGTCATAATTAGTAAACATAGTAATTAGGACACAATGAGAGGTACCGAAGTGCAATGTAGGTGCATTACAAAAATGTTGCATTCTGCGAACTCGTTCATCGTTGATGGGGCTGAAGAGTATATCTTTTCGATGGCTTAGCCTGGGACTAGTAGCATCTAACCTAGCGAACCCACAACCCCCATGAGTCCAACCCAGAAGCCTCAGATGATGTTGAGTCCTCAGTCCCGGGGCACAGACGACCTAGGTCTGCAGGCCTGGGCAGCTATGAGCTTCGCCGGACTATCGCGTTTACCGCGGTAACCGGCCCGCGTCCCGTGGGTGGAGGGGTTGTTGCACTTAGCCGGCAGGTCACACCCCAAACCTACCGTTGATGGGGCTGTTAAATTTTCCAACTTTTCCAATGGGGTGACATCAAACCCTTAATCCTCACCCCGTTATTTCATTATACTACTCTTCTCGTGCGACGACTTAAAATAATAATAAACGAAAGTACTCTCTTTGAGAACATTTTTTTATTTTCACTCCTTCCAAAACGCCGCAATTGTTGGCAGGTCACTGCCGCCACCACAATAATTCATGCCATGTGCAAGCAGGTCGGCTTCAACAACGATGAGAACAACCCTAATATCAGTAGCATTTGAGAGAGGAACCCAGCAAAGCAGTAAAGATGGCCAAAGGGGACACGTCTGTGTAAACCTTACGTCGCCGTCGGTTGATTGATAGCCGAGGGATATATTTTAGGGGGAGAAACAAAAACCGGCAACAATATTATAAAGTAAACATCTTGCCTGGCGACGACAAAATGTCATTACGGTAACAGATGGATACAGTGGCTTCAAATCAAATCGTTATTTTTGGGCGACTTTAAATTACATAACTAAATATTTTATTTAATAAATTGTATAAAATGCCATTCAAATGTGATAAGTGCATATCAGAGATAGGAAAGTAGCTAAAAAATTGATAGACGCAAAGTGAAATTATGACACGAAGTCAATTAATTAATTCTAAATGTACACTATAAAAATAAACTGTTATTTTTCAATGTTGAAAAATAAACTTCTAAAGACAACAGTAACGTGCCCCTATCTATGCGGACACAACGTTGTAACGAATAACAATATTATTATTGTTGTTATTATTAAATATAAGTTTATCGATCTCGAAAACGACGATGATAACTGATATCAGATATGTAATACTTGTCAGAACAATATTAGTGTTTGGAAACCGGTAGATAAAATTCCATCACGACCATTATCAGGTTGGTTGTTTGTCGTACTGCCAATAAGTGGAGCAACAAAATTGATTGAATATCTGTATAGTATATGCTGCGCTATTTTTAAACTCGCGATGTTACCATTGTTCGATACGATATAGTAAAATAATAAAAGTAATCATTTATTATTATATATCTACGGTTGTCACAGGACCGATAGAGAAGATCAAGCGCAACGATAAAAAGCACGGCCAACCACAATCGTTCTGAACAGGACTTATAATTATATATAATAAACTTTATAAATGAATTAGTTATCGATGATATAAATTACAATAATATAATATGTATAGGGTTCTAACTACTAGCAACTAGTACATTGTACGGTGGGGAAAGAGGGAATTAGATCAGTCTTCTCCCTTGTCATCGTATCTGACTAAAAATGATTTTGAGACTGATCCCAACTTTATTGAATTTACTTTTGAGTTCTAATAAAGCACTACGTAAAATACACAACAAACTAACAAAAATATATTAAATATATATTTTTAATATACTTTAAAAAATTGCATATATAATTATATTGTTCCAAAGACCAAAGTCTAAATATACTCATGTACACAGTACAATTAATAAATATGTTGCCGTCTACAAAGAACACCACAATTGTTTCGAAATAGGAAAAGTAGCTTCTTTTATTGCTACTTTTAAAAGAAATAGGTACCGGTAGTCTTATCGCAAAACTGGAGTGCGTATTTAGAGTTCATCATAATTAAAATAATTTAAAAGGCAACATTTTCGTTTATTTTGATCAGAAATTCAAAAGGGGACGCTGGTTGATCTCAACCTTCGGGTAGAAAATAACTCGTCGCCTCATGGTAATATTATCAATCTAATCTAACTCAACACTAACACGAAATAGGCAATAAAACCATTAAATTAATTCTTTTTAACACTAGCGAGTTCAAAATCGTTGTTCAATTTGAGTTTCAATCGCAACAAATCAATTTTAGTAATTCTATTAATAGTAGATCAACAATGAAGTGTTTTAGGCCACGTTCGTGCGTGAAAGGATTGTCTGGTATATACAAGTATGCAATGTAATGCAGAAGGGTTAAGTTAATCAATGTTTGAGAGCATTGTACAAGTGTAAAATGCTTGCTTATCTAGCCAATAGTAAAACTCAAAACGGCGTTGTAATTACCCGAGTATCCTACCCGAACGAGAAGGGAAAAACTCATATTAAAGATATTCCATAATAAAACGGGACCGGATCACGTTTAGGTGCCAGATGTTGTACGTTTTCGTTGGATAAGCCGTGCCAAAAACGTGTATTATTATATACATTATATACAAATATAGACATGTAAATAGTTTTTCGAACACCGACAATAAAACGTTACATGGAATATTTAATTACACACACCTCGCCCCCGGGTAGAATAATGGTCATGCGGGGCTTCGGGCATTACAGTGTAATACAAAGCGTTCATAAAACAGTGTTGACGGATTAAGAATACAAAAATAATTTTATATTAATCATATCGATCTGTTAAAAAGTTTTATTCCAGCCGGATTCTGTTGTTATTAGTAGTAATAGTAAGTATGGAAAATCGAAGAAGAACGAAATAAATATCGGCGGTAGTATAAGCCGCCCGGAAGCGGTTCGACGACCCAACCGAGACGCAAGAGAACAGGGCGGCGGCAGAAGCATTTTCGTAGGATAGGTGCGGCGGTGAACGGACAACGCCGCCGTAACCGCGCGGCCAGTGTCGTGTGCGGTGTGAGTTGCGTGGTGGTGGGGAAAGGCAAACGCGCGCGATCAACCGGATTTCGGTAGGAGCAATGAGCTGGCTGTGGCGGCGGGCGGCGGCCGATCTCGGTGGGGACTGAGGAGCACAATCGTTGACAACGCAACATTGCCACGTTGTGCGCGCCCCCCGGATCCGTTCAATAGTGCCACGATGCCAGCGCGCGGGCCACTGACTGCCGCCACCGCCGTTCCCATCGCAACGCTACGCAATAAAACCATGTACCTACGACGTTCAATCCATAATAATAATAATACATTTTTATTTATTATATTAAATGAGATTATAGATTAAAATGATACAATTCTATCATAACTATAGACGCTGTTACAATTTTTTTAATTGTTAGAAATTTTAACGTCAACATTTATAATAATATTGTATTGACAGCACTCTATTCATAAATGTGGACGTAATTGCACTACTGTTTCGTTAAGTAAATTCGTGCTCCATAACGAAAGAGTCCCGGTACAGAAGACGGCCACCTCCGGTAAGGGAGGAGGTCGGTTGTAGTGACATTAGTGGGCGGACGCTGCGTTTGCCGGGCGATATTCGGCAACCGGAAGTGGGGCCCCTGGCACGGCGGCGTCAACGTAAACAATCCGCGACCCGTGCACTAGGTCAGGATCGCGCCGCGGTGGTCACGTGCGTTGCCCGAGACTAGTGTGGATCGCGGTGATCGGCAAGAGGGGGGAGAGGGAAACCCGTGGCGGTAAGTCACGGGCGACAGTGATAAAGGCGGCAGCGGCCTGTGATAAGCGAGCGCCACAGCCGTTACCTCAGATCGCCGTCGTCTCGTCTGTTACCTATTGACTATCCCATAGTACTCTACGTGGTGTTAAAATCGGACGTATTATTGGAACGCACAACCACACGTTTTCATACCGGTATCGTGTGTTTGTCCACATGTCATTAACTACGTATTATTATTGGGAATCGGTGTAAAGGGGAACTCAAACTCAAAGGGCAATTCATTATAATTAACTCAAAATGTTTTGGGAAATAGTTCGAAAAAAAGTAATACTATACTAAAAGCGGGGAGCATAATTCTCAGTTATAATAGTCTTCTTTTTGTTAATAAAGGCTATTAAAAAAAAAAAAAAAATAGTCTTCTTATAATATTTTGGGAAACAAAATTTTATTTTTACCATTATTATTATTTTATTTATTTACTTCAAAAACCTTGACTTACTAATTTATAAAATAGCTAAGAACCCATTGGCAAAATAGCCAAGTTTTTCTTACTGATTTGTTAGAGGCACCTAACTTACCACGGGTAGAAGGTCAAAATGGATCATAGACACGTTACCAAACCCTTAAAAAGTCTCATCTCTCTCAGTACCCTATATCCTAAATCCCCCTCTCATTATCTTTGACTGATATTTAGTTCCAACACTCTCAAGAACAAAATGGTCTGTGTTTAACCATTTTCTTAGACGGCAGATATACTACAAACATTATCTCACCTTAACCCATCCTCCTTGCGCCGTAACCAACACATACAGAAGGTACAAATCGATTTCCTTTCCATTGATTCTTGGCGGAGCACGACTTGGTGTCCTGCGAAACAAAATAATACAATTAGCTGAATCATTCATTATTACTTAAAAATAGTAAAGGCTATAAACAAGTACAAGTATATAAATTCACTTTAACATAAACTATAATACTGTATAATAATATTAATCCAATATTATATAATAATAATACTGTACTAAGGGGTTTTTTTATTTATGTGCTGCGGCTGCTAAGAAGATCAACAATCGCAATCAGTATGTACCTACAGGTATTTTGGTAAACAAACCTTCAAGTTTTTCTTTAGACCCCCATTGTAAAAATATTAACTGAGCATAGGGAGCATAACAATAAAAAATTAGATTCTTAATGGACGAAATAGTTATCGAAATTTACTTAGTTGAATATCACGATTTGTCTTATTACACAATTTACGATTGTTGATAATAATAGCGGCACATGTTTAGTTTACATTAAAAGTGTCCCTCGTTATTTTATCATTGCGTACTTAAGCTTCCAGCTCTTCTTGAAATCAATAATTCAACATATAGGTGCACAATAGCTGCATAATTCGTCGGTTTCCTTTATCATCGTCAAGACACGTTTGATTTCAGAAATGGACATATGTTTAATATTGTTGAGCCTTAAAGAAAAGGAATTAAAATGCGGTTGAACGCACACACTAGCAAACAATTGGTAAACCGAGGGAAAGTGCAGCACACACAATGCGTTTTTGAGTGCAACGATGGTTATGATCTGTGAGTATAATATATATGTATTTATATAAAAGTGTAATAATCATAAATACATCAATCGGAACACATACTAGAAAGTCGATTAACACGTTTTTAAGGAAATTATTATTTACACATAATGCCGTCGGCGGGAAACGGTTGGTTTTTATTTTTATCCGTACCTATGCCGTTTTCGATGCATTTTTAATTTGTTATAATTATCAAGGTCGCTACCTAATAGGTACGACACGTGTAGACCGTTCAAGTCACAAATAGTCCGCAATAAAAACAGTATAATTAAAACCACTGACCTAAATTAAGGCCCTTTGTTATCAAAATTCTAAGGAACCACGATGTAATACACAAAACTGGGCGAGATATTAAGTTTTTCAACCTGAAAATCTCTATCCTATTAACCGTACAGAGTTGACCTTATGCAAACCTGTGTGTGTGTGTCAGTCAGGAGAAAAACGCTGTTAGACTAATACAAAAATAATTGTGATTTGAACTGCATCGGCGGCGACAGCTAAGGCAACTAATAGACGAAGAACGCGTAATTTGTTGATGATTTATCTTTTTCTTTGAATTAATCACAAAAGCGGAAACGGTCAAAATAAGTTTTGAATGGATACCTAAGGGTACGTGAAAACAGGGGCGGCGAGGAGAAACCGTTAAATATGGCTGTCGGTCCAGGCTTGCAGGTGGAATGATAATTAACCAATAACAATTAAAACGCGTGGTAAGGTTAAAATCTCAAGATTTTTGTACGAAAATTGCGCCAAAAAGAGTTGTCACTAAGATATCGGATACCGTTTATCATAGAAAGCGGTATCATGCATTCAGGTACTCACCCCCTAGTGTCGTGGAAATGTTGCAGGTCCCTGAGGAAGCTGGCTTTTTCCTTAGCGTAGCTGGCCGGATCTTTGTTGAGGACGTTAGCCATGCTTGTGCTTGGACACCAGTGTCAGAGCGGCGGCGGCGGGTGTGCTGCTGCTGCTTAACGGTAGCGTAAGAGCCCGAGGTAAAGCTCGCACTGGCTCGTCAGCGATGGACGTGGTCCGGGACGGTGGGCATCGTCTCTCACGTCGGCAGCCACTGCATCGTTATCACCACCGGCCGTTATCTCTATACCGCGGCGGATCTGTGACAGACGCGCCGCACACCCCGCGCTCACGCGTATGCGGCACCACAGTCCAGTCGGCGGCGCGCGTCCCGTGTCGTGTGGCTAGGCGGCCGGACCACCGCCGTCGCGGTCTACAACGGCCGTACCTCGCTGACGCGGCCGCTATGGCGAATTGACGACAACAGATGCACCGTCAAGGCGTACAAGCGATAATTTTTTTTTTTTTAATACTACAAACGGCGCGTACAACACTACGGCGTAACACAAAATGGCGACACACGCACACACAACGTCGGTAAAAAAATAATATTATATTAATGTAATAACGTGTGGCAGACGACGGCCGTTATTCGTAGGTTGGCGCGTTTGAAGCAGTCCGGGGCGACACGGACGGCGGCAGCGACGGGCGAAAAAAAAAACAAACCGAACACTGGCGGAAAACCGGGGAAAAGTCGAAATTTACTAGGCGATCCGGCGGACCATTCGTCATGTAGGAGCGCAGTGTGTTCACATCGGTCGGGTCGCTCCCACCCCACCACCAACGGAATATTATCCAAACACCACAGGCTCGCACGCGCACGCACCGTTGCTATTGCGGGCATACGGCCGACCTTTTACAGTGCTGCCAACGATTTATTGCCGTCGCGTTTATGCCCCGACCGACAACGCTAGTCGTAACCGCTAATCCGCACACAAATGGTCGTCGCGCACCATTCACTTTTGTGTTGTCCTTATCACCAATCAACCAACAACGGCCATTTACCATTGTCTTGAATATATTTTATTTTCCCATTTACCTGCTTCCTTTATTTAAATATATTTAATTACCCACCTTCTTATAAATTGTATTACATAATTAATTCATTATATACAAATAGGCGCTTAACTGACGGGATAGCGTTAATAAAATACACTGGTCAAGACTAACCAGGCATAAATAATACCTACACTTATGATTTGTTAGTTTTGTTCACTTACGCTTTCATACGAGTTATATTCGATTTTTTAAATAATTGTCATTTGCTGTTTTAGGTAGTTATTAATAAGCAATATTCGAAAACTTCCTATACTTAAATATTCTGTTTTCACCAATCACTCCAAATTTGGTTTCTCTGATTGTTATGACTTATAAGTAATTAACAATGGTTTACTTTCAAAAAAAGTATTTTAAGATTACAAATCTGTAACCTATAATCTATATTGATACAATTATTGAACCTAATATAGGCGTAAATAAAAAAAAAGTATTTGAAAGCGCAGAAATATTGTTTTGGACAATATTTTTATTAAAAAACACCAAGTTTAACTTTTTGATTAACAATTATAGTGTAAAGTTGGGATTTATCGGCGTACATTAGGTACGTCATGTTCAATAAAATTTTAAAATTTATTTTTTAAATTGACATCGACTTTAAATAAGTACCTAAACTATTCTACACGATACCAATATCTGATTTATCACGATCATGATAGTATATATTACACACTGTTGCGTTGAGGTATATTATTTGTTCATATTTTCCTTTAGTGTCTGACAAAATAACTATTAATCAGATTTACATATTACAGAGTTTGCACAAGTATTGATTTATAGAAAAAATGCATATTATGATCAATATTATTTATTGAATATAGTATGGTTGTACTTGTACACATACGTATCAACATAATATTATTTACCATTATCGAACACCTTTTACTCATTCTGGCCCTTACGACCTCAAAGTTTAATACGCAAATAATGACATCGACATGGTGTGCCCTATTTCAATATTTTAGTATAATGTGAGTTCTTGATAAATTCTACTAAAATAATGTTTTGTATTATGTTTTGTCTTTTGATATCATTATAATCTTTAAAACTTAGGTCTGAAACTATATATTTTCCGAATGATCCGAATCCGAATGATAAAATATAATTAATACATTTGTAAGTGTATTTTCTTGTCTGGTATTGTTTCTGGGCAGGAAAAGTAAAACATGCTCAGTTTTCACTTTAAAAAAAACATATATATTTTATCAAGATAACTTCTAAATAGTATTCTTTTCCATATTTCAATATTATAGTGGTTTGAAAATATAAAATTCTTATATCGAAACATTAAGTCTAACGCCTTATAAATGTTAGTTATACTTCTAAAATATCACCAATTACCATTTAGTTGCATTTATTCATTTATGTATTTTATATTTAAAGTAAAAAAATTAATTGTCCAGTAAATTATGTATGTATATTTTGTTTAAATGTGTATTTTTGACGTTTCGTGATGAATTTTTTTATTCGTTACTGAAAGAATCACTATTAAAGCGTGTAAAAAAGTCAAAAACTACTATCATTTGTATAAATCACCATTATATCACAACGGGAAATAAATTATATATATTTAAATAATAAAACAGAAAAACCCATACTATAGTGATACATTTTAACAAAAAAATACAATTATAATAAATATTTGTAATTATAAAATTGTACACATTTTTACATTAGGTAGGTATTTATTTTTAAAGAAATTATTTTTAACATAACAACTTAACCAGAGTCCGGTACACTAATGAGTAATTTGCTAGAGTTAATCATCACTAGACGAAGATGTGTGTTGTCGCTTGCTCTTACATTTGTACATCTTTTGAATTTTTTGCACGTCCTTTCTGCTCAGACCATCTCGTTGTCCCATAGTCACTCCTCGTGTCTAAAATAATACGATTTTATATTGAATAAAATTTATAGAGGAAGTGTTTAAAAGGGTTAATTTTCTTTTACATCAATAGTTATTTTTTAAATTGTTTTCAAAGTCGAATCGCTTACAGTTTATTGTAAACATTTCAAAACAAGTAATATTATTATTTAGACTTGGATCATTTTTAAATTTACTTTTTTTCATTATGTGTAAATTAAAAGTGTAAACGTAAAGTAAATATAATTTCGAGTTTTAAATTATTACTTTTAGTATTTGTATCAAGTAATTGAACAAACTCTAATATTATTTTTTTTAATTTTAATAAAAAATAAATTATTAAACACATTGTGAAAAGAATTTTCACTATCAGAAATATCAATGGAGACTATATGATAAAACACACGAAGCATAGAAATGTAGAGTTGTAAGTTATTATTTTAAAGCTGAGAGCACATTTTAAATTTAGACTAACTGTAAAATACAAATATGGCCTCGAGACAATTCCTTTTTTTATGACTACTATTTTATTATAATTAATTAAATATAATATATTATAATTAATATAGAGTAATCAACTATTTTTCTCGGTAAATAATTGTAATTGTATAGTTTTTTTTTGAAATAGCTTTACTTTTAAGGTATTTTAAAATATTTTAAGATTTATATACATTAATATATATATATTAGCTCTATCTGTTAATACTTTTCGATTTATCAGCGTTAGGAGACTATAGTTGAGGCGGGATGGAGAAATGCAGCAAACTACAAACAAATTTTTTATCTGTGACACTACTCTACCGAATTTCATCGTTATTTATATACTTTAGTCTTTACAAATTGTATACAGTTAAGGTTAAACAAATAAAAATTCGTACTTTCGGATCAATAGTGGCTTGGCCGTTTTTAGAAAACGCATTCGACGAATAATGCATTACACTGCGATAATCATAACCCACTCCTTGGTCGTCTATCATTGAACTCTGAGCTTTTTCGAAGTTATTTTCTCGGCCTATATAGTATATAACATTATAATAAAACACAATATAATAATTAATAATATATGAGAAATTGCATATTAAGGGGTCTGCTATTAGGCAACATAACATACATATTGTTTACATTGTTAAACGTGCTTTTGTTTTGCATCCGTATTTACTTTGTACAATCTCCCTCGTTGCTCTTCCCAACATCCTATTGCCTATCATTGCTTTATAATTATTATTTAATTATAACGAGCAACATTGAATCAATGTTTAAATGTTGTTTTGTCTACTGACTATTATAATCTAATATATATAATTATATAAAGTAATCAACGTTTCTTAGGTCTTTCCTCTGCCCTGTCTATTTTACATTTATAATCATCCCACCAATACCTTTACTGTTCTTAAAAGAACAGTTCTATTATTGTTATTTTACTGGTAGCTTGTCAATACTATCTTAATCTATTCACTCCATTACTGAAGCAATAACTTATCAATATTTTACATACTGGTTTTTCATATTTAAACATCATACATCTTGTCTCTTCCAAGGTACAGTACAAGTTACAACACAGAAATGTAAATCCCTGGTTAATTATTATATAGTAAAAATTGCTTATAATATTGCTATGTTATATCCAACTTATTCTAACCTGATTGGATGTTGTTGTAGTTGACGGTAACGTACTTGTCCCTGTCAGGCCTATTCTGTTCGTGCATAAATCCAGCGGCATGAAGCATTTCGTGCATAACTGTTCCTTTTTTGGTTAAACAGCCTGGACTTTGGAGGTTCACCTACAGTCATTATGAATGTTGTAGTTTAAAAACTACTATAGTCGGGATGCACACATGTTGTTCTATTTACCTCTTGTCTGCCTCCGATTTTGCCGACTGATGACCAACAGCCGGTGTTACCGTTAGTGAAGTATACGTAATCTCTATCGCCTGAAGTTCTAGGAGTAAATCTCAGACAGGTGAGCTTCTTATAGTCTTCAATAGCGGACATTATCATTTGTCTATCACTGGACGCTATAAATTCAAAGCATTCGAATAAGCCAAAATAATTATATCTAACAGACAATTTTTTTTAAATATAAATCGAATGTGTAAATATTCTAATATAGAATTTAGTTTTTTTTATTAATATTACTTAGCATGTAGGGTAGGTAGATCAGTGGCGGTGCCAAAGGTGGGCAAATTCGGAATGCCCATCCAAAAACTCCAGTGCCTATCTTGGGCCCGCCTGTGCAGTGCCCAATATTAATTAGTTTTGAATTAAAAAAAAATTGCAGTACAACAGAAAATTATTTTAGAATTAATTCTTGTAATCTTATTTTGGGCAAATTTAGTTGTATGTAGTGTATACAAAAATGTATAATATATTATACAACTATACTTATTATCATCATCATCATCATATTATTATTATGATTCATCATAATCATCATATTATTAGTTTATGATGATTTTTGGCTACAGTTTGTGTTTTTACTTTTTGTATTATTTCAATACAATAATGGATTATTTCAATCCATTTTAAATTAGGACTTTTAGAGTTTAATGCTTCTATTTGAGTTCCTCGACGGGCCCCGCTGAAATATAACAACCCTCGTTGTGCCCTATGCTTTCAATACCCTGGCGCCGCGTCGCCACTGTGTTAGGTAGATACTCACAGAAGTAAGGGCTGATTTCGTATGGTATGATTCCTTTTGGCCACCGGGACGACGTGGCTTTTAACCCATTACGACCCTCGCCGATCGGATGCAATATGTCACCTTCGGCGTACTCGCCCAACTCCTCCGGATTATACGCGCTGCCCTCCTTCCACGTTGACACCTTTTCTCCAGACTTCTTGTCTGGCGTCCCGAAAATGGACGCACCTAAGTGCACCAGCTCGGAGTACAGGTCATCTTCGCCCGCTTCGGCGCCGTCTAGTTCGTTTTCGTCTGCCTCCGCCCGAAAGTTGACTGGCTGCGCCAAGACAAGCGGTACGCCCACCGCCAACAAACATAAAAACAACTTCATGTCTATGGTCTTCGAGCGAAATTCAGTCCAGTTGAATTACTGAACAAACAAGGCGAGCCTCAATATGGCTTGGTATTTGCTCGTTATTCTTATTACAAGAATATCACAACTGCGATACGCACAGTGTAATTAAGGAAACATACATTTTATAATGTATATATATAAGACATTTTGTCGGTAATTAGCTACGATAATATTCGGCGGCGGCGGACAATTAAGGTAACGGGTCACCTTAAGTTGTTTGTTGTTTTGCCGGTTCGTTAAGAATTCGTGTAGAAGTCCCGGCGATAAGAAGGTGTACATTATTTACCGGATGGCATAATTATTTTATTATTATTTATTTTTTGATTTTAGTCCAATTTATACCGACAAACCGTTTAGGGCTCCTTAAAAATATATCCTCCTGCCATGATAATCAGCCGGCCGGCAGTTGATTAACCCTACCTTAACATTCGTGTAAAACACTGTTAAAAAACAAGTGAATATTAATTAACCCATGTAAATAGCTTTTTTTTCGCAAACACAGTTGTTTTTTTACAATTTAGCGTAAACACACGTGTAATCTGCATTGGAAAAACACCACCTCGGTGACTTTAGCCGCCTTTCTAAAATAATGCGGTAACTTTTATTCAATGCTATTATTACTAAATACCTATTGTATAAACGATATGACATCAGATAACGATTGGCCCTAAGTTGAGCATGTTTATTAATTTCAAAAACTCATGAAATTATTAGTTACTCACATAAACAATAACCAATTAAATTAGAAGTTACATTAAAAAATAATTCAATTATTTTTATTATTTTACTAAATTACTTAATTTAAAACGTTTATACTTTATGTCATATAAGTATTAAAGAACATAGAAAAAACAAGTGGGTAATTTTGTTAATAAATACAATTTTAAATAAATAAATATCAAAGTTTACCTTTTAAGCATCTGCCTTAAAAATAACCTCATTCTCAATAATAGTGTATCAAGTACGCGACTTTGGCAGCAATGTTAACATCTTTAGCGCTCAAGTCAAAACCGACTGAACTTCGTAGAAAACTTTTAGACGCTGTAAATTAACAATTATTCTTTTTTTATTCTTTGTTCGTACTTTTTACAATAGTATAAACTATTTTTTTTTAAACAATAACTTTAAGGAAGCTACAAAATCTTTTTTTTTTTTGAGAACTTAGTATCCCACAACCCTCCACCCAATCGCGCTTATGTTGACTACATAATTAAAAACTAAACGATGCGTCTACATTTGAAAGGTAGATTTTTTCTAAAGTACATTCAAGCCAAAATTGTTAATCAACCCTTTTAAGTTGTAATACTTGATTTGGTGAAGTTATTTATAACATATAATACTTATGATACTGTTCAGCGACAATGCTAACTAACATTAATATTTATTGATCTAAAACCAAAAAAGAAACAATTTTGGTTTCATTAAATTCTATTTAAAAATATAATTTTAGCTTCGAATCACAAATCTGAGGCTATTTTTTTTTTCGTTCCTACATAAAGAATAATAACATTTGAAGGGCTGCGGGGAAAAAAGATCAATGTCAATTTTTTTTAATTCTGAGGAAATCATGTTTTTAATTTCAAAACGTAATACATTTTGCCTGTATGCCTTAACTTCCGGCGGTCATTATTCTCGAATAATCTGTTTTTTACCTGGTCCGAGCGCATAAAAGATACAATACGTCAACACAAATAATTTGATACCAAAATCTTATTTTCAAAAAAAATTGACATTGTTCTTTTTTCCCCGCATCCCTTCATTTGTAACTCGTAATTTACAACTTATCAATGGATAAAAGAAAGTAACGTGAAATTAAAAGTTATAAAGTTACTGACTTTTTTTACTTTGTTACAAGTATTACTACGCAGCTTTGATATAAAGTACCTTCGTACAACTTTTGTACACTAATGATAAAAAATAAAAAGCCAATACACAGCGAAAATATTTTTAAAATTAACAATTGGAAGGTCAACTTTTGAATGTTTACAACCCGACACAAATTTTGAAAACCGTCTTGATTTTGCATATAGGTCATATTCAAGTTTTTATACTAATCCAGCAAACCGATGGTATTTTTCAATAATTTGTGTTTTTTTTTTTTGAGTTTGTATTTATTTATAAATGTTGCAGCGTTTCAGATAATGTATATTAGGTACCCTTGTTGACATGAACACGCACGGTAAACATTATCTTTATTAGCTTTTAATGTTTTTCTGATCCTAACGTATTAACTGCTTTTAATAAATAAAACATAGTTGACTGTTCTGAAACATTTTACATATCTTACCACTTAGTAATTAACCTATTAAACCTTGTTGGATAATTAAAAAAGGAACATATACTTGCGTCTTATTATTATGGATAGGACTTATTACTCTTATTTTATCGAACTGCAAACTTATGAAAATTAACGTTCTTGTCGCAATAAATTACTAGGACAAATTAATAAGGATGTAATTTTTTTTATAACGACTATTTTTTAGTTAATTATTTTAGAAAAAAGATTAACATACATGTTGGAGTATTACTGCATTGTATTCGTATTATTAATCGAAAATAAAATAAAATATTTAAGTAATGTAGTTATAAAAATTTATCATAAACAATATTAGGTATTCATTCGTTTTGTCTATTATTACAATTATTTCTACTAATTATAAATCATAAATTGGTAAACTGTAACACTTATTAGTTAATTACAAATTGATTTATTATGGATTTATGGATTCGTCAATTAAATCAAATTAACAATCAACTTATACTATATTTTTATGTGGATATGGTTATAGACATAATGACTTATGGCGGAGATTTACTTTGCTTTTAGCTTAAACAGTGAATTTCAAAATTATAACTACCGCATAAAACATTATTCAAGGCTCTTAGTTTGTACACTTGTACATCTTGTTAACTTTTTCCAGGTCCTTAATGCTCATTCCAACTCGTTGGCCTATAACCACATCTGGTTTCTAAAAAAAACATACAAGAAGTCATGTTGATTAGTAGGTATCACTGTTCGTTAGAAGGTACCATCAAGTTAAAAGACTAGGACATTTACGAACTATTATGATATTTTGAAATACCCACTTATACTATAATATAAATAACTGTAAAATATACATACGCAAACTACATAATTTAATTATACACCAATTATATATACCTTTGGAACAATAGTGTCTTTGCCGTTTGTGGAAAACGCCTTGCGCGAATAATGCATTACACTGCCATAGTCATAGCTTACTCCGAAGTCGTTTACTAATACTTCAGAGTACTTGTTGAAATTACTTATGGCATCTGCGTATAAACATCCGTTTATTTTGTTATTGAAAACAAAATTTAAAACACTTTTTCAATATTTATTATTTGCGATTTTTATTTTCATTTATAGTTATTTGGATTGGCAAATACTTAACCTTCCATTCATATGAATAGTAATTAGAATTTTACCCTTATCGATATTCTCATCATGAACGGTGATGTATTCATCTCTGTTTGGTCTGGTTTGTTCGTGTAGAACTCCAACAGCGTGAAGCATTTCGTGTTCGATTGTCCCCACGCCCATCCAACAATTTGGGTACTGCAAATTTATCTAAATAAACATACAGGACATGAGCGATTCAATATAGAATAACGAAATAAATAAATATAATAAAACTGTAATACATTTTGTTTTCCTCCGACTTGGCCCACGGACGACCAACATCCAGAATTTTCCATAGTGAATTGTACATAATTGGTATCACTTGAAATCTTAGGTGTAAATTTCAAACAAGTCAAGTTCGTGAATTCAGCAATAACTCGCGATATAATTAGCTTGTCTTCAAACGCTAAGTATTTTTAAATTAGTGTATCATAACTATTATGCATTATATTTGTTTGACAATAATTACAAATAAAACAACCTAACCCAACTTAGTAAATAGTAAATGTAGGTATAGTCTTAGGTCCTACGACCTATGACATAATTTGTAATTACTAATACCATTACCAATATTACTCAATTCCAGTACATAGATGTACAATACCAGCAATGTGTACTCACAGTAATCAGGGCTGAAATCGAACGGTATAATTCCATCGCGCCATCGAGAAGTAAACCTCATCCCGATACGGTCCTTGCGTAAGTGCAGGATGTCTCCTTCAGCGTACTCGCCAAGCTCCTCGGGGTTCTGCGCACTGCCCTTCTTCCACGCGGCCACCCTTTTCCCTGTTTCCTTGCTCGGCTTGCCGTAAATGGATGACCCTAAGTACCCTAAGTCGATGGTTAAGTCATCGATTTCATTTTTTACTTCATCCGAGTTCACAGTTTGCGCCATTAAAAACGGCAGACCAACCGTTAAGACACACAAAAATATCTTCATGTTTGTTTTAGGATTGGAAGAATGTTTCTAAAAAAACCTCTGGAATTATTTAATTTATTTTGCTTTAGTAAATTTTTGAAGAGTCAGGTTATATTAGGTTGCATTAAACATACTTAAGCTAGAAAAAACTTGTGCAACTTATGGTTATATTTATATGTAGGTAATAAAATAATATTTAAAATATTAAATTTATAATTTAAAATTATAAGGGTTTCGGTGGGCCTAATATTTATTATGGGCAAAATATAGAAAATTGAAAACACGTGAGTAATATCCATGTTAGTAATAAAAAGTGACTTTATGAAAAAAGATGATATTTATTTGAAACAGAAAATCTTCCTAAAATCGGTATTAAATTTTGATTTTTAATTATTTTACCAAATACAACAAAAACCCCTTTTTTCTAATCTTTCGATCTAAAGATAAGGATATTATTCGATTTCCTCAGTAAAAGGCACATTAAGCATGGCTATTTAGGGGTAATATTTGACAGGTTATAGTTATGACAAAGGTTTTTAAGCAAATTCGTTTCCATACAAAAATAATGAGTTAATTTTATTATAACTTAAAATTTTTAATACTTATTAATTAATGTAAAACTTTTTTTTACAAATAATCTAATTAGATGAAAATAAGGTGCATGATATTAAAATAGCTGCTATTATTTTTAAAACTAACTAAAAAAAATAAAAAATAAATTTTATAACAAAATGTTAATTAATTGTAAACGTTATGAGCTAGAAGAGCACCTTGAGTTTTTTTTAAATATCGAAATTCATATTATAGTTCTAAAAATCTACAATAAAAAAAATTAGCAGCTATTTTGAATTACTACATAAGTATTTCTACTTAGTACTATTATGTTATAACAAATATGTGCATATTACGGATATTATACTATTGAAATGCAATGTTTCTTTTGTTTCGTCGAACAAACCTATAACGAAGATGTGCTGTACGTCTGTGTTGTGTTTGCTTTATGAGAGTTTTTTTGTATTGTAGGTTACCATTTATTCAGGCACGGGATATTAAGTTCATTAATTTTTATTACGATCTTAATTAATGTTCAATATTTGTTAACTGTAAGCGTTGAAACAAATTCTACACATCAAAACGTGTCATTAATATTATCGTAATTAGCTATTTAATGGGGTTTTTTGTGCGCAATCAACAGTGTTAAGCTAACTAAGAAGGCTTTACAATGTGTTATTTTCTGAATTCTCGATAACTTTTTAACAACTGGGCCAATTTCTTGATGTGGCAAGTCTAGATCAAGTATAGATCACAAATCTTACAACACAAATATTTTTATGAAAATAACTTAATGAAAAATGTTTATTAATTATAAAATGACGATTTCTTGTATAAAATGATTGTCTGATTAAAAAAAATGTATTTTATTTTATGATATTTTTTATTGGAGAGTAATATTATGTGAATTTTGCCCTCAAATTTATTCAGGCACAAGTTTAATAGTTTTATCCTAATAAAAACAATAGCTGGGTAGGGTTAAGTTTAAATAATATTAGGCTCCATCCCTCCTCTTTTTGGGATACCGTCAAGGTGGTTCAATTACTGGCTACGGCCCAATGGCTGTAGCACAGTATCATTGTGGCCCAGTCTACCTTGTAAGTTATAGCATACTATAAGGTGTTTAAAGTTGAACTAGTACAATAATTAATGAAGTAATAAACATTATAGGTAAAAAAAATGTAATCAATAATAGTTATACAAGACAACTTTATGATATACAATAGGAAGACGTCTATTTGCAAACGACTTTAGTAATGAGTATAATATTTAAAAATCTCAGCTGACAGCTCCCTCAAAATTTAGATTAAATGTCCGTTTAAAATCAACACACATGAAGTGAAAGATCAGATAATAAAAGCTGTCGACAATTATTAATTATTTTTATTAGACGTTTATGTTTTTAATTTATCCAGTGACATGGTAGTGGTGCGCAGCTAAGTAAAAAAAAAATAGCGTAGCGTAGCATACACCGCCGTGTATAGTGTATACCGGTATGACTAGATTTCTAACTATCAAAGTAAATTGTAAAATCAAGGTGGTGATAAATTAAAACAAATTTTCATGGAACAAACGAACACCATACAGAGTATATTAAAAATTTTAAAAAATATAGTGTTGCTTCATATTTTATTTTAGAAAAATATGTATCAATTACGGCGGAAGACAGTTTTCCAAAAATGTAAATTCTATAATATAGTCGCGGGTAGGAAAGTATTTTGAAAGAGTTGTTATATTGTTATCTTTATACGAGAGAGGTCTTATACTCTTATCAATTTATCACTTTGAACTCTTCAATGTCAAATCTTAAGACAAAATCAATTTTCGATTTTAAATTTAAATCGGATGATAGTTGTACATAATAATTAATTTTTAGTGGTCTGTATTTAATCCGAACTTGAAGTTTTTCTTTAACTTCCATTCATGATGGCTACCTCATTGTTTCGATCTGCCATCAAAGGCGGATTATCTAAACAAATTCTCAATAAAACTATACACTCCTTGTTAAAACTAGAAAGACTATGCATTCACACATCTTCGTTTTTGAATGGTAAGACATAAATCGACCTATTGTACTATCTATTTGTAGAACTAATAAATACTTATATAATTAACCACATATAGTAAAAGGTCAAGAAATCAAAATGCCATCCTTGTCACCGACTATGACTGAAGGGAACATTGTAAAATGGTTAAAAAAAGAAGGTGATACTATTGCTGCAGGTGATGTTCTATGTGAAATTCAAACTGACAAAGCCGTTATGGCTTTCGAGACTGAAGAAGAAGGAATATTGGCTAAGATTTTAGTTAGTAAATAAAACTGACTTAAAATAAAAATTGTTTTAATTAAAATATAATGTTAAGGTTCCTGATGATGCTAAAGAAATAAAAGTAGGTTCGCTAATAGCACTTATGGTTGCCGAGGGAGAAGATTGGAAAACTGTTGAAATGCCCGATTCTGCTGGTGCTCCATCTGCTCCGACAACAGAAATTCAAGCCGAAGAATCTGGACAACCGTCTGGAGGGAATAGTATGTATTAAATATTATTGTTTTGGTGTAATCATTAAACCTATACTTGCATTTATTCAAGCACCTGGAACTGAAATTAGAATGCCATCGTTATCCCCAACTATGTCTGAGGGTACAATTATAAAATGGTATAAGAAAGCCGGTGATAAAGTGGCTCCAGGCGATGTTTTATGTGATATTCAAACAGATAAAGCAGTTATGGTTTTTGAAACTGAAGAAGAAGGAATTCTAGCAAAAATATTGGTATTATATTATTATTTAACAAACATCTCCCTGTATATCTATACAACGTCGTCATACCGGAAATGATCATTGTGAAAACGTGTTTTTATGGATTCTAATAAAATGTTTTGTAATGGGCTCAAGTCCCAGTTCAACAAAAATGTTCCCATTTTTAAACATTTCTATTGTCTCCCTAATATTAAGTTTTTAAAATGATTTACACTTTTAAGTATTTTTAGCTATGATTAGTATCCAATCAGGAGATTTATGTGCTTCTTGGTTTTTTATGTTAACTTAACCCAATATTTCGTTTTGTCTCACCTACATGGCATTTATCACATTCTTTACGTTGTATTTTATGAATCCCCGATTTTTCTTCTTCCTCTATTTTATCTTTGTAGCTATCAAATAAAGATTTTTAAATTATTACTTTTTGATGCAACTAGAGTTATATCGTAATTTTCAAAAAATTTTGTTAAACCACTTGAGATACCTGGAAAATAAACTAAACCCAATTTCATAATTTGCTGTCCTAACTTCCGTTGACCATTTATGTTTAAAACAATTTTTTAGGTTGGTGATGATACTAAAAATGTTAAAGTTGGTGATTTAATTGCACTTATGGTAGCAGAAGGAGAGGATTGGACCGATGTTCAGGTTCCCGGGGAAAAGAAAGTTGCTTCTTCAGCTCCGAAAAAAGAATCTCCTGAGCTTAAGATCCAAACAAAGGCTACCTCTGAATCTGTCACAAGACATGCATAGTACGTACCTAGTGAAATAGAAATTTTGCATAATCTTGATATTTTTTAAGCATTTATTATTAAACCGCTTACTAAAAATATGAACTTGTTCGCTTTTATGTTTAACACCCTAATAAACTAACACATTTGCATTCACATTCCTTTTTTTTTAAATTGGCATATTCATGTTCCATGTTTTAAAAAAATGAATGCGTTTATTTAGTTGCTCTTTTTTAACAAATTATATTTTTTGGAGAGTTTTGATGAAGTAAATAAATAAGTACACCTGCATACTTTCAAATGCTATAAAATAGTATTATAAATAATAAAGAAATATTTTTAATTATTTTTAATAAAAATATCTTATGGTAGCTCTACACTTTCGCCACGCATGGCTATACGAGACTGAAGCGAGGCGAGGCACCAAGAGTAGTTACCATCTATACTCTCGCAGCGCCTCGCTATTGGTTACATATTGGAGCATAGTCGCTTCGCCTTGTGTTCTATGACTCGCGCCAAAAAACCTACATTGGACAGAGCTGCCGCGAGGCGAGGCCAAGTGGGAGCACCGACCACACTCTCGTGCTCGTGTTGCTTCAGCGAGAGTGTGGAGCTAGCAATATATATTTATGCAAAATATATATTCTTTGGCAAAACAATATTTTTGCAACATAAATAATTATATAATATAATATGCTAATACAATTTTTTAAATGTTATTTTTAACAAAATTTTGATTTTTGTTTTCTTTATGAGAATAAATATAAAATTAACGACTCAAGAATCGTTTATGTTGGATAAAAAACTGAATGATTTCTTATAATTTGATTATAAACACATTTAAGAACTTGTTCAGTGAAAAATAAGTATTCATTTTAAATGTATTCTATTATTACTAAAACTCAGTAATACCTAAATAACACAAAATAAAGGTATGATAAATAACTACTGTTTCATTAGTTTAAAATAAACTGATAAATGGTTAAGAAATCTCTGCACTCGAAGGCAACTATAAACCTCAAGGGGCTATTAGCTTATTAAGCTTAAAAATGAAAATACATTTGTAATACATTCTTGAACAATATTTTGGTGAAATCGTCTCCCTCCGCAATTGCATTTTAAAATCTTGAAAACTTGTTTTTATTTTACAGCGATGGTTATAGTCCAGCAGTTAGATCGCTTTTGGAATTGTATGCTATTGATGGTAAAAGTGTTAAAGGTACGGGGAAACTAGGAAAACTTTTAAAAGGTGATGTTTTAAACTACATTGACCAGAACAAATTGACAGTAAAACCACCCACTTCAGGTTAGTTAACCAGATTTTATTTTAAATGTTTTATCATATTTAAATAATGTATACATTTTATTTTAGTTCCATTACCTGGAGAAACTACCAAATCTACACCTTCAGTATCATCTCCAGTGTCGAGACCGGCCAAAGGACCTGGTTTTACTGACATTCCATTAAGTGGTATGAGAATGACGATTGCTAAGCGACTAACTGAATCAAAAGTAACGACAAAAAATATTTTTTAATGTATTATTCATATTACACTGATATTTTTTAAAACTTTTAGACTATGATTCCTCATGCCTATGCAACAGTCGAAAGCAATATTGATTCATTGTTGGGACTTCGTAAGCAACTTAAATCAGCTGGCATAAATGTTTCTGTTAATGATTTCATAATTAAAGCAGTAGCCGTTGCCTTAAAAAAATGTCCTCTAGTCAACTGCCATTATGTTAAAGATCAAGTAAATCTTAATCGAGATTCTACCGTAAAATATCAATTGACAAAATTGTATAGGAACTTCTACATTTTTTTAATAATATTTATTTAGGTTGTCTTGCAACAAACCGCAGATATTTCTGTAGCCGTTGCAACAGATTCTGGACTTATCACCCCAATCGTTACCAATGCCAACAATAAAGAGTTAGATGAAATTTCATCAGAGATTAAAGAATTAGCTGGACGAGCTCGTAAAGGAAAACTGCAGCTACACGAATTCCAAGGAGGCAGTTTTACGTAATTCTTGTATTATGGTTCTTAATTTATGAAACAAAAATTATTTACATTAATTTTATTACAGAATATCTAACCTAGGAATGTTTGATATCACCGAATTTAGTGCAATTATAAATCCACCACAATGTGGTATATTAGCTATTGGAAGCGGACGACCTGTCATTGGTAATAACAAACATTCTCTTTTTTTAAACAAACGCACCATTGTTAATCTGTTTTTCTATTGCAGCTCTAAATGGAAAGCCAAAAACCATTTTAACTGCAACATTGTCATATGATGCTCGTGCTATAAGTGAATCTGCTGCATCCGATTTCTTAGAAACTGTACAAGGTTTATTACAAACTCCAGCTTCACTTCTTATGACGGCATCCACAAATAGGAGGGCTTCAAATTAATACAAATTTTTTTTCCCAGCGTAAAGCAATTTTTCTTGTTAAATTATACGGCTTCTTTGTTTGTGCTTGTTATTTTTTATTTTATTTTAAGATTCAAACAAATAAACGTAATGATGTTATAAAAACCAAAATGACAAAAAATTGTATTACCTCAAATTCTGATACATTAAAAAAAAAAACAGAATTTCATATTTTGTAAAAATGTAATTATCTTAAGTTAATATAATAATTATACATAAATTAAAAAATTATGCAGGAGCAGGTGGTGGTGGTGGTGGGACACTAGGTTTCCAATTTATTGGCATCATACTGTTTGGTTGCATAGGTGGAGGTGGAGGCATTGGTTGTCCACTACCCATACTCATTGGAGGAGGAGGAGGCATTGGTTGCCCACTACCCATAGACATTGGAGGAGGAGGAGGCGGCATCATGTGACCCTGCATGTGAGGTGGCATAGTAGGATGTGAAGGGGGTAATGGTGGAGGTGGCATCTGTCCTTGTTGAGTAGGCGGTGGAGGAGGAGGTGGAACAAATCCACCATGAAATCCAGGAGGAGCGAAATTATTGAAACTCGGGGGAGGAGGAGGTGGAGGTTGATATGTGGGAGGCTGTGGTGGCGGTTGCTGGTTTTGCCAAGGCATAATGCGTGGTGGAGGAGCCATTTGGTGTTGAGTCATCATGGTCATAGGCACTTGCATAGGTTGTTGCATAATTGGTGGTGGCGGAACTGGCATTTGATGCATCATCGGCATTTGCGTTGGTGGTGCATCGGCAAACAGTTGATGAGGACGATCAGCTTGACTGAGGGGATTTTGAGCAGCAAGTAATCTTTCGGCAGCCGATCCATGCCGTTCTCCTTTGACATCTTTTTTGAATGCATAAGAAATAGATACAGCTCTGTTGCATAAATGTTGACCATTCATTGCTTCTATTGCAGCATCAGACGCTTCAAAACTTGCATAGTTAATAAATGCAAACCCTTTTGAATTTCCTGTATCGGGATCTCTCATAATCTAAACAAATTAAGTTATTTCACACTAACTTTATGCATTTCTTCCACTTGTATGGATATTTAAGATATCTAAAAGTATTATTGAATATATATTATTAGGAAGTTATAATAATTCTTGGAGACTTATGACCTCCTTAAACTCCACTATTCTCTGTCCCTAATTTACTAATTTTTTTTTTTTTAATTTTTTATATTTTCATTAGAGAGTATGGCCACTATCACTCTAATATGTTAGGTAGACATTCCAAAAAGTGACCACACTTTTTAGTTTTCATTTATGGTATTTTAATTTTTACATACCCAAAAAATAACAAATATAAAAAAAAAATTGTGTGGGTCTCTGGACCCGCGGCAGAAGTGAAACTTCAAAACGGTATGTTACTGAACTCGGTGTTAAAAAACTTGTGTTATAAAAGATATGCTAAGTAACGATTTGTATATTAATTAAAATAGTATTAAATTGGAAAAAACAAAAACAATTTTTTTAGTGGGGGTTGATCATTAACGTCTTTGCAACTGAATGCATTTTGTACTATTATCCGGCAGATGCAGTGGACTTTGTGCGAACGTAAAATGTCAGTAGAAACGAATCAATGCACACAGAATTACAAGCCACTTTAATTTAAGAGAGAGGGAGCTGAAGAAGTGGGGGAACTTGTACTATATCATATAAAGATCCGCACAAAAGAGAATCAAAGAAAGCCAGGCATTACTGTATATCTATATGATGTTCGCTCGTTTTCTCGTTTGCCCGTTTTCACGGGTTAACTAACCATACGACGCGCCTAAAGAAGTTTCACTTCAAAAAAAGCGGTTTGAACTTTGCAGCAGAACAATTCAAACACATTTAATAATACAACAATAAAAGATAAAGATAAATTTATAAGATTTCACCCCAGCTTGAACCAACAACTTTAACTTCTGAAAGACATTGGCTTGACAACCTATAACAATCTAGACCTACCTAGCATAACTCCACAATTATTTATTAAATATTTATAATTTAGTTTCAACTTTACCTTAGGAGTTTGTAAAATAACACCAAAAGCTGAAAATGTATCATATAACAACTTCTCGTCAACTTCTGAATCCAGATTACCAATAAACACATTTGCACCAACATCCAAATTTTTTTGGTGAGCTGAAGCCTATAACAAAATATGAAATCAAGGTATATAGTATATAGGTATATCCTTTTGCTCTATCTTTTTACTAAAAAAAGTTTAAATACATTATACCTATAAATTGTTGCCTAACACTATTAAAAGGAATATCTAATATTTAGTATAATAAATTACCTTATTAACACGAATTGGTTTACCATACAGTTTGATCATGTTCATTATTTTTATAGCATAATCAGCATCATCCTCAGCAAGAAATTCTACAAAACCATATCCTTGATGGGATTGTGTCACTCTGTCTTTAGGCATATGCACATTAACTAGAAAATACAAAATTTATAAAAATGTAACTACTACTATAAACATATACCAAAAGTTTTCATACCGACTGGTCCAGCCTGAACGAATAATTCCCACATAAGTGTGTCTGAAACTTTTTCATCAAGACCACCAACATAAATGGTTGCATCTGTTATTCAATGATAAAACATTAGTAAATAATAAAAAACTAAATTTGGTAAGTAATAAAATATTAAACATTCCACATAACTTTTAAAAAGGTTAACATAATTTTAGTTCCTGCGTCATTACTCATTTCTCACAACTTTGAAATCAAAGTTAAGTATACTGTATACAATATTATATACAACATTTTTATTACAAAAATAGTTTTTATTGTTTAATATAAAAAATAAAGAAATTAAAATAAATCAACCATAACGTAAATTATAATATTATTAGGAATAATAATTACATTTTTAGTGTTAGTACATAATATATTTACCTTGATTTCTTTCTGCAATTGGTCCTGCAGCCATTTTTTAAATAAATAAATAATTAAAAAATTTACATAAATAGCAACTGGGGGCCTAACTTAAAGACTCGACGATTTTATTATCTGCCGACTATTAAATTTAAATCAAACACAGTAGTTTTTGTCTAAAATTTAGATTCCAAAGTTGTAACGCCGACAGCCGAACCGCATTTGATAACAATAATTGAATAATACAAATTGTACCAGTGCAGTGTGACCACGATTAAAGATAAGTGGGTGTGGCCAATATAATATGTAAGTAAGTTATTCTGCGATTCTATCTAAAGTTTAGTAATTATCTAGATGGTAGATAATAATGCAAACATGTCGTTAAGATGTATGCAGTATGTACATATGAAAAATTTACTTTTTAAACGTTCAAAAATATTCACTATGTAAAACATAAGTAAATAAATATAATATTAATTGCTATATTATATTCATTACATGGTTCTGTGGTTTAATGGCTGCATAATTAAATTTCGGACCTGATATAGTAGCTTTCACGAAAGCTGGAGGCTTAGTGGATAGCAGGAGAGACTGGGTGGTCAGCGATAAAAGTTATAAGTAATATATTGCATTTGAAGTTCACCGCCAGCTTTCATGAAATAAACTATAACAAATATTATGTCACTACAATAAAAATTGTTACATCTATTATTTTTTAATTTTGTAATCAAGTTTTTTATGAAAAACTTTAATAACTGTTAAGTTGTAAATATAATATATTAGAAAAAATTGAAGGTAAAATTGCAAAGTTGAGCCCTTCAATTAATTAAAAATAAAATCAAATTTAAATTTTAAAAGGTCAATTAAAAACACGTCTTACTTTACATGTTTTATTAGCGTGACACTGTTTCTATAGCAATACCTATTACTGGTTTAATAATAAATGTATCAAAATAACTATAATAATGTAAAGTACAAAAATAGTATTTTATTAATTAAAACCAATAGGTAAACATAGATTTTTGAACATGTATTAAGCAATAAAATATAATTATTTGTTTTAATAACTTGTTCACAATTTTCAATACTTGTGATATAATTAAAAAATATATATATATTAAAAAAAAATAATAGTGCAAAATATCAAATAGGTAAATAGTTATTATTATAAAAAGGTAAATTGTATAATAATTTAGTACTAGGTAAGTGTTACCAATTATCATCTATCAAATAATGTCTTTCCTTCTTTGGCCAGTCTCAACGCGTGCTTTATAGCCACAGTATCCAATTCTTTTTGAGTTGGTCGCTCATTGTCTAGACAAAAATCCGATGTTCTTTTATTTAATAGTCCTAACATTTTAGTCCTATAGTCAACAATAGTGGATACAGGATTACCCGACAATACTAAATAGTTCATATTATGTAATTTTGTTAGATGTTTTATCTGATCAATATTAGCTACATAATTGGATCCCAAATCTAACATTTCTATTGAAAACAATTTTGAAAATGCCGTTAAGTCACTAATTTTATTTGAAGACAAATCTAGGCAAACAAGATTGCCTAGTTTTGTGTGGAGATCAAAAACTTCTGTAATATTGTTGTTAGAAAGTGACAAACGACTAAGGTTAGTGAGCGCTGTTAAATCTTCAATTGTGGTTATAAGATTTCCGTTTACATTTATAGTTCTGATGTTTGGAGTCAAAACAGTTAAGCTTGCTAATGTTTCAATTTCATTCCAGCTAAAATCTACTGATTTCACTTTGTTCCAAACCATATTTGAATCCATATCAGACGACCACTCTTTATGAACATAATCACATAACAAAATATCTTCAGGTTTTTTTAATTTTGAATTATAAATTGTAATTGCACGTACTGTGTTTCTTAATGGTTTAATATTATAAATCATATTCGAAGCTATATTGAAACATTCTAATTTAATAACACTTTTGAATGATGATAACTCAAAATTTAAATTATTGTATACTATATTGCTTGCATTGACATAATGCTGTCCTCCTTTGATAGCCAAGTGTTTCAGTCTTAAACAAAAATCCAGTACATGACTAAAATTGAACTTGTTGTTTTCGCTATCTGGACATGGTAACTTTAATCGTTCACTAATAGCATACAACTGTAACACGTTGAAATTGAAACAATTTTCATTTGCCAGGTACACATCACCATTTTGATAAAATTCAGTAGCTAGTTTTTTAACAATTAGCATGACATCATACTTGTCAAATTCTAAAAAATCAAACAGTTCTTCAGGCATGGACTTTTGTAAAAACGACAAAATGGTTTGTAAGTATATTTCCAGGCCAATTCTACGTCTTTCAATAAAATCTGGTTCTTTGTTGCCAATAATTTTTTTGCCCGGCAGAATGTCTTTGGTTACAGTATGGTCATTCACCAGCTTGGCGTGAAGATCTGCAAATTCTTTGTATCTCTTTCGTACAGTCCATGCCACTTCGCCAACATTCACTTTGATGTTATAGTATGTTACACGGTTCGTATCGGTTTCAGACCCAGAAATCACAACATTACATTCGCGGGAATGAGTCACGTAACAAGACATAGTGACTCAGAAGATTTTAAATAACAATCGGTAAAAAGAAACAGAATTATTAGTTTATGAGAAAAACAACTTTTCATTTTAACAATAATCGAATGCAATTAGGAAAAATATAGCATAAAAGCTAAAAGGTTACTTTCTATGGTCTGTATGAATTATGATTTATGATTTACCGATGAGCGACTGTAATCGGATAACTGAACTCGATCAATATTATTATTTGTTACTACAATTTAGTATATTTTACAGTCGCCTGTCGCATTGCAAGGTTTATAGATAATAATAATTATTATCTATAACCCTTGGTCGTATTAAGCGAAGGTTATCAATGCGCCTCAGTCCCTCCTATATAATATTGTGAGTGTGTATGTATGATTTTTTTTAAAATAAAATTACCAATTCCTGATATTGTTATCTTAGTTTTATCAAAAACTGCAATGATGCGCGTGCGCGTTCTTCGTTGTGCGTCGACCCGGTTAAAATATTTATATACTTATCTATGGTTAAAATTGTCGTACGTGGATTAATTTAAATTATAATTTTGTATAGGTATTAGTCCTAACGACAATACAAATATGTAATAAATACCTATTGTATATTACTAGTTACGACCTAAATCTAAGAAAGGATTAACAATAAGTTACAGTTTTTAAAGTACTTCTGCTGGTGAAATATCCGTATTATAATAATAATATATATTTTATTATAGTAGGTACCTAATATAAGAAATAAAAACTATTATTGTTATTACTATTTAATTTTTCTGTAGTTTGCTGAATCGCAGCCGAGTTGCGTTATTGCCAAAATCATGACCAAAATCAAGCAAAGGAAAACAATGTTTTTAGAAAATAATGAAAATAAATCTAGTTTAATAGAAAAAAAAAGTGATTCTCAGTCGTTTAAAGTGAAACCAAATGCTATTAGTGATAGTTTTAACATAGCAATATTATTATTTCTCTATACACTACAAGGTGTTCCACTTGGACTTTCAGCAGCTATACCGATAATAATGCAGAAAAAACATATCACATACAAAGAACAAGTAAAAAAATTATGTTTAGAACTTATGAAACCCAAAAGATATCTAATGAAGTGTTGAACCACTTTTAGGCTCAATTTAGTTTTGCTACCTGGCCGTTTAGTTTAAAACTTCTATGGGCACCCATAGTTGATTCTATTTTCTATGCAAAGTTCGGCAGAAGAAAAACTTGGTTAGTACCTGTGCAGTATTTAATCGGTAAGTAAACATTAGTTGGTTTCCCATATAATACAACTATCTAAGAAAAACTTTAGTGACACTTGTGGTTATACATAATAAAATATTTAAATAAACCCTTAACAACAAAAATAATATTCTATAGCGTTTTATATTTCGACAGCAATGTTACCATCATCATCATTATCAGCGTGATAGCTAGCCTATACAGCTCGTTCTGTTGTATGCGCTGATGATGGTAACGTTGCTGTCGAAATACGAATATGCTCTAAAGTGTTATTTTTGTGGATTAGGTTATTTAAATATTCAATTATTTTATGATATAATTATATATTTAAGCTATAATTGTGAATAAACTATATATCGTTTTAAAGAAAATTATAAATAATTTGCAGTAAAGTAATAATATTATGTAAAAAGTTCAAAAGCTCACTCCATTAGTATTGCATAATGATTCAATACCTAACCTAATCGTTCAGTTTTACTTGTGTAAAAAATTATGAATAAAGTTGATTATTATTAAAAGAAATTGGGTTAAATAATTATTGTTAGCAGAGTTTGGAGGAGAGGGCTTAGGTGTGTTTTAACCCCCTAGTTTTGAAATTAGCACCTTTTAAATTGTCAGCGTTAATACCAAAGTTATAAGAAGGAGAAAGCATTTTCATTTTTTACAAATTCCACCTTTTTTTAATAAAATTGTGTCCCTGATTATTTGTCTACATTTTATATGAAAATCAAAAGTTACAGAGATGCAGGCTCGCTGTTTAAAATAGTATACGAGTTTTATGTAATAATAAATAATTTTTTTATTTTTATATTGCTTTATAGGACTTTTCTTGTTGTTTTTGGGAATGAACATCAATGAATGGCTAGTGTTTACTGAAAACCCAAATACCATATTCTTAACAATAATGTTTTTTTGTTTGAATTTCCTTGCCGCTACACAAGATATTGCTGTCGACGGTTGGGCGTTGACAATGTTGAGAAAGTTAGTGCTATACTCTACATAATACTTAAAATTAATCTGAATTAAACTTCTTCATACATATTTTTTACAGAGAAAATGTGGGATATGCGTCAACTTGTAATAGTGTGGGTCAAACGTTAGGTGTGTTTCTTGGCTATGTTGTATTTATAACATTTGAGTCTGCTTCATTTTGTAACAAATGGTTCAGGACTACTGAAACCCCTGATGGAATACTTACATTACAAAGTAATTAATATTTTGATGTTTTTCTGAAGTATGTAAAAATTATTTACATATTCATCAACAGACCTGGGCATTTTTTATTTAAAAAATAAATAACAAATAATGAGTTACTTAGAATATATTTTTATGCATAAAATCATTTTTTATTTATTTTATCAAATAAATTGGTATTTTAAATACATTTTTATTTATTTTTTTTAATAATAAATTATTTTAAAAACAAATTTATTTAATTTTACTTTTTAAATAGTTTTTTTCAATTGACTATTACAAGAGTTAACATTGAAAATTATTTAAACAATATTTTATTTCTTATTATTCATTAAGATAAAAATTTAATTGATATTTATTATTAAATTTTTATTTTACTAACTTTTAATTTCGAATAATTATATTAATTTTTATTTAAATACAAAATTATGAAAATAATGCCCTGGTTCGCTTAACAGTATTCATTTTTAAAATTGCCTATTGTTTAATTTTTGTTTTTTCTATAAAGGTTTCTTATATTTTTGGGGTGTAATATTTATGATTGCAACAACATTAGTTGCTGTTTTTAAACACGAAAAAGATCATTCACTAGAGCACGATCGTTTGAATATAGTTCAAACATATAAGCTTCTCGGTAATATTATGAAATTGCCAAGTGTTAAGACTTTATCACTTATATTATTAACTGCAAAAGTAAGTTTAGTGAAATTAATTTTAAACATCTTTTAACACGCATTTATGTTAAAATATATTTATTAAAAAACTCTTTTAATTAATTATATGTTGACAGATAGGGTTTAGTGCTGTCGATGCAGTGTCCAGTTTGAAAATCATAGACAAAGGCGTTCCCAAAGACGATATTGCTATGATTGGAATATTATTAATACCTCTGCAAATAGTTCTCCCAATACTGATTTCCAAGTATACTACTGGATCTAAACCAATGAACGTGTATTTAAAATCAATACCATACAGGTATTGTTATTTTTAAATAAATTTATAAGAATTTGTTCTATTTTATTTATGTATAATTATTAAAAAAGATAATGTGATACTGTTTAATTTAGATTAATGATTGGTATACTTATTGCGCTCTTAGTTTATTTTACGCCATCATTTATAAATCAAGATGGACACATTTCTATGTTATATTATATTTTAGTAATGTCGACATTTTTTTTGCATCAGGTAAACATAATTTAATCGATTAACTCGGTAATATACTTTAATTATGACCACTTGTATTGGTAATAAGATGTATTTGTTGTCTTTTATAGCTGACTTTGTACTCAATGTTTGTGGCAGTGATGGCCTTTTTCGCTCGTATCAGTGATCCTAAAATTGGCGGTACTAATATGACTTTGTTGAACACGTTAACCAATTTGGGAACAGCTTGGGTCAATACTGCTGCTTTATGGATGACAGAATACTTGACGTACAAACAATGTTCTAGTGACGAATTAAATTTGTGTACTTCTAACGCTGAAACTGAAGTAAGTCATAGTACACTATGCACTTGATTTTGTTGCAACTATAAATCAGCAGTGTAGTGACGTTAAGGTTGCCACACATCTACTGGTATTATTATAACTCAAACCGAAAAAAAAAAGTTGTCGTTTTTGGATTCTAGGTCTAAAAATTAGACCAAAAATAGATCTAGTTTGGCTCTAAATTTTTAAAAATCTAAAGTCAAACTTTAGATTCAAGAAAGCTATTTATTAAGGGGCAAAGAATAGGCAATATTTAACAAAAATTTTAAGTTAAAAAAAATTATTAAGGAAGAAGCAAAAGAAAAAAGCTAAAAACATGATTCTAAACAAATAAATAAAAGTGCACATTGTTATTTGTTGATTTTACTTATTGCAATTTTTAATATATAAAATATGTACCTTCTTTTCTATAATAATACAAAATTGCAGATTTTCTTAATTTTTTTTTTTTTTGTGACACCATATTATAAATTTTGTAATGAAATATTTAAACCACAAAAAAATATTTACTTTAAACTAAAATTACACATCCGGTCAGTTATCCGGAGCGTGTGTGTATGCACAGCTACACGGTACGGTGCACTCGAAAAATTGTTTTTCGATTTTGCACCGGTCGCATGTGCAGGTTAAAAAAATTGCACAGGTCTATTCTCACACATGCTCCGGCCTACCTGCGCAGGTATACCTGTGCAGGTAGACGGTGGTGTGTATGGCTGGCATTAGCATATACACGTGTTTCGTGTTTCAGCAGCAATATTACCATCATCAACACTCACAACAGACTGAGTGTTTAAAATAATAACTGAATCAAATACCTTCTCAATTATGCATCAAAGCAGAAAATAATGTAATATTAAAATTAAAATAAACAATTTTCCATGAAATTGTTTTTATTTAATAATTTATATTTTAATATGATTTGAAATTAAAGCTGCAGCAAGCTTATATATAAAGCTACTGATTTTAAGGAATTTGGAAGTGATCTATAAATGTATTTGTATACCATAGGCGCAAATTCAATTTTTAACTTGGAGGGCTGGAATTTTTTTAAAATTATATATATAAGTATATTTTTGTATTTTAAAATTGTATGCATAACCTAATTTTTTTGGTGGGGCTATGTCTAGCATTTGGGGGGCTAAGCCCACTCTAGCCCCCCCGTATTTGCGGCTATGATAAATACAGACATGGAGGCCGAGTAGGTAAGGCATCAGTGTGTTTGGCGCTCACTATTGCTGGCTCAACACTTGGTTTAGGGCATTCCATTTTCCAGGCGAGAATCATCTGGTAAAATGGAGCCACCACCCCCTCTCTGGCGACAGACTGATGACCCATCCAGAAAATAAAACATTTTATTAAAACACGAGTTCACAATGATCATTTCAGGTATGGTGACGCTCTATAGGGAGATGTTTTCCCCTAATCGGTCTCAGTCTGTTGTGAGCTGATGGTGGTGACATTGCTGCCGAAAATAAATATACGCCATAGAGTAGAAATTTGGGTTAAGGATTTTATTTAAATATTTTATTTCTTTTCTTTTAGGTCACTTTTTACAGAATATCTTATTTTTTAATTGTTTTAGCTTATAATTAATATTTTTTTTATAGGCGTGTGAATCAAGTCATGGCAAGTGTGATATAACGATTGATGGATTTTATGTAGAAACTGTAGTTTGTACAATATTTGGAGTACTGTGGTATCGCTATTTTTCAAAAATTATTAATCAGTTACAAACTAAAGATTTAAAGCATTGGCATGTCAATGCTAAAAAGTATTCTCTTTTGTAAATATAGATTTATTGTTGAGTATCAAATGTTTTTATGTATTGTTGAATATGAATTGTAAGTATATTTGTATAAATATATATAATTAACAAATAATATATTCTCAAAAATTATTGTTATTAATACTCATGTAATTGCATTCCTATGTATTTTTAATGATTTGAATGGCTGTACACTTTTTGTTAATTTCCTACATAAATATAAATGAAAAATGCAAAATGCAAACTTAATGCATTAATTAAAAATACTAAAGATTTTCTTTAACTTTTCAATTAACTTGTACATAACATTTTTTTTAGGCCCGAAGCCTAGTTCGGACGCCTGCTTGGCAGAATGAGCTGTGTTTAACCGTTGTTTTTCTGTCAAGTTTTTGATAGGGGGATGGCCGGGTTCCAACTGGTGACGGTGCGCGCACTAGAACCGCCTTAGTCCACTCAACCACTCCGTTCCACATAACTTATTGACTTTATGATACACCATATAATTAACAAAGCCCTTACATTTAATAGAAATGAATATTGTTGTTAAAAAACTTGTTTAAATGTAAAAATTTAAGTCAGTACAGTGGGATCGAGGCAAAGTGGGGACATAGCATATATGTCATAGATAAATATGAATTATTACAACTGAAAGTGACAAAATCACTTTTAAAAAAACGCTTCAATATGAATTAGTAGAAATACAAATATTGATAAAATCATTGTGTACCTAATCACAAAAATTTGCTTAAAAAGTTACTTATTTTTAATATTAGGATGGATACGATTAGGGTTAATTGTCTGTATATAACAATTTATTGCCTTAGTTACCTATGTACCGTAATTAAAAATATATAACGAACATATTTTTAAATACTTTAACTGTTAACTGTTGATTCACTCACACATGGCGACCTAAAAAGATCAGAAACCGCACCTGAAAGATACTTTACTGCCCAAAAATTTAAAAAGCGTAAACCTTCCCCTTCAAAATCTAGTAAACCGCCCCAAAAAATGTACATATAATTGGGTTGTTTTTTAGACATAGTAGTATAGTACCGATAAACGATAATAAATCAAACAAATATTATAAACCTAGATGGAGTGGAAACTTTTTCTTTATTTTGCTTTTTTAGGTGGTTTAACAAAATATAAATAATTTTCTCAATATTTGTAACCAAACTCTTTTTTTATTAAGAAAAATCAAAAAAATAAAGTGGAAAATTAAACTTTGACCGTTGAACGTTTCTAGGTTTCTACGTGCGTATGAATGAACAATCGTCAAGTATTTTTTGATTTTATCCCTTTCAGTTGTTATAATTCTTTTTATGGACCTGTGACCCTCCTCCATCCCAATATGCTCCATCGCCATTATTCCCCGGCCACACTGTATAGTGTATTGTCTTTTTTGACATTAGTTATTCGTATTTTGTTATAATACTCGTTTTGTTGTATTTTACGTATCTTATTGTTATACCATTATAACCAATATGTAAGTGAAAAATACATTGGTGCCTCAAGTCCTAAGGTACGCCATTGTAGTTTGTACAGCCCAAGTATTTCTAACTGAATTATTTAAAACAAATTTAGCTTGCCATGTATTATTTACTCTTTTCTCTACAGTTTACAAAATTATATAAGTATCATGATACTTACTTAAAACTATGGTCGAAAAAATGCTCTCAATTTAGGTAGTAATGTACTTAAATTTACATACAAAAGGTTTTCGTTCTGATCTAGAAGTATTATTCAAAACAATTTGTAACAAATATTTCTGATTTCTATTATTGTTTTTAATTTTAGATAAATATTTCATTACGTAAACAATCAAATATTTTTCGATTCCAATTTTTTTTTGAATACTATAGACTCGTCAATAAATAATAATTGCCTATCGTTTTTACACGCTTTTCTTTAACTCGTACGTACGTTTGTACAGGTATTTTTCAAATCTTGCAAAATTAATTTAACCTACTTTCCAATGTCGTAGAAGGCTGAAACTTGGCACAGACACTCATCTCGGATGACAATACAATATCATGTAATAATATTAGTACACGGACATCCAGGTTGCCGAACACTGTGTGTGGTGTCATTTCACTAAAATTCCATGTTTTTTAAAATCTTCCAAAATTAATTTAGTGATGTATTCACAATTATTAAGAACATTTAATAGAACTAAAAAGTAAAAAATAAAATAAATATATATAAAAAACACTTTTTAAATAATATGCTTTTCTAAAAAATAGTAAAAAAGTGAACTAAAAAGTAAAAAAAAAAATTTACCACAAGAACAATTTACCAATCAATTGTAGCACATTTTTTTAAAAATGTCAATTACTTTGACAACATCCAAAAACTAATTACAATTTTAAATAATGTTAAACATCTTTAATTTTTTACTAAAAATAGTCCAAAATTCATTGAGTTAAGTATTATGAAATGTATGTGTCTCATACTAATATTGAACCAAATTTAAATTACAAAAGAACCTTCAGAATAAAACATTATCTGAAATTTTATCTGATACATTTATGAGGGACTTTGTGGAATAGGGCCCACGCTTTTCCTTTTAGTCAAAAATTAAAGATGTTTAACATTATTTTAAATTGTAGTTAATTTTCGGTTGTTTAATTTTAAAACAAATGTGCTACAATTGATTGGTAAATTCTTCTTGTAGTAAATTTTTTTTTTACTTTTTAGTTCACTATTACTATTTTTTAGAAAAATCATACATTTAAAAAAGTTTTATTTATTTATTTTATATACTAAATTTATACTTTTAAAAATGAATGGAAAGTAAGTAGTTAGTAATACAAATTATGCTTATAAAAATAAAAACATATTTTCTCGGTGGGATAAGGAGGGCTTAAAAGAACTTTGAAAGGAGCCTTGGGGGCTAAGCCCTACACCTGCTACTATGCAAGACTTTTTGAATTTTAAAAAGCACATGACTTATCAACGTTATATATGCTTTGGAAATTGGAATTTAAGAATAGAAAACAGTGAACATTATAACTCATACCTCCCGTCTCATGACTCTCCAGTCCAAGACTCCGGAAACCTATCGTTTGCAGTGTGACCAACAGTGGTCGTTTCGTGATATTCTTTACCACGCGGCATGCGCCCGTTGATAATAATATATGCCGTGGAGGTTTTGACCGCCAAACGTGTAAACAATAATGGGAATATATATAGTAATAACAACAATGGTTTTGACACTGTAGCAGCAGCTGGTGGCCGTCGACATACACGCGTGCAAGCACTCGTTCATAATTTGAATGGTTCCTCCAAATGCGCTACGCCAAGTTTCCGTTCTACAAAGTTATTGGCTAACAGCTTCGGTAAGAACGCTACGTTGTTTGTATTGTGATTATTAATTATTTATTACTATTATTTTTGGTTTTACCATCTAAATAATATATTAACGGTGAGTAATGAGTATGGGCGATACGGAGACGAGCACGACACTGTCGTACTAGTGTCGCAGCGTGTTGTCGCCAACCGATAGTTTCGGATGACAACTATATAGAATTGTTGTAGAAATAATAACATTTTTATAATTTATTTATATTTTATAACCGTTGGGCAACAATAAGAATACAGCAATCTGATTTTATTGTACCGGAGCGGATTTTGATTACATTCTATGATCATCAGCTTACCACGTTGCACCCGAGACGGTCTAATAAGTGATATCATACCACGCGACCGTCGTAAGAAGTGCAATTACCACACAGTTCTTTTTTAGTTATTAATTTAATTACTTACAGAAACCGATTGTTTGACACTTCATAATTATTTTTTATTAATTATTCTCCAAAACAATAATTTTTTTCAGTAATTTATGTGATATCATTTTTAGCCATTGTTCTAATGAAATAATACTGGCCAGTATTATTTTCATTTTAGGTAAAATAATTTTTTTTTTACAAATCTTATCTCTGGCATAAAAATGATGGATTTGATGTATGTAGGTTTTTCGCTTTACTATTTAATTAGATTATTTATAAATATATTATGCACTTTTGACTAATTTTTGTGTACAATTAAATAGGTATATTTTTTAGTAAAATTCTTAGGGTGATCCAATAGGATTAAATTTCATTTTTAAAAATTTTTAATTTAAAATAAAACTACCTAGATTGCATCAGATTAAAAAAGTGTATTTTGACTTATTTTATTATAATTTTGCTGTTGTAATATATTTATTTTATATTGCATACTACAGTGTGTTAATTAAAAGACATTAAATGAAAACTTTGAAACAATCAACTTTCCTTTAGTAATATTATGTAAAATATTCTCGTTAGAATAATTCAGTTGTCCATCATTTAAACTGTATTAATTGAACCAAAGAAAAGTACTAAAAACACTTAACAATCATTAATATATTATATGAATTAAACTAAGAATTTGACATGAAAGAAAATGGTGCAGTTGGCAGATTACAAGATTTGAGTGTTGTATATGTCTTAAACTTAATTTTCAAGTATAGCCCTATTGTTTGAACAAAGAAAATGATTGCTGCCGTATAGGCATATTGGGCCATGAGCCCCCATACGAACTTGTCCAGTGGGGCCCCCCATTTTACATTATATATATTATATTTTGTAAAAAATAATATAGGCACTACTGTAGTGTTGACGACAAGTGAGGTGCAATGAAAAGTTTAATCAAATGTTTATTATTATTATTATTTCTTTTGCATTTTAGATCATAGTTTTATCTTGTATTGTTTACAAATCTCACATATGACACTGTAGTCTTCCTAAATTGTTCTAAAGATTAATTTACATTAATTATTAAACTAAAATCCATATCTTACTGACTGTGGTGTTGTTATTATTTTATATGTAAATGTCCAAGCTATCTTGTCATTGATACTTAAACATTCTTATAATCACAATGATAATATACAATATTAATTGATTGATGTATTGTATTATTGTATTGAATATACATGATATATCAGATTTTTTTTTCAGCCCCAGTTAATATGTCTCCGTTAACATGCAAGTATACCAAAAGGCAAATGAAACTAAACATCTTACGACACAAGCAAAAACTGCTACAAGTTTTAACAGAAATCAATGACACAGTTATAGCACCAAACATAAAAATAGACGCAAAAGACTTAGAGCAATTAGATTTGAGTTATCCTAAAGAAATAAAAAAAGAAATTAAAGAAGAAACAACCACCATTAAAGTGGAATGTATCGATAGTAGCTGTAGTAGTATATCAGATTTGTCTGAGATAAAATGTAATAATAAAACTGACTTATCCAGCAAAGTTCATAGTAGTTCAAACAATTCTTTAACTAGAAGATCGATACGTTTAATCGCTGCGGAACAAGGTCACAAATATAAGTCAGACAGCTGTAAATCTAATGATTCTTTAAACAATCAATGTGAGTTTTTATATTTAATTGTTAATTAAACTTATTTTATAATTAATATGTAATTGCACATTTAATTTAATATGTTTTTCCCAACAAGACATGTACGAATCGGATGGAATTGTGGATATTGAATCAGTGACTGATTGCCTCAAAGAAACATTGATTTCACTTCATGGTTCACAGTCTGCTACAAAATTTCCACAAAACGACTCAAAAAGATATCGATCGCCCAACAATAGGTCCGAGCACAATGCCAAGGAACGAATGTGCCGAGAACTTATAGCTAATCTGTTTTCCGAACTTAGTAAGTTGTGTAGCTACCTGGAGTGCAATCGACGTATCCCGTCTAAACATAGTATACTTTTGGCGGCTAAAAAAGAATGTGATTTGTTGGCACTTTATGAAAAAAGACTGATACTAGAAAAAGAAAAACGCCAGAATTTGAATTATGTCCTATTAAAAAAGTTGGCTTACTTACAAAACCGTGTTTCCTAGTAAAATTTGATTTGTATAGTATTATTATTTATATTTATAGAAGGCCATGATCAATTTTAATTGACATCATTTTATTTTACTAAATTAACATTTATTATAATATATAATTTAGGTAATACATTTTTTTAATTTTAACCGAAAAAAAAACATAAAATTTTGTTTATATATTATGTTCAAAAGAATATCGAGCATTTTTTAAATAAAAATGTTTTTAGTAAAATAAAAATATTATTTTCTACTTGGATTACTGATTTAATATTAATTTGTTTGTAAAATATTTGTATTATTCTGTTTCGTTCTGTAAAATATATGTTATATATTATTAAATATTTATTATAAATATATTACTTCGTTGTTTGATAAAATGTTGAATGATAATAATATTTGAATTATTTTCAATTGTGATTGATTATTCTGTATATTTTTTCTTATGACTGAATTTATCTAGTTGTAGTAGAAAGCTTTTATAAAATAATTTGTTTAAACATCCCTTTTTTTAAATGCTCAAATCCAACCTGTTTAATGGGTTTTTATGTAATTTATAAACTATACATTTTTAAGTAAATCTTTTTTTTTTTATTCTAATCTAACCCTGTTACATTTAAATCTAAAGGGGCAGATTTGAATGTATCTTATCAATATATTAGAATATATATGATATAATTTGTTAATTTTATATAAACTATTTTTCTGTATTTAAAGTAAATATTATAGAACTATGAATATTCTACTCGGTGGAATATTCAAATCCAGCCCACTTCATAATTGTTAATATTTAGTATTATAGCAGATAAAATATTTACAAAAAATTATTAATCAACGTCAGGTTACTTTAATAGAAAAAAAATGGATTTGAATACATTATTTTTGTACTTAAGATTAACGAAGTTTCAAGGATAAAACTTGAGTTGCGAATAATTAATTTTGATACCTATTTGTTTATCACATGATCGGTCAGAATCCGCTGATAACACACCACAAGCACAGTGAAATGAATGTTATCAGCATTATTCAAATGTAGCATTTACCCCGCATTCAAATCTACCCATAAATATAGACTTCGGGATGTAACCTGTAAAAATCGTAACATAAAATAGGTGATAATGAAAAACAGTTTACAATAAATAATGGTTAATAACCTCCAAGTTGAAATTAGTGATCAGCTGATTTTTTTTCAATTATAAATTGTTTAAATATATGTAAACAATTTAACTATAGTCTATAATGAACTAGGTAATATGTCAATGTGATTAAATAAGGCATTTGTATTGATACTACAAACTTAGGAAGAAATATTTATAAAACTACACATTTATTGAGAAAACTAGTATCAAATTTTATAAAGCATTAATTGTAGATCTAATGCTTAAAAACTTTATTCGTGCATTGTTTCACCCAACACTTCTTGATATCTTGAATGTAGATAGTTTTTTGTTTTCGGGGACGCCACGCCACTCCACCCATTTTTTAGGAGTAAAGTATTGGAAATTTTTTACAACAGCTTAATTTAGAGTGAACTATAGTGTATACTTATTAATTGCCATTTTTTTGTCAGAAATTAAACATTTTTTCTACGAGAAAAATTAATTTTGGTTTATTTTAGACCAAAAAGCCAGACAAAATTTCGACTTCATAGGGTGGTCTAATTTCAATTATGTAAAGAGATTCGAGTTCTTTGGCTAATTTAGTATCTTATGTAGAAGCCGATTTTCATTTTAAAAAAATGTCAGTCTCTTGTAATTAAATAAATTAAATTCGCAATTTTTTATTTTTTTACTATAAAAACTCAATTTTTTACATAATAAAGCAAAATATCAAAAATCTGTTTCAACATAACCTATTAGTTGCCAAAGAGTCCGTATGTTTGACAGAATTGGACAATTTTAATTCAACATGTTGTCTGGCTTTTTGGATTAAAACTAAAAAAAAAAAACCGCATGCAATATCCTCAAGGGATATCTTTAGAATAAACGTATTGGCTGCTTAGTAAACACAGATTTTATTTTCTATAATTCTATATAGGTAAAAAAAACATAGTGGGGGGGGGAATAGTGAGGTGGAGTACGTAAAAAATGAAATAATAGATTTTCAGGAATTATTGTAACTGTAAGTGATAAAATTACTTTTAAATAAGTGTTTCGATGCGAATCAACAGAAGGTGAAATATTAAAACATTTATAAAAACATAAAGGCATAAATGTTTAAAATTATAATTTTAGTATTAGGGTAGATACGAGTATGATTGATTGTTTGTCTGTACTACACAAAAGGAACCACGGGGCCTGCCTAAACACTTCCTGTAAGGTAATGCGCCTCAAATCGAACTCCTAAATGTCATGCTTTGGAAGGTCGATGTCCTTCTTCTTGGGGAGGTATCCAAATAACCTACTTTTGAACTTCCTTTTCAGGTAACCACAATAACTAAAGTAAATTAGGTTCTTAAGTCCAAATTTGACATAACGGATACATTATAGTATCATAAAATAGAGATGTTGATTCACTCTCACAGCAACTTAGAAATTTACTACAATCAAAGTGTAATTCCCCTTTTTTTGGGGGGGTTTTCTTTAACCTTCCTTCGGTCGCTAAGTTACACTTAATTTAAGTGTAACAAGAGACCGCACTACCGATGTTATAAAAAAAAGTTTGACTAAAGATTTTTTAGAAAATTTTATGTTATAGCCCCATTCTACAGCTACTTTCAGTCTAAGTTCAAACCATTTTTTATGTATAGATTCACTACATGAAGAAATCTATTCAGCAGCTTTAAATGTATTGTGGGTCCAAAAAAAAATATTAAAACTTAAAACTTCACTGTAAAAACAGCTTTTCAGCTTTGCATCGAAGCTAATATATTAATATAATCTATAAAATAATATAAGAAAACCATTTGCCATTTCGGTTTTTGGTATTTTCGTCATCTGTGGCTTGTGGTCTAGTGCAGCTTGCGTCTTGCAAGGCGCCAACGACAGGCAACTGCTGGTATGATTAAATGAAGTTGTGAACGTTTGCAATTTTGCGAATATCACAGATATAATATATAATAAACTAGATTGCTAACTAGCGATAAGAATTGAAGCCGACGGTCCGCCATTCTGGTGGGATTTATGTGTGTTATCAATGCATATAATATATAACTGTATATATTATTATATCAATATTGTATATAAATGTGATTGTGATAAACATATATAATTCTCGCGTGATAAGGTTCTAATTCCCATCAAGATGGCGGAAAGTGGCTGCTTCAATCTTCTCTATTGGTGGCATGTACAGTTAGCAATCTGGTTTATTATATATATCTATGGCGAATATAGACATAATAATTTGAGGTTATTAGTTAAAAAACATGCGCGATCCGGCAAAACGTTATATTTTGACAATCGTGATACGTTATCAATTGTGATTCGATATTACTTATTATCACGAGTAGTCGAATAAATATATTATATAAATAATATTTGTTTAGCAGAACGGTTAGGAATTTAGGATACAGAGTTAATATTTTGAAAAAGTACATAGTCCAGAAAATGTTTTCCATAGATATCTCGTGTAACAGTTTTATTAGTATACATCTAATAAATTGTTAAAGATTTCATTTTGAAGATGGTAAGTTTTAAAATGTTTTTAATACTCAGTCAATGCTAAATGATTATTACAGATTTTTGTTTTTTGAATATGTGATTTAAAATAAATGTTCTATATTTATTTTTACGTTATTTAAAAAAAATATTGCAAATTTAATTTACAAATTAATATAGTATTAGTACTTTGTAGTACATTCTCTCCTCGACATTTTATGTGTATCAAGAGAAACTTTGTTGGAATCAACATAGTATTTCTAATATTTTGGTAATCCGCGATGCAACGTAAATACGATTTATTAATTTTTTTACAAATACATATAATAAAATAAAAAGAATATTGTTTTTTATTGTACGGTGTACCGTAATTCTATACCGTCCCGGATTGTAGGAACGGTATAGAATTAACAAGTAGGAAATCATTTTGTTCCTTTTTTTTTTTATTAATATCAAAGCTCAAATACATAGCTACAAACAGGAAATTGCGTTTTAAATTGCCGTTATTTAAAAAAAATGTTTTATAGTTTTTTCCTAAAAAAAAAACGTTTTTAATATGCTATGTAATTTTTGAGAAAAAAGTTGGCGAGTAGATCGATAAGGCGAAGTTAACGTACGTTTTTATTAGACATTTATCAGACGCTTTCATTAGGCGGCCTCTATGACTAGGCATGGCGTCATCTGGGGGGGGGGCAGACGGGGGCATCTGCCCTACCCTTGATTTTTATGGGCTTGTCAAAGTTTTGGTACGTAAGGCCGTAAATGGCTGAACTGACTACCGAGTATACCAGGGGGTGGCTATAGTAGTTTTAATGTGCTGCAAAAAGTGGTAGTCAGTCTGCCAAGATAGAAGAAAATAATTATCGTTCAATAAATCGTGGTGATGAGATATCAATGATAACAGTATTTTGAAAAAATATTGTTTTTAAATTCGATAAAATATATTAAATTTATTATTATTAATTTGTATATAAGTTATATACGTTTTAGCTATTTATTTGTATTAATTAACAACAATGCCTAGATGTTTTATTTGTTCAACAATAAAGACTTTTTTTTTCCTTTATGTAGTCATACTGGTTTTAGTCCTACTTTTTACTTCGCTCTTGCGTACAAGCTAGTATATGTTAGTTTATCTTTTTATATTATTATTCTATTTAAAGTATACACATAATAAATATGAAGGTTTATAATATTTGTGTTATTACTTACTTAGCTCATAACTTATTTTGTTTTAAGTTTGTAAATTTGTTTCACAAAAATAATAACAAATTATTAAAACAACTAGGTACCAATATACAGTGTTCCAAATCACCCAAAATCTTCTATTTGACCCAGGTTGATGATACTCTGCATATCCTGTGCACACGCTGATGATTTGAAATAAGATACTCTTGTATAATTAATGTTTAACTTCATAACAATATTATTGCGCATTAAGCCAGTTTTGTATCCCCACTTGTACTGCGTCAAGGTTTCTATTTCTAGAATATTTTACTAAATTGTATTCGTGACTAAAACAAACGCATGTATTAATGTAATTATGGCTAAACAAATTATATCGGTAACTAAATTTTAAATAATTTAAATTGTATTTCTTTATTTTCTTGCCTTGTCTCGTACAAATGCGGTCTGCCAACTGCAAATCACATTTCTTAGTATATCACAATATCTATTCCTCACAACTCCATGCCTTTATTTTAAGTACTTAGCTTCACAATGGAACTCACAAGAGTGTCAGGATAGACTATTAGACTTCCGTTTTTGAACATTATTTTAATTTAAAGACACGTAAATAACACTCCTCTCAGACTAGTCGTATGCACAATATTTGATTTGATGCTACTGACCAAAATACTGATAACTCAAAATATATGATTGAACAAATAACTAATCGGTGATTTTCACAAGTCGATAACACCAATTCAGTTTGAAAAACATTAAAATCGATTGTCAGATAATTATTTTCATGACTAATTTAACGTCTAAAGTATCCCATTACTAAAGTATCTATTATTGAGTTGCATAACACTATTAATAATAATTAACATTTTGATTTATCTTTTATTATTGATTATCGCCGGACAAACCAATACTTATCAACATAATCAGTTTTGACTTCGAAGCTTAGATGTCATTAAATAAATTACATTGTATACATTGGTGGTTGTATTTTCACATGACAATTCATAGTTTTATTAATCATGTGGGGATGCAGGCAAAATGTTGCCCGGCCGATGACCAATGGACGGCGGTCGGTAGTTGCGGTGTCGTATATATGAAACGCGTATTGCCTATAGTCGAATGCTTATGAAAATGTCCCCTGGTAGGAAGCTACCAATTTGTGCACTTTTATTGTTTTATCCATGATATTTATTGTTTTTTCTATGATTTATCATATATACATGACGGTGTTATCATCACTTAACCTAACATTTTAATACATATCATGGAAAAATGACGTATCATTTTTACTTTTTATGAAATTGTACACAAAATGGTTGCCTCCCAGGTGGGGACATTTTTCGATCTGAATATGCGTTCCATATATTGAGTTCAGTGCTTTGAAGTTTGATCACATGGTAGATAGGTATAGGTACACCCGCCATAGGTATATTAGTCCTCGAGATAAAAAAATGTTTACGGCGTGTTTCCCTAATTTCAGCTTTTGATCGAACTTTTGAATGTTATCTTAAATAGAACTACACATCTTAAATCAAAGCGTATCGCAAAAGTTCATGACCTAAAAACATATTTGAATTATTATTTCGTATCGAATTTCAGCCCATACTGACTGCATAGCCGAAAAGTCCGATCTCTACTTACCATAACATGTTGCCAAAAAATAATTCAATTATTAGTATTTTCCTGGTTGTTATGGAGTTGAAATTTATAAATCTGTCGAAAGGAGTCGAGGGTTCGGCCTATAGAGTGTGAGGTTAAATTTACGATTATGTTTGAGATTGAGTTGTTTGTAAGTATACTTGCTGATGGCGAAATTTGGAAAAAACGACAGACAAGTTGTCGATTTTTCTTGATTCGGGAAAACATTTTCGTTATAGACACTTGTCATATTTATTGGATTGCGTGTTACGAGGCACCCTGTATGATAGATTTCTGTGGCTAGTACACAATATATTTTAATCAGTTGTGTGCAATTATTGAATTGGATTTTTCTCTGTAATGACCGTTTAAAATCGACGATTAGTCTGATTATTGGATTGACACTTACAGGCTTGCAATCGCTTCATTTATGCATTTCTAGATGATAATTTTGTATAGCATTTGGCTTAGTTCGTAGCAGAGAGTATTTGTCTAATGACAAACTATCCGATGCAGAGCAGAATTTCACAGTGTATGTGGAAGTAATAATTTTTTTTTGTTCTTCGAACACCGATTTTTTTTTTGTTTCACAAACCGTGCGTAACCCTAAAACACTACTACGCTGATTTTTAATCGAACTGTATCATCGTTTAAACTATTGCGAACGCTGTGCAATTTAATTACGATGTTCTCGTGTTTCAGACAATTAAAACACCAAACCGCCTGGCTGTCTCCGCAGATATAATTAATACATTTTTTTACTGAATTCTCACAATAAAAATGTTTTTAAAGACATCAACTCGTCCGCTAAATTGACGATTTCACCGTCGTCGTAGGTTGTGAAAACGATTAACTTGCATTTATTTATTTTCATAGCGCGTTAAAAAATAGTTGTAGGTTTTTTTGCCACTAGGCTTTTGTTTGTAGAGATCAGAATGTCACTTACATTGTTTTATGGGTTTATTTCTAACGTTTCTACTTCCGTCCAGTTGCTGCCATCCAGCTACCTTTAACTTACTCGAATTAAAATTATTATTTTAAACAAGTATTCTATAAATAATAAACCAAACTATGGAAGAGTCCGTGAGTTGTATTGACGAATCGATTAGCACAAAAAACAACTTCTCAGTCAAACCGAGGATGAGAAAAGACAAGTTAAATATTGCAATATTGTTGTTGTTGTACACTTTGCAAGGAGTTCCCATGGGTTTCTCGTTGGCCATACCAATACTATTACAAAACTCGCACTCTTTATCCTTTACCGATCAAGTGAGTTGAAAAAGAAACACAATGGTTTACTTACATATTATTGTATTATACATTTTTTAATCGTTTCATTTTGCAGGCTAAATTCAGCGTCGTAGTTTGGCCATACAGCATGAAACTGTTGTGGGCACCAATAATCGATTCGATTTTTTTACCTAAATTAGGTCGGCGAAAATCATGGCTAATTCCCATACAATATTTATTAGGTGAGCATATTGTGGTTGTTTATTTATCAATCTGCAACTACATAATATACCTTATTTTTAAATTGCATTTGCCAATTGTGTGTACCATATAATTATGTAGTCGATGTAATTTTTACAAATGTATTATTATACCTAGGTGTTTCACTTATCGCTTTGGGCTTCAATATCAACCAATGGGTGGTCAATACAAACAAACCAGAAATATTCATGTTAGCTGCTATGGTTTTTTGTTTAAATTTTCTTGCAGCTACTCAGGACATTGTGGTCGATGGATGGGCGTTGTCAATGTTAAGAAAGTCCGTTTACAATATCATTGAGCTTCATAAATATACTTTTTAATACATTTGCTCACTTTTCTAATTTAGAGAAAATATTGGATATGCTTCAATGTGTAATGGTGCGGGCCAAGCATTCGGCATATTTATGGGTTACGTCTTGCTAATTATGTTGGAGTCCGAGAAGTTTTGCAACAAATGGTTACGTTTGACTCCACAGCCAGGAGGCATAATTACGTTGCAGGGTAACTTAATTATAAAACCATGTCTAATGTTAAAATAGTCAATAGATGTAATTATTTTTTAGACACGTGACACGTTTGTTATTATTATTATTATTATAATTTTGTTTTATTTAAGGATATTGTTACTTTTGGGGATGCGCGTTTATAATAGTCACTTCTTTGGTGGCTATTTTTAAAAGTGAAAAAGATTGGAAGAACATATTAAATTGTAATCAGTATTACAACATAGGGGAAACGTACCAGTTGCTTTTAAATATAATGAAATTACCGAATATAAGACTGTTTGCTGTTATTTTAATTACAATAAAAGTATGATTTTTTTTTTGTAGAACTACCTAATTATAATAATGTAACATAAATGTTTTAGGTAAGTTTTAGCTCTGTTGATGCTGCATTTAACTTGAAGTTAATCGATGGAGGAGTTTCTAAAGATGATATAGCAGCAATTGAGCTATTATTAATGCCTATTCGCATAATTTTACCATTTCTTATAACCAAGTTTACTTCAGCTTCTAGACCGTTGGACAATTATCTAAATACAATGCTACTTCGGTAAATAAATTATTTTAAATAAAAAAATGTTTATACTAATATGTTATTTGATTTAGATTGTTGGTTGGTGCAGCTAGCGTGGGCATCATTTACATTACTCCGTACTTTACGATGCATTATTCAAATTACATTTTGATTTATAAAATTACTTTAGTCATTGTTTATTTTTTACACGAGGTAAATCCATTTTTAATTTTTATCATATTTTAATTGTTTATACGTTAGGGTGGTCCTGGTTATAAAACTTTTTTTGTTTTTTGACCTACAACCCTCCAAGTTTCTTTATTATCTTTAAGCACTTGGGTAAGCCAAATTTAAATTGATTTCACAAATCACAATAAGAAAACATGTTTCAAAACCTTTGGAACACCTTTTTCATTTTTCTATAAATTTTAGGCCATCATTATATAGCAGCTGTGTTTATGTAATTAGCATGAGGCTTGGCTGGTGTTGCAAAACTTAATTTTATATTACGTTAAAAATTATTAACTTGCGATGGACGGAGTGGGCTAAGGCGGCGGTTCCAATGCGCGCATCGTCACCAATTCTAACCCGCTCATCCCCCTACAAAAACTTGGTAGAAAACAACGGTTCAACAAAGCCCATTCTGCCAAGCAGGCGTACGAACTTTGCCTTTAGGCCTACTCCTGGACATTAGCCATATGAAAAAAAAAAAAAAAAACGCTATATTAAACTAAACTGGTATGATTATTTTGATTGATGTGTAAATTTATCTTACTTTTAAAAATGTTTTTGTCAGTTGGTGGTATGTGTTATGACTTTAAATGCAATGGCTTTTTACGCACGTGTTAGCGATCCAAAAATTGGAGGTACGAATATGACATTATTGAATACCATTGGAAATTTAGGAACTTCATGGACCAAAACTGGTGCTTTATGGTTGATTGATGTATTTACTTACAAGCAATGCACAAGTGATAATGCCAATAAGTGTTTATATAAATATGATACCAATGTGAGTCATGACCCCGTAGACGTAAAAAGAATAGATGTAAAGAAGACTGTTTTTTTTTCTTGTTGTAGATTTGTAACAAGTCTGGTGGAACTTGTAGCATGTCTGTTGATGGATTCTATGTAGAGACTTTTTTGTGTACAATTTATGGAGTAATATGGTATTGCTATTTTAGAAAAACCATAAAGAAATTGCAGGCAATCAATTTAGAAGAATGGCATGTCAATCTTAGAAAAAAGGAAAAGCTTAACTTTATGACCAGTAATGTTAATCAAGGATAATAATGCAATAAAATTAATATTTATTATTTAAATTACAAAATTTAATTATATAGGGTATTTTTATATATATTAATGTATAAAAAAAAATAATAATAATAATAATACTAATTGTGTATTACATTAATTGTATTATTATTACTGTTTTATTGAATAATGTATATAATATAGTTTTTATAATTTATTTTAATAAGTAAAGTATTTTGCTTTTTATTCTTTTTTTTTTTTACTAAAAAATGTTTTACATTTTTCGATATTTTATGATGAAATAATGTTGTTAATTAAACAATAATAAGTTTTTCTTTTTATTTGTAATTAAATTATAATTAGTGTTGAATAAAATTTGTTCATTAATACTATTTTGCAATTGTTTTTTACAAACTATAAATTAAAAAATTAAATTGTCTTAAATTCTCCCACCTAAGTGCTGTTTGGCTCGTTATATGCAGTAAAAACACTTAAGGATATTGGATATTAATTTTCATAGCAGCTACTAACAATTTTTAGTCATCAATCGCTGAAACTTTAATTTAAATATACCTGAAGTGTAGCATAGCGTTGAAATTTGATAAGTTACTTAGGAGTAAGGAACATTGTAGCATTAAGTATAATTAAAATTAATGTAAATTAGTAATACTATTACTACCTACTTATACTCTTTCTTTTATAGTCGACATAAGTTAGAGTTCAACTTGAGAAAAACGACCAACATTTCCTATCAATATCATTAATACGGTTATCACTTATCAGCTGAAAACTACGAGCAAGAATTAGGTTATGAATTTTCGCGGTTGGAATGAATATGATGTTAAGAACGATATTCGTTTAGCAGGAAGTATGATAAATATTATACGTAATAATAGGTGTACAAATTTTATAAAACGGAAGAAACGTTTTTTTAAAAAAAAGTTTGTTTACACAATATCGTAATCTTTTTAACAAAAAATTTTGTTGTTATAACATTACAATGTTATTTTGCAATAAACAATATTATGGTTTTATAAATAAGATGACATATTTTTAAAATTTTTTGTCGTAAACTAATTACTATGCAAGTAAAGTGAACAATACATTTTCAAACAACGTGTGACTGTTTGCACTCTTTGTACTCTCATCGAGTTGATTTCGTTAAATATACCCATAATGTCAGAAAAAAAAGCCAAAAATAATGCAGACTGGAAAAAACGAGTTAAGGCTGAATACTTTAGATTACTACAGGCTAAAAAAGCGAAAAAAGACGACGATAATATATTGGCTTGTATTAACAATCAGAAAAAATTATGTGGTACGTTATTGTGATTTTACAAAATGAACATATTTTAACTTGAATGACAAATTATTCTTATTTAGATAAAAAAGCAAACGAGCTCAAACGTTTACAATCTAGAAAGGCTATTTGGGAATGTCGACCATATACCGAAACTGTATCTAGAGCTAAGCGTTCCGAAGTGTCTAAAATAGATGGTGCCGGTGAAGACAGTATGAGTGTACCAATCAAAATAATCAATGCTGTAGCACCTATACCAACTATGTACATCTGGGCTCCAATTCAATCAAATTTTATGGTAATATAATTATTGAACTTGGTGTAAGGGAATTACAAAATTTTAGTTCATAGTACAATTCACAGAAATGTTAATCAGATATTCTTGAATTTATGTATTAAAATACATTATTTGCTTTAACTTAAATGATTTTAGAAAAGATAGCTTTTCCTGTATTAGCGTTTTTTAACATTAATCAATTTTACTTCGCTAAGAGTAACATAAACTGTTGATGTTAAACAAATTGATGATCTTGTATAGTAAGTAATTCAAGAAATTATAGTGCAAATAGTTTCATGTCCTTTCAAAAAAAAAAAAACCATACTTATACTCTATTTGAAATAAGAGCGGTCCGGGTTGCGCATGGGCGTGGGTTTGTTCTGAAGCATTGCATCGCGCAGACCGCTCTTATTCTGAATAGGGTATAGATATAGTTTTATAAAATTTGTTTTATAGGTCGAGGATGAGACGGTGTTGCATAATATTCCATACATGGGCGATGAGGTATTAGATCAAGATGGTTCGTTTATTGAAGAACTGTTAAAAAATTATGACAATAAAGTCCACGACGATGACGCATCAAATTTTCTCGACGACCAAGTTTTTGTTGATTTAGTACATGCACTCATACCATTTCAGGTAAAAAATTTTATTTTATTTAGTAGCTTTATGTTAACATATTAATTATTAATTTAAATATTTATAAACCTTTTTATAATTTCAGCAAGAAGAAGACAAAGATCAAGCATCTCAATCTCCAAAGCCTGTTGTTAAAAATGGAAAAGAAGAGCGACCATTTCCAAGTATGGCAATATTTGAAGCTATGTCGGCTGCGTTTCCTGATAAAGGGTCTCCTGAAGATTTTAAAGAAAAGTATGGTGTTTAAAATTAATAATATGTTGTGATGATATTATTATATTTATTAACATGTTTTTATAGATATGTTGAATTGACTTCATGTACTGATCCTAATAATGCTCAACCTTCTCAATGCACCCCAAATATAGATGGCCCAACAGCAGAATCGGTTCCAAAAGAACAAACTATACATTCATTTTTTAATCTTTTTTGTCGGCGTTGTTATAAATATGATTGCGTTTTACATAGTAAATATATTATTTACTTTTTAATTCAATCATTTACAATAAATCATAAGAAAAGTTATAAAGAATACCTAATTTCTTATTTCATTTATTTATTTTAGAACTTAAAGAGCATGATTCTGGAACTAATTTACCTATAGGATTGAAAGGGCCGTTGCTGAAACCATTTTCAAGTCATTGTAGTCCTGATTGCTATATGTTGCTAGTAAAAATCAAATTAAATTAAATATTTTTAAAAAAATTTTAAAAATCAATCATGGATTTTCTATTAGGACGGGATGAAAGAAAAATTAGCGGCTATTGCAGAAATCAAAGCAGAAAAACAAAAACAAGCCGACAGAGACGAGGAGAGTTGTAGGGAAGTCCAAAGGTCAGTGCCTACGTCCAACTCTAATAATGTTCCAGAAATATCACTGCAAAATGAAGTTTGTGATAAGCCTGCAATTTCTGTTAAGTTATCAAAGAAAGACAGTTCAGATTGGGGTAATGATGCGAGTTCCGAAGACAGTAGAGATAGCAGTAAAGGTAATAATTGATATCAAACGATAAAACATTTTTCGAAATGTATAAAAACTGTTTTACAACAGATGGTGAAGTAGATATGGAAGATCCATTTTCAACAAAAACATCTTTCTCTTTATTGCCGCGGATGAGGACCGAAGATAAGCAAGTGTGGACTGGATCTGATCAATCGATATTTCGCGCACTACGTCGTACTTTTCTAAATAATTATTGTGCCATTGCTCAGATGATGTTGACAAAAACTTGTCAACAAGTGTACGAGTTTGCTCAAAATGAAAATGATGATGTTACTGTAGAAGAAGCAATTAGTGAATTAACACCTCCTAGAAAAAAAAAGAAGAAACTGCGTTTGTGGCAAACGCATTGTCGTAAAGTTCAATTAAAGCGAGATTCTGCGTCTAACCACCTTTATAACTACACTCCGTGTTCTCATCCACCTAATCAAGGATGCGATTCTTCGTGTCCTTGTGTATTGGCACAAAATTTCTGTGAAAAATTTTGTAAATGTAGTTCAGATTGTAAGTATATATCCAAACCAAGAGTACTATTTGATGTATTAATATAGTTACCGAAATGTATTAATTTAAAATTATTCGTATAGGTCAGAATAGATTCCCTGGATGTCGCTGTCGTGCCCAGTGTAACACAAAACAATGTCCTTGTTATTTGGCTGTCCGTGAATGTGATCCAGATTTATGTCTCACTTGTGGTGCCGATCAATTTGATATAGACCACATAACATGTAAAAATGTCAGCGTTCAAAGAGGCTTACGTAAGTACATTTTAATTGTATGTTATATGCTGTGTATACTTGCCTGCTACTTTTGTATGTATGCGTACTCAACCAAAACCATGTTTCTGTCGATAAAATGCATGAGTTTATCATTTTGTCTACATTCACAGCGTATAACTATAAGACTACGTTACTGTTTCTAAGCACTGCTAAGTGTTTTGATGAACTGATTAAATTTGTATTTATTAATCTAGGTAAACACTTGTTGATGGCTCCTTCTGATGTCGCTGGATGGGGTATATTTTTAAAGGATTCAGCTCAGAAAAATGAATTTATATCAGAATATTGTGGAGAAATAATTACTCAAGACGAAGCAGATAGACGTGGAAAAGTTTATGATAAATATATGTGCAGTTTCTTATTCAATTTAAATCATGGTAAGAAAGGACATCTAAGGATACAAATGTTCTAATTTTTTCTTTCAGTAAATCATGTTTGTGTTTTTTAGCTTTGATTCTTAGCTCAAAAATTAATGGTTTTACGTTATTTAAAAAAAAAATTTTCTTTTAACTTTATTGTTTCTTGTTAATTTTATGAACTGTACTAAATTTCTTCATAAAGAAAATCTAAAAATCAGAAATCATACCCATTAGTATTTTTTAAGGCAAAAATTAATAAATGTATTCCTTCTCCTTCAAAATCGGAAAAAACATCCTACAAATTTACACATTTTTCGACTTAAAATTACGGCACACTATCTTTTTTAAAAAAAAATATTGAATTACTTCCAAATTTGTGTGGAAGTCATACAGTATTAACGATATATAATGGAAAACTAAAAAAATATTAACCCTGATTCACAAAAAAAAAAAATATATAAAAACTTTTTCTTTATTTCACTTTTTTAAGTGTAATTTCAGAATTAAAGGTTGAAAAATAGCCTTAAGGTAGATCTAGTGGGCCATACTAGATTTTATTATATTTGCGAATATTTTAAAAATCTTAAGTCAACATTTTTATGAAAAAAATCCCCCCCCCCCAAAAAAAATCCTATAATAATCGAAAAACATGATTACAAACACAACAATTCTTATAAAATTGTACGTTATTAATACTTGTTTATATTTACTAAGATTTTTATTGATTTTAAAAATTTCTATGTATTAAAAATGTTTACAGGGTGATGAATTTTTTGAAAATAATAGAAATTTTGCAGATTTTTAAAAATATTCTTCTGTTATTTTTTTAGAATATTTATAATTTTTTAATCATAGAAATAATAAAAACTTGGGACAGAGTGGCTGAGTGACCTAAGGCGGTGGTTCCAATGCGCACATAGTCGCCGGTTCAAACCCCGTTCATCCCCCTACCAAAAACTTGGAAGAAACCTACGGGTGATCAGCCCATTCTGCCAAGCATGCGTCCAAACTAGGCCTTCGAGCCTATTCCTGGACATTTACGCCATACAAAAAAAAAAAATATATATATTTATATTAACTTAAAAAGTTAATAAAATACATTTATTACTATTAAAATAAAAATAAATAAATTAAAAAATCTGAATCTGGGATCACATTTTATTTTTACTAAGAAAACCCCAAAGAATCAATATGATTATAAACATTATTTATTGGCTTTAAAATTATTTCTACCAATTTGCTCTGTTCCCACTAAACCCTACTATGCTTTCTTTTTCAAAATACACAGACATTCTACCGCTAAACTGTAATTACTCACCACCGTGTATTAACAGGCGATGAAGGCCTAACGCTGCCATCATGAGATGGTTTCTACTATACTATAATTACTAGCAGTCATTAATGTCACCTGCACACTCACAAATTGTACAACAACCTTTTTTTTTTTAGATTACGTGGTAGATGCTACACGGAAAGGTAATAAAATAAGATTTGCTAATCATTCGATAAATCCAAATTGTTATGCAAAAGTTATGATGGTAAATGGCGACCATCGTATTGGTATCTTCGCAAAACGTGCCATACAACCCGGTGAAGAACTGTTCTTTGATTATAGGTAAAAATTGAAAATATTCAGTGGCGTAGTTGTAAAGTTATACTCTGTGTGTATTCACCTTTCACTTCTTATGTATGCATGCACTCAGCATTGCGGGAGGTGGGTACACACAGTGTATACCATAATGACTACACTACTGAAAATATAACATATATAATACTTAAAATTGTTTTTTTTTTGGTTATTAGATACGGACCAACTGAACAATTGAAATTTGTCGGAATCGAAAGAGAAATGGAATTTTTACCTTAGTGATAATTTAATTAATTTCATTACTTTATTCATCACATTGTTGGTTATTAGTTTTTAGCAATAATTATCTGTCATGTTTGATTTATATGAAATTTTTCAAGCCATGATAATCTGACGACTGGCTTAGAAAAATAATTAAGCCAAAATGCATTTCTATTGCATCACATTAATTTGGTGTGTAAAGTATAATTTTTCAGAATATTGTGTTATAGTTAGCCAAGAGTTGATCTATTTTAAATATGTGTGTATATTTCGTGTTGGTGACATAATCAATAATTAGTTATTACTGTTTTTATTATATTTTTTATTTCCTAACTTATTTTCATTATTGTTGACTAAATTAACTCAGTTTTTAAAAATTCAATCTTTAGTTCAAGCCTTTTAAAATCTCAAAAAAATTATTTTGTGTGATACATACAGCATACCAACTACATATCAAGACTTCATCTATAGTTTATTAAAAAATACATTTTATATGTATACATTATCATTTAGAGGTATAATATTTTTTTTTTAATGAAATTTTATTATGATACAATTGATTTTTTTTAACAATTATTTACTAGAAGTAGATAAATAATTAGTATTATACTATAATTATACTGTATTATTATAATTGTGTATTATCATTATAATTAATATTATTGAACTTTATTTTGTTGTATTTTTTACCCGACAACTAAACTTTGTTTAAAAATACGTGTCCTTTTAATAAACAGTTAAAGGTATTGTAATTATTTTCTTCTTCAAAATATTATTATTAAATTGACCTGGGTAACAATTTGGAAAAATTGCGATTTAAAATCAGATTACTAAGAAAATGGTCAACAATTATGTACTTTCCTTGAGCATATTGTTATGATTTAAAATGGCATAGTCAATTCTAGTTTAGACAGCTAAATTGAAAAAAGTAATATTTCAGTCTTGCTAATTCTTTTTTCTATTAAATCTAAGTAGTGCTCGCTTGTCTAAAATTTTATATAACTCGGTATAAACCTGCACAGTAAGAAATTGACTGAAATGCAATGACTATTATAGCCTATTAAAGTATTTACAACATAATATTTAACTATAAACATATGAACCTCTATAGTGCTTGATTTGGTGATATAATGTATTCCCCAAACAAATTTATAAAAAGAGATTGTTGTTATTGGAAATATATTTTTTAATTAGTCAATCGATATATTTCTTGGTAATATACTTCAGTTCCACATGGAATGAAAAATAACTGTACCTACGCTAAAATATCTGAACAATACTTGGGGTTCCGAGTTACCTCACCATCAAGACAAAAACTGCGTGGATTAGGTCTATATACGATGATGCTATTTTGTTTTCAGTTCTCTCCTTATAAACTATTGTGGACAACCGCGAAAAAAACATTTATTTTTTTGAGTAAATTTACACATAATATAGTAGGTCAAATCTGTAGGTACAATACACATTAAGAATACTGCATATTTCAGTATAATTCAGCTATGTCCTTAAAAATAACATCACATTGTTACACTAACAAGATTTTGTTGTAAATAATATTACCATAATTTATCCCGTTATCATGCTGGATAACCTCCTTGGTACCCTTTTTTTACGCATAAGTCCTCTATAGCTTGATGAGTGGCCGTTCAAGCTGTCGATACCCGGATGTCTTAGTCCGTAGTATTAAGTTAATCTTAAGTATACCTGGACGACTTCGATGTATAAGACCACCATAGTCTTTTGCGAGTCCGTACAAACTATCGACACCCGGATGTCTTAGTATTAAGTTAATCTTGAGTATGCCCGGATCGACTTCGATGTATAAGACCGCCTTCGACTTATGTGGTCGCCTAAGCCGTCAAATCGGATTTAATCTCTCCCGTGATCCTGCAGGACAACCCTTTGATACCCTTATTGTCATTATATCCATTATCCTCGATTTCTTCAATTACATTAAATAGTGCATGCTACCAATTAAGTACGGACTGGCTCACTTCACTGAGACGGGGCTACCATACATTGCTGGTGATTTTACAGTAAATACAATTTGAAGCATCATATAATTATATAATATTATCATATAGTACAATCTCCCCCCCCCCCAAACCCCGAGAATAAGCAAAATTAAATTATAGATATAATAATAGTTTTATTCAGACGGTCCGGTCGCCACTTATCGGCATTTGAAGATCGAAGCATTTATTACCAATCAAAAAATATATAGATAGTTACTAGCCAAGTATCTTTTAATAATGATCAAATGAACATTATTAAAGAGTATTATAAACCTTTTTAGTTATATTGTATCTTAATATACTACTTACAAAACTGTTGGTAAGCACTTAACGAGTAATAGCCGACGCGACGGTGTGAATCGCACTTGTAAGGAAACTAGCATTCTAAAACCTGATGAAACAACCCTTCCTGTGTGAGAGCATAAATTATACATGTCTATTGTTTCATTATATTGTAAAAAGCCATCTCACCAACAATGTCATTCATATTGTATGTGAAACACAATTGAATACACTTGAAAATGTAATTGTAAATGTATGTCTATGCATGACCTTACCTTTTTCCTACCCTAAACTTTGAAACTCTAATAACTTTAAAAATAATTATCCAAAATTGGTTATCGACCTGTCAACATTTTCGGCAAATTAATCTTAATTAAAAAAATGTAATTAAATATGTACGTTCCTATTTAAGTTCCAAAAGTTGATAGCGCTCTGGAAAATACTAAAAAAGGTAAATATTTGGTAATTTTATAACATAAATAAAAATGTTTTCACGAAAAAAAAAAAAAAACCATAAAATTGTAATTATTTACCGAGACAATGAGTGTCTTACGTTAAATTGATCACCCTGTTAGTATTCAAATACTACGGAATAATTTATGAAATAATAACATTAATATTTTTTCCCTTCAACACGGCGCCACGTGTATACAATATTGGTGCATTCATGTCGGTCATAGACACGAGTTGAAAGGATTGAGTTGCCGCGACAGGCGTTTTACGAGAAAGTATTTTGAAAATATTTAATAGTTCATATACTTTGGGCAGGTTTACAATTATAATTTCTCCTTGGCCCGTCAGAACTAGCGCGACCTAATTAATTGATAGGATATTCGGAAGGAGTCATACCATATTATATTTTATTTAAACAATATTTTAACATCGACCGTTAACAATCCACCCATTTACTTAGAAACGCGCTCGTAATTGATGCGATTTCAAAACGAAATACAAATCAATATACATAAATAATATGATAACATATACATAATATAAGGTCACTAAGTCAGAGATCGGAATTTATTTTTTAATTTAATACAATAATAGTAAACATCATTATCACGTCCTTTATGAAGTCGTTAAATTTCATGTATGTGTTTTGCGTTACATATTGGGTCCGTACGAGAATGAACTTAATATAATTACAGCTGTAAAATTTTACTTTAATAGGGGCTTGGATTGAGCGTAGTAATTTGTTAGTAATTATAGAAACGACTGTTAAAAATGTAATATTTACTATTTGTAATAATTCCATAGCGGTAATACCTACTTCTAAAGAAGAAAAACTGACCGCACAGTAAGTCTTTTATACAGTAGGGCTCTTAGACATAGTCCGGAATAGATACGGATGTATGATAATTAAGGCAACTCATTCTAGAGCCTTCACATTATCCAGTGTCTATAGCTTTCGTCATCTTTTGTCTTTCGACAAAGTGGTGCTCCAACATGTGATAAGATTTAGACTCTCACGCTCTACCGACTGACCTGGCCGGGTTTACTATTGTTACTACACGTGAGTACATTAAATCACAAAATTAAGTAGTGAAGATACTTTTTAACTCATAAAAACATTCATTTCTGTATTGTAAAAAAGGGATAAAAAGTTTTGAAAATAAGTACCTATACTTACGTTTAAAATATATCTTTTTATCTTCGTACCTAAGATAAAATGGTTTGTGTTGTTTATAATAGTCATAGCTCATAAGTGCCTGGTGGTACGACTCGACGGTTTTTTAAGAAAAATGTTACAACCATTTGATTACTATGTTTGTATGTTACAATTTTTATCGCCCTAATAATAATAATAGCTTAGCTGATAAAAACAGTTTTTCATTTTTATAATATAACAACAAAACTAGTAGAGTAAATCATTTGACGTATAACTGGATGTTCAAGTATAAAATGCTCAAAAAAAAAAAACCCATTGTTTTTATACAATACACAAGAAAAATAACGATTTTTTGTGCGTTATCTTTTAAACTTTAAAAAACCACTAAGCTAAGCCGTTTTTCTAGGATCGGTTATAGCCATTTTATAACTTTCCACATTTTTAATTAAAATATAAGCATCTCAACTTAAGCTGAAATGCATAATATTTTTATGATATAAAAATTTAACTTTTGAAGCATATAATGTTACTGACACTTAAGACAACCTAAAGATCTCAATTAATAATACAAAATATCAGAATTTTCTAATTTTCTTTTGTGTTAACAAAAGAAACGAAAAAGTAAAAACTCTATGTATGTATTTTATATTAATTGTGGGTAAGTACAACACTCAAAGAGTTATTACTTATATTTATTTTCGAACATATTTTCGAAGCTGACCAAAAGTTTTCTACTGACAACGTGTTTTTTGTGGTCTAGATTTAGACTAAATGTAAGGTAGATAGAGCGAACTGAAAAACAAACATAAATAATGAATTTTGACTAATGTCTTTTTTTTTTTTTAAGAATGACAGCCATAAAGAATAATTTAGAGTTATTGCACTTAAAAATAGCATTGTAGCTTTAACACATGGAACCTCACCCGCCAAAGGATATTTTTTCCCGTTTTAAAATCATTAAACATTGTTTCGCATTATTGAAACTATGCCTTCATCAAATCAGTTGGAAATAAATTCACAAAACTCTATCAAAGCAAAAATAAAACTCGAACAATTTGAACAGATAGAAACTCTTAGTATTATTTTTTATTGAAAGGCTTTTATTCTAGTGAGTTCAATAATACATTTGGCGAACAAGTTAAAATGAATATTTTTTATTTGGACAATTTGTTACAATTTTTCTAACAATAAGTATAATATTTATAATATTATTATAACGCGACAAGACCGATTTAAGTGATCTGTCAGCGAAGGTACTTGAATTTAAATATGTATATGAATATGTTAGGTATATGAATTTAAAAATAAATACCTATTTGACAGATAGAATTATTAAAACGTGTGAATACGTACAATGTACAAATACCAGCTAAAAAATTTAAAAGTCCATAAATGCACATCTACACATCTGGGTAAACAATGGTTATACCATGATTTTTTTACTTGTACGCCGTGAACGCCAATATCGAACAAAGGATAATTCACGGACAGAAAACCGAGTTTTTTTTATGATTTTACGAGCGCTATTAAACTTTCTCAGCAACGTATTTGTGATTCCAAGTCATAAAAGCATTCGTCTATTTGTACACATAAAATGCACATTTTTAATTCATGGAACGTGCACTCATACTTTCATTTTACTTAAGATTTGTGATCCGGCATTCAAAAGAAAACCGCAAAGGTACCGGAAAGAAGAATTCTTAATCTATAAAGTCAGCGTTGTGTTTCAAAGTTGTTCAATCAATCTGTAAGTCGAGTAAATTGGACGAAGCAATGAATGATATTTTTATAACCCCACACAACAAAACTAATTTGTATTCTTTCAAAATGTTGTCGAGTATTTGTTCTCAGTGTTTCCAAAATTTGAGATATGTTTTAATATTGGTTTGATATAAAATTTTATATTAAAAAAAATGTTATTTACAAATTTTTGTTTTGATGTAATTTAAATAACATTTTTAAAATGCCCTTACAACATATTTGAAGATAACATTTTTGAAGCATTTAATTTCGTACCAAAACATTATTAAAAATTATTGGAAATATTTTAAAAATATTAACATTTTTGTTTTGCAGTTTGGTAATAAATTTATAAATATTAACATTTTTAAACGTTTTTTAAAAATTGTAGTGACTTTTTTTTATAAATGAAAAATCTAAAAAAGAAAATTGCTATGTGTGGATGAATCAACAGTCAACGGGTGCGCCTGAAAAGTCATTTCACTATGTGACGTTTAATTCTTATCGTATCTACCCTAAATCTAAAAATATGACTATGGGTGCGAGTTACACTAAAAACGCAATTTTAGCATAATAGCGTATACCATTATTTTTTTAATTTATAATAATTAAAATTAACATGCTTAAACAACTTTTATAGCTCCTAAAAATGATATAATATAAATCCGTTAAATATATTTAAGACCAAACTGTTTAATTTGCTGGAACTATAATTAAGGGTTAGAAATATCTTAAGGCCAGATATGTATTCAGCAAATAAATTCAATAAATGATATATATTTTGGTTATTGTTTTAAAATCTGGTGGTACAATGAAATTATATTTTATACTTAGGTTTAGGGTGAACCGGAATGTTTTTTTTCGAGTTTTATTAAGGTTGCTCGAGTGTTCAGTGCCGTGGTTTATAGTTTGAGGTGTTTCGGATGTAAAACCATGTGTTGGTAGACAGCGCTTTTCTACATTAGTTCAAAATAGTTCTATACTGTAGTGAGGAATATAATATTCGTGGGTGAACGTGAAATGGAGGCTAAGTCAACATTTTGTGCAAAATGAGTTATATACGCCGAAAAATTAAAAAAAAAAAAAATCATTTGTGTTTTATTTGTCAAAGTGTATTATTCAATGAACAATAAAGGAATCTTTGTCACTATTTTCTCATTTTAGTGTATTTTGTGATATGGCATAAATATTTTTGAATTTGCAATTCGATAGTGCAACAAGAGATTTGTCACTTTTATACTAACTTAAATCGTTTAGAACTATTATTATAGCGATCAAAGGGGTTTGTCTATTGAATAAGTTTTTAATTTGTTATATTTCTAAACTGTTTATAATATGTTCGAATTGTTTAATGTGACATAATTATAAATATTAAAAAGTATTGTATGTATTAAAATAATAAAATATTATTACTATTAAAATGACTTAAGAGTGAACGCAACTCAATAAGATTTGTCATTTTTTTTTTTTTTTTTTAACTCATAATAGCTATTTTGTTATTTAGTTTTATGAATCGAAATTCGCGCAGACAAGTATAAAACAAGTTTTATTGTGATATCCAAAAATGTTCTATCCTATCCTAACGCACGATCTATCATGTTCTCAAAATTATTTTGCTGACATTTCTTGAACACTTTTAGTTGTTGGCTTAACCCCATTTTCACGCGCACCCACGATTACATTAGATTGATAATATTTATTAACGACCTTGACCTTCGCCGCGAATACCCGACGGTCGTACTCATTATGTTATTATTATCATATATAACACAATAAAAAATAAACGTAAATCGTGTAATTTGTCCAACAATATCCCGCGGCAATGATGACCGCCTGGAACGGGTTGTGTTACTACGCTGACGCAGGCGCTTTGTGATGGCGGCGGCGGCGGCAGATGTTCTATTACGGTTATAACCGTTCAGACATTAGTAGTGGACTTGCCGCGGTCCCATGCCGTCGTTACCGTATCCGCAAACAAACGGTGCGCGATGATTCGAATCGTACGGATGGCGGTCGTACACGAGTTGACGTTTTGATCGACAAAAAGGGGGCGAAAAATACCCGATAATTTATTATCGATTTGAAAAATTTTATTGCAACTTGTTTGTTACCCTAGTAAATTAATTTTAACAATTCCCGCGGATAACAGACAGCGGCGACGGCGGTTCACGTGAGGCACCGGATGGAGAAAAAATCACATTAGGTACCCAAGATATATATGAATATAACGATAAATGTATATATATATATATTATATATACATTGTGTATATAATAACGCTGGTGTTCGGCGGCGCATGCATGATTTTGTGAAAGTGTAGTGGGAAAGGAACAAAACATTCGTTTATAGTCGGGGCATCCTCGTGGAAGAGGACGGGGAAGGGGCGAAGAGGGCAGTCACCCCTCTCTAGGAGTTAAAAAAAAAAAAAATTGGAAATTAATTCTAAAAACAAAAATGCAAGTATCAAAAATTGATCAGATGATTATAGAGGTCATTTACAACCGAAAACGTAGTATAACAAATTTTTAAAACTCTAGAGAATTACAAAAAGTTTTTTTACTGTTTTATCTTTGAATTACCTAATCCTAGATTGGGATATCGGTTGAATATAACCCCAAAAAATCGGAAAATTTAGGAAAAATGTATAAAAAAAAATACATTTGGGAATTTTACTTATTTTATTATTTTATTTAGTACATTATTAAAAAAACCAATTTTTTTTTAGGTGTAATATATTTTTTTTTTATTTTGAATTACAATAACTTTCCTCATTTTTTCTGAAAGTAACGGGTTTTTTCTACATTTTTTAGGAAAACACATTTTTGTGTAAATTTTTATTCCTATTGATACTCCGAAATTATTGATTCTAAAATACATATATCTGAAAGTGTACCCAAATTTAGTATTCACTAAGTACAATTCGCCCGTTCCTTAATTTTGATCTAGGAATGCCCTTGTTATAATTACTACAAGGAAATGTCCTATAAATCAAATCGAATCGTCTCAGATTAATGTCGGAGTGATCACAATCGCTCGAGTTATAGTCGTTTCAATGCATCAGTTGCACATATAAAATTGCAAATTGATAATACCAATTGTGTAGTCAATACCTACACATGCCAAAAACTGAGTTTAATAAGAAAACATTAAGCTTTAATACAAATGTATTGAGTTTTATACTATGTAAGTATGATAGTTGCATAATATTTATGTAATATATCGATGTCAATACTGAGTTTTAAAAAGGAACGTCGCATTTTAATATACACTAAGTAAACAAATTATGCAACAATGGGTTAAGCAATAAGCTTAATTAATTTAAATTTCACCTGACAAAATCCAATTGTAAGTCAAATTCAATAAGTTTTTACTTTAGAAATTATAATAACAAAGTTTTTTTTTTTTTTTAATGTGATGGCTATAGTTTTTTTTTAAGTATATATTATTACAGTCAGTAGAGTTTATAAGTCACAATGCACGAATAATTCGAATAAAAAAATTACAACTGAATGTCTTAACACAGTTATACCTAGTAGTAACATTCAATTATTTTGGTAATCGTTATTTTTTATACAACATTTTAGTCTTCCAAAAATTGTATCAATTTTATGCGTTTTTGATTTGTTTAAGAGACGTGTCTACTTGCAGTTAAGTGCTGTGTTGAGATTTTAATATTTATCAACATATAATATTGTATCATTAGAGTGCTTAAGAGTATTTTTGTATGAAGACTAAACTGATCTGTTAAAATATATACTATATGGTTAGGGTTGATCGTTTATTAGAATTTCTAGTATTTCCAAAAAGAGTCTTTGCTATATTCCTGCCAAATACATAAATAACAAAATACATCCATTGAAATATTGTTATAACAATTTAACGACGTATAAGAAAAATAACTGGTATTGTTTTTTTAACGTTTATGAAAATATAATATAAGGTTTATTTTGATTCTAAGCCCATTTTAAAATCCTCCACCTATTCCATTGCCGTACAGGGACATATATCAAAAGGTCTACACGTGGCAAATTTCTCAAGTAGGTTGTTTCGTAATTTATTTGAAGTTAATTTTACGGAAACCATGCACGTCTTAAGCTTAATGATATGAAAGAAGGAAAAAAACAGTAGAGAAGTTAAGTAAAACAGCTGTACAGTATATTTTAAGCTTAGTTGATTATTAATGAAATGGTAGGCTGTCCTGAAATAATAGGATAGAAATATTTGTAAGGTCTTTATTTATTTTATAGTAGAAATTATGTTGAACAGTTCATTAGTTGCACATGCATTTAATATGAATTTGACTTACATTTGTGTTACAATTACTTTGTAAATATTAACTATTTAGTGTTGTTATAGAATTTACATATTTCGATTATTCTTTAGTTTTTAACCTGCCATTGGTCAATAGGTATATATTATATAAGCAATTTAAATTAAAACTAAAACATCTATGTGTACATTTTTTAGTACGTCTCTTTAAAATGTTCTTTAATATTTTTAACTTACAATATTGTTGGTCTATTATAAACCATTCTATTGTTACTTAAATTTTTACTAGTAGTAGAGTTTTACAAATTTGGTGGCACATAAAAAACATTATTTTTCGACATAAATCGTGAATTATTTTTTTGTCAGTAACTGAATCTTTTTTGAACTGAAGAAATTAAATAACAATAAAAATTAGATTTTATAGTCAACAGAGACATCAATGAAATCGACGTGTCCTCTTAAATAAATAAATAAAAGCTGAAGACTGATTAATTATAAGCTGTGTTTAATTTACAACTATTTGCAAATAGTTAAATTTACTGACTTTTCAAAATTATTTAACATTTTTTATTCCAACAAATATTTGTTTTGCATTATGAACACTGTAACAGTCATCTTGGACGTACCTTGTTGATATATGAGTAGTGTATGTCTATACCTTACATTACACATCCACGTACAGCAAGAAGTCTATCTCGAATTTTACTTAATTAACGATTTTTCTTTCTACTCTTAAAGTAAATAAAGTTAACAAACTGTTGTAGTCGTCTACTTCGATAAATTATCGTCTTAAAAAAAATTAATTTCTTGTTATTTTATAAATAGTTGAAAATAACTTATCAATATGTATGTTCCTAAACCCAAAAGTCTCTTTCCCGAATATGTCCATTCAAACAGATTGTTTTGTTGACTAAATGTCAATACCTATTTGATAACATCACACACAAAACCGAACCACAGAGAGCTGACCTATTGTGATGGTATTAATACATGACAATTTAATATTTAACGTTCACTATGTCATGAGTAAATATTTTGCCCTAGGCGTATGGCTGGAGTGGTTAGAATTGGATGTCAGTGTATGAGTTTTATTTACTTTAAATTAAATGTTTTGTTCAGTGTCATCATAATTAAAACGACAACCATGTTTACGAGGCAAAATAATTTATGCTGAAAACACACATGTGACTGCATTAGGCGATCATAATGTGTGCTCTCTATAAAAGCGGGTATGATCCTAAAAGCGTAGCTTCTAAAGTATGAAAATTAAACTTATGCTATACCATAGTAATATATTATATTGACAGAACATACATGTGTAATGTGTAACGAAAATCGAAAGATGATATTCACCGGTTAAGTATTATCTAAAATAAAAGCTAGCCCTGTGGAGTCAGGCACAGTATGAATGTGATCGGGGAGGTCATAGGCTATCAAGAATTATTGTAATCGAAGGTGGTAAAATCACACTTAGATGCGTATCTGTATGGATGGTAAAAATATTAAATACCGTCAAAAGCACTGTAAAGAAAATATTATTCTTAAAGTTATATTTTCAGTATTAGGGTGAATATGATTAGGGTTCGTAATTAATAATATAATGAAATAGTTTTTTAGATACCTGTTGACTGTCGAGTCATTCACTCATAGCAAACTAGAAATTTAACATGACACGAATGTATTACCTACCTTTTTTGGTTTTTCTTTAATTAAAAATAAGCTCAACTACAGATTTTCAATAAATATAAGGTATATATTATAACCTCTCCCTAGATGTACCTTCATCTAGTTTTCAGACCCTAGGGGTTCCTAAACTACACCCAAAAAAGGAAATAAAGAAAAAGTGTATAACCCTTTCTAGAGGGAACAATGTTTGATATTTTTTTGGTTTGTCAACGTATATCGGTAGTATTGTATCTCAAGAATATTTTATACAAACTTTTAACCATTTTGAATATTAAAAAAAAAAAGCTACAGTCTACTTAAAGCCTAACGGCTACAATTATAAAACATGGAACATGTTTAACCTCCTGAATATTGATTTTTTCTGATTTATAATCTCCTTTCGATTTATGATGATAGTATAGTCTTAATTATATGCTCTGGTCAAATAAACAATAATCTTGTTGCTTAGTTATAGCGCTATTTTAGTATCGCAATTTAGAGTCGTTTTCGGGCTGGGGGGTCAAAGCTAAAGCATATTCCATGCTAAAAAAAGTTGTAACGTGCCGTACGTTTTAGACGAAAAATATGTAAGTTTAGGTACAGAGTGTATTTCTAGATTTTGAAGAGGAAGGGGTTTTAGAGTTATCGTGAGTGCAGACATAAAAATAAAAACTTACCTTTGTAAAAACAATACCTTCTCAGCTCGGCATGGCAGTTTAAAATGTAAAATTATTTAAATTTTTACGTTAAAATTAAAAATCCAAAATATGCGGAAAAATGTTTTATTTATTAATTTGTTTCAAAGATTTTGTGTTTTAACATCAAAGATTATTTATTAGTCTACCTATACTGTTGAATAATTGTTAAGTAGTATCACGATACTTAATACGTCTCTTTTTATGTTTCAACTTTTGACCCCTCGGCCCAGATAGAGTAGGTACCACTTACAATTTTCGATCAATAATCGATCATAGAAACCAGTGTGACTTATTTTTTTGAAATATTGTAAACCATATTATTCAACTTCAGTGGCACAACTAGGATTTATTTTTGTAACGGGGATTAACAGGCCTCATGTTCCCCAGCTTGTACCGTTTTGCTTAAAGTTAGTTTCTGTTATTACTTTACCACAAACTACAAAGTTACTCGAAAAAACAATAGTTTTCCAGTTGTCGAAAGTTTTCACTAGAAACATTAATTATGTCTTTTGGCACCTTATGGTTGTCTTGGAAATAATGTATGGCCATCCATAAGTCGAACATATTGTGT